CCAAAAAATACATTGGTGGAGGAAGAGGGAGGGAGCGGCAGGGCAACAGGACGCGAACCTATTTGCTTGCCGCAGCACGCGTTGCCTTCAATTTGAAAATCGTTGCATAGTTGCCACAGAGAACGACAGAGAGCCGGAGAGTCAACTTTAAATTAATTTGTGCCCCAAGGTCCCGCAGAGACAATAAACGGAGCCCCCCTACGAGACCCCCTTGGAGGCACGCTTCCATTCCACACCCCCCTCTCCCCGCAGCCAACCCGACAGGGCCATGAACAGTTTTTTTTTTGTCGCCTCCCAGCGACGATTCAGGCGCCACGTGTCAATCATCGTCCTCTCTTATCTCTGCTCTGCTCTCTCTCTCTCTGGCTGGGTGGTGTGTGTGTGTGTGTGTGTGTGTGTGTGTGTGTGTGTGTGTGTGAAAGGATTTCTCCTTGAGCGCTTTTAATGCGTGTGCGGCATGCATTCCATGAAGCTGCAGGGTGCACTCGTGGATAGGTTGCATGCAGCGTGCATGAACGTGCCCGTCTGTTGCTCCAGTAAACTTAGCCTGCCCGCAGCAGCCGTCGCATCCATCAACAGCCTTGTTCAGAGCCTGAAAACTTAAAGCCCGCTAATGGAGCCCTAACCCCCCGCCCTCCCCTAACCAGGGAGATAACTTGAAACTGAGCTTTAGCTTAAAGCTGGCAAGCATCCTGGGGATTGGGGGAAAGCATATTTGATGGGATGTGGAATGTGCTGACTTTATAAACCTTTAATGGTATCTCCTTGAGGAAGTTGAGAACAGTGACTGGGATTCTGGATGGCGGCAAGAGTGAGCTTTAAAGGTCGTCGGGTAACTGTGGAAACAAACTATAGGTAGGAAATCTCGCAGCCAACTGCCGAACCGAACCGAACCAAACCGAAACGAAAAATCATTGAAATTGGAAAACAAATTTCCGTTCTGTACTCGCACACATGGCCTCCCCCCCTCCTCCTCCCATAGATCCCGAGTGCACATAAAACAAATGGAAAATCGAGAGACTGGGACTCATGCCACCTGCTGTTTGCCCCCGAAACGAAATCGTAACCGTAACCGTAACCGAAACCGAAACCGAAACGAAAGCACACGAAGCCAATGCCCAAAACCAGAACCAAAACCAAAAACCCAATTATAACCGAACGAATAGGAAAACAATCGAACAGGACCAAGTCCTGACAAAGCTTCAGTTTAAAACGAGGGGGAACGTTGTGAGTTGCTGCGGACACCGCAACTCTACAGTTATACCCGACACTAAGTCAGTATGGCTCTCCTTCGGCAGACGCCGCTAATATTAAACGACACGACAAAGAGTGCGTGCGAGAGAGACAGAAAATCTGTCTGAGCGTGACGTCGGGCGCTGCGTAGCCAATGCAAATCGATTTGTTCCTTTTGGCTATAAAAACTATCTGATCTGATCCAGATTCAGCAATCTAATAGATATGGGCGTTATCAATATGCAATATTGTGGATGCAACAGATTTTCGTTCTTTGTGGGGGCGGAAGGGGGTGGGGCGAAATTTTCAGATATACGTTTTATAGTGAGATCTAACAGAAGTGCGGATACCAAATTTGGTTACTCTAGCGTTAATAGTCTCTGAGATTTGTGGATGCCCCAGATTTTCGTCCTTTGCGGGGGCGGAAGGGGGTGTGGCGAAATTTTGACACAAAACGGTCAAGGTCCGATATCACAGGAGTGTGGATACCAAATTTGGTTGCTCTGGCTTTTATAGGTTCTAAGATCCTTGAACTCATATTTTGCAATTGGCAAAACCGACCATGCAACCTGCGTGTTAGAGAGAGACAGAAAGAGAAAGAATGAAATTGTTTTCTTGATTCTGGCTTTAATAATTATACGATCTGGTTGAGATTTTACACTCTAGAACATATAGTCATTCTCTACGATTCTGCGTTTTTGGTTTTATCGTATCTTTAAAAATGTGGATGCCACAGATTTTCGTCCTTTGTGGGGGCGCAAGTGGGCGGGGCGAAGTTTTGAAATATTTTTGTAGCAGTGACATATCACAGAAGTCTGGATCCAAAACATCGTTACTCTAGCTCTTATAGTCTTTGAGCACTAGGCGCTGAAGGGGACGGACAGACGGACGGACGGACGGACAGACGGACAGACAGACAGGGCTCAGTCGACTTGGCTATTGATGCTGATCAAGAATATATATACTTTATGGGGTCGGAAACGACTCCTTTTGGACGTTACACACAAATCGAATATACCCCAAAACTCATTTTGAGTATCGGGTATAAAAATCACATGCGGCAAAGCGGAAAATCTATAGAGACAAAACGCGGCGGGGAGCCCAGAGCCAGAGCCAGAGCCAGATCTCTCTTGGGCCTCCCCGATGCAACGAAAAACAAGAGAAACCCATTGTCAAAGCATTTAATATCATTTTGCGGCAAAATGAAGTCGCAACCACTGGAAAAACACCCGCCTAACACACCCGCCTTCTCTCCCTCTCGCTCCCTTTTCCAGATGATGGAGCAAGGTGCACGGAAACAGACAGCGACAACCGCAACGACGAGGAATAGAAGCAGCGCCAGCGAAGCAGCCGGCACCATTGTGGCACCAGTCACCAGCAGCAGCACCAGCACCAGCACCACCACCACCACATCCTCCTCCCCATCGTCGTCATCGTCGGCCACCTGCTCGGCGACGATTGTGGTCAAACAGCGGCCGCCACCGCTGAAGACGGCCACGACAACGGTGACCACGACATTGGTCAGCAGCAATGAGGGTGGCCAGCCGCTGCCACCCATTGCCCAGGCCAGCCATCGGGGGGGAGTGGGCACAGGGGGGGCCACCCTGACCACACCCTCAACGCCTCGGATCGAGCTGAGCCGCGCCTCCAGCTCGTCCCATCACGAGGAGGATAGCCGTGAGAGCAGTCCCGAGAATGTCTTCGAGCAGGTGAGTCTTTGCTTAAGGATACCATACCGTTATTCATCGTATCATCATCGACCATTTAAGCTAACGAATAGTACTACATTGTGAGCTAATTATTTGTACTTTGTTCTGTTTTTTTTTTTGTCTTTGATTTGCGCCTGTGGTGTTGTTGCCTCTGTCTATCTCTCCACCTCTACCTCTACCCCTCTACCCCTCTCTGTCGATATCGATATCTATATCTGTGTACATCTGTCTCTTTCTCTGTCTGTAACACTCTCCGATGCTCGCTCGCTCCCCCATGCACACACACGCCCGCAAAAAACAACCTGAAAAACCCTTGAAACCCCAATGGAACCGCAAAAACCCAACGCCCACAAAACCTTACTTTGCTCCTGATGATCCTGCACACAAATTACAAATTGGCTGTTGATTTGTTGATATCGTTTCTGTGTGCTTTGTCGTATGCTAACCAACACCCAATGCCACACATCCCACCCACTCCACCGATCCACCTGAATTGCATGCATATACCCTACCCCCCACCCACACCCACACCCACATCCACACCATCACCACAAAAACTATCTATCGCTGTCTTGAACGAAACGAAAACCTTAAACGAAACAAAACCAAAATTGTGTGTGTGTGTACTGGCTGGTTTTTGTGGTTGAACTAATGCTCTGAAGGTCGGCACTGGCACCCTACAGGAAACGATTGGCCTTGGCTTTCGGGAGGAGGGCGCCTTGGAGTTACGCAGCTCCACCGAGGAACTGTACTTCATGGATCCCGAGCAGAAGAAGGAGGAGCAGGAGCGCATCCAGCAGCAGCAGCAACTGCAGCAACATCAACAGCAGCAACAGCAGCAACAGCAACAGCAACAGCAGCAGCAACAGCAACAGCAACAGCAACAACAGCAGCAGCAGCAGGTGAGTTTTGATACACCTCCTGTCTGTGCGGGACAGCGACAGCTTCCTCATTTCCCCTTAAACAGGAACAGGAACTGAGGCTGCAGAAAGCACTGACAAGCCGGAAATTGCTTTAACGGGGACGAGAGATAGTGAAGAGGGACTGAAGGATGTGCTTGGGACACTGAGCACTGGGGACGAGGGTAACCGCAGCGCCAACAGAAGTTGAATTAATAATGCAATATTGCATTCAAGGGTCTGGGAAACGCAACAGCAGCAGCGGCGGCAGTGGCGGCAGCGGCGACAGCGGCGGCGATGGCGGAAGGAAGGGCTGACAGCTGACAAGTGGGCAGCACTTTACGCCTCGCTCGCAGTGCCAACCCGCTTCAATTTCATGCTTGCCAAAGTTTCATTTCGCTGGGGGCCACTGTTACTCTGGGCGTGCCATCGTCGCGGGAGACACGAAGAACTCTGTCAGCTGCGTGCGCGAGAAGTTCCCAGTTCCCCAGAAGTTGGCAAAAAGTTATCAATTGGCCAGCCTGGACGACGGAACCAGAGGGGGAAGAACAGGACCCTCTAATTACTAAGAAGTTTCGAATTGATTGTTTGGTCACGGGCCAGTCCTAATTGCTGCAAAGAGTTTTGCCCGAAGGCAGTTCCAATTTGTCCAACGAAACGATGCCAATTGGAGCCAGGTGATTGCTGGTTGCTGCCCCACTGACTTGTGAAACTTTTAATTAAATTGATCGATATTTTTATATTGCCATTACATCCATTTTATCCGTTTATTCATCCGTTCAGCCGGCCAGCCGGCCAGCCCTGAACTACTCACGAGTACTTAAATCGTTACCCCCATCGAGGGATTTCATTGTGGGCTTTGACTTAATTGAATCAATTTCGAATTCATATCAATTATGGAATTAGTTTAGCAATTCGACAGTTCGACATGTTTCAGTAATTAGCTTGGCAATCGGTTTACCAGTATAACTACATATGTATGTTATATGTATGCGGTAATTGCAGTAATTCCACGACTAGAACACCCATCGAATGTAGGTAATTTGGGGCAAGGCTTAGCTTTCGAAGGAAGTCCCTCGTTCTTTTCAACTTGGAATATATGAATATCGTATTCCTATACGAATAATGCATATGAAATAAATGATGTTAGTGTACTTACTATCTTCTGATGATCCACGGAATTTCTTACTTCAGATATGCTCCGATCTGAAATCAAAGAAAATATAAAATTATCGAAATTTTATCGATATGAATCTGTATTGATGCAACCACTTTTCGAAAGGAAACAGATTGTTATATCCGAGCTGTAAGCTTCAATTATATATGTTGACCGATAACTGATCATCGATAACCGATAACCACAATTTCCACGATTTAAATTTGTTTAAATGTTTCCGACCCATACAGTTTTTTCCTTTAACTCAAGGCCATAAATCGAATACTGAATACTGCTTTCAGCCTTGCCCTTCGTTTACCTGACACGCCCACAGCAGCCAGTCCCGGCCGTAGTCCCGCTCCCAAGCAGTGAACCCGGCATGGGAAAATCGAAGGCAGCTCTGTCTTTCGCTGTCTTTGTCCTGTGCTCTGACCTATCATTATTTCTGTTCTTCGTTGATTGACAGCCGCGGGGGCTTGGAGCGGAGATTGCGGAGGAATGCGATTGACACGGAATCACGGAATGGGGTTCGATGATTTCCGGAGCGGTGTCCTATTTTGCCTTTGCCTTTGCCTTTTCCTTTCCCTTACCACGCCTCTTGCCTCCTCTTTTGTCTACTTTTTCTCACTGATTGCTTTTACGTTTCTATCTTTTGTGGCGACCAGGCAACCACGAAGCGCTCCTCGCCGCACATGTTCAAGTTTGACGACCACCAGAGCTACCTGCAGCAGCACCAGCGCAAGGACTCGGCCAGCTCGGAGGTGGCAGCTCTGCTCTGCATCTCGGGCCGCACAAGCCGCATCTCGAGCGTCGGAAGCCAGGGCTCGGCCGTGAGTCGCCTCTCCGCCGTGTCCGGCGTCTCGCGCTCTCCTTCGCCCCACCGCATGCTGCTGGAGACCTCCTTCTGCGGTCCCAAGCCACTGGAGCAGGGTGCCACCAGTGCCGCCGCAAGCACTGCCTCCACGGCGGCCAGTTCGTCGCACAGTCACGCCGAGACCTCGGCAGGTGGAGGCGTAGTGACAGGAGCAATGCCAGGAGGCGTGGCAGCCAATACAGCGCTGCTAGAGCAGCTGTTGCTAGCCCGCAAGCACGATCCCACCCAGGCGGTGCTGGCCGAAGGCATCAAGGTGCTGCCCCCTGCCCCGGCCACGGCCACAGGTACCAGCAGCCGCCGGAGCAAGCTGGCCAACGGCGAATCAAAGGCCAAGACGGCCGGCAACGCCCCCGCTATAGGCGCCCAGCGACGGAGCACCAAGAGTCCGGGCCAAATGGTAATCGGCAAGACTCCCAGCGGCACCGAGTACATTCGCATCAATCTGCGGCCGGACCACATGTACAGCGACAAAGGCATTGCGGCCAATGAGCGTGTGGTGGAGGCGCCCAACCAGCTGACGCCCGTCTACTCCGCCTCCACAGGACAGCCCAAGCCACCCGCCTCGCTGAGCCTGCAGGGTGGCGCCGGTGGCCCCATCGACGAGAACCGCCTGACGCCGACGGCGAGTCCTAAACCGGGGAGGCATGCCCTGCGCTTGGGCAGCCGCTCGCCCTCACCCTCGCCGGCGGCTGCCTCTGTGTCCCGCAAGAGTTCCTTTAGCTCCCTCTTCCGGCTGGGCAAGGACTCTCCGGACTCGCCGCGGGAGTCTGCCCGCTCCCGTAGCAAGAGCAAGGATCGCACAGCGGTTGCGGCGGCGACAACGACAACAGGCTCCTCCCAGAATGTGACGCCCAGCAAGCAAAAGTCCGTGCTGGCCATCTTCAAGTCGGGCAAGCGGGGCAGCAGTGCCGGCACCGATGGCACCAAGAGCTCCAAGAGCTCCTCTCCCATCGATCCGAGCTGCGAGCCGCCGCCGCCACCACCACCGGCCCCCGGATCGGGTGGATTACCCGGTGGACGCAGCCGGACACCAGCCGGTTCCAGGCCGGGCAGCCGGCTGCGGTACTACGATGAGCCGGTGGAGGGCGTCATTCACATACCGCTGCACACGCCGCCAGAGGAGCGCGAGGCCCGCACTCTGCTCCAAGGCATCCAGAACCTGATTGCAGCCCCCTCTCCGCCCCCCATCCAGGCCAGGACACCGCCGCAGCCACAGTCACAGTCGCAGCCGCAGCAGCCGCCGGCCGCCTCCTGTGGAGCCGTGTCAGTAACCGGAAACGGATCCGGAGCCACCATCACGGCCAGCCAGTTGGCGGCGGCCGCCGCTGCCCTGCGACCTGTGGGCCAGCGGAAGGCGGTGGCCCAGCGGCCAGACCTGGATGCCATCCAGTCGCTGCCCTCCCAGGAGGAGGTCGAGAAGGAGAAGGGCTGGAGCCTGGAGGTGCAGCGGCACAGCTCGCAGGACTCGCAGGAAACACTGCAATCGGTTAGCTCTGTGGTGAGTGCCCGAGCCTCGAACCTAGCCCAGATCCACCAGGAGCAGGAGCCCCCGTCGGTGCGTGAGAACGGGCTGGGGGAGATGCAGCGCCTGCCCTCGGTGGACAGCACGCAGAGTGCCTGCGAGCCGCCGCGCCTTGTCCACACGGTGGCCACCGTCAGTGCGCCCCAATCCGAGGATGCGGCAGCCAAGGAGCGCCGTCGGCTGCTTTTCGCCACGCGGCTGGGTTCCGGAAGCCAGGAACAGATATTCTCCACGCAGTTCAGCATCTCGAAGACGGAGAGCCAGTCCAGCCAGCTGTCCGAGCAGGTGCTCGAGTCCACCAACAACTCGACGGCATCCGACGGACCGTGCACCGCCGACGGACTGCAGCGCCAGGGCACTGTCATCCGTCGCACAGAGCCACCACCGCCGCCACCACGTGGAGTCTCCAGCTCCGAGGAGGAGCAGCCGGCCAGCAGCAGCAGCAGCACTCTTCCCCCAGTCATGATGCGATCCAAGCACCGGTCGCGTCCCACATCCGAGGATGAGGGTCCGGCTCAGGCTCCGGCGGCGGATCTTCGCCATTCGCGCTATCTGGAGAACTTCGATGTGCGCCGGAAACTGCATGAGAATATGCCCCTAGAAGGGAAGGAGGTGCGTCGACGGCAGCAGCAGCAGGAAAGTGCAAATGTAACCCCGGTGCCACGAAAACCCAAGCGACAGAGTATCCCAGAACCAAAACGTGAGTAAAGAAAGAAAAAAAAAAAATAAGAAAAAGAAAAAAAAAACATCATACTCCGTACCAATTTTTTTGGACGCCAATCACTAGAAATGTAGAGATCTATGGTATAAAAGATAAAACGATTGTAGAACTCATAGAAGTACACCACAAGTATAAAAAGTCCGTGAAGTCTCTCTGCTAGAGAGTAGAGAGGAGAAAATTAGACGGCTGGGATCTATGATATCCATAATCGATCCATTTTCTATAAAAATCTAAGCACTTATTTTGCTGCATCTTTTTCGCAGGTGAAACTTCGCAGAGCTCTGGCGGTGCCACTCCTACCACTCCAACCCCCACACCCACACCCACACCCGCAACAGCCATCGCACCATCAACCGCCGGCAAGCTAGCGACTCCAACAGACAGACCCACGCCCACTGGAGCTCCAATTGCCACGGAAACTGGAACAGGGAGAGGAACGGGAGCGGAAACTCCGACGCCAACGGCCAGCCCGGAACCGATGTTCACCTCGCCCCTGGCGGAGCGGCGTCTCTCGCAGTCGACGGACGATCACGAGCCCGTGGAGTCGTCGGAGAGTGAACGCGATTCCGATATGGCCGGCAGTTCGTCGGTGACGACAGCGGTGCCCGTAGGCGGGGAGGGCCAGGGTCAGGGCAAGCGGCACCACTTTCCGCGCAACGTTTGCGTAATTGAGGAGCATGAGAGCACCGGCCTGGTATCGCAGGAGTCCTTCGACGACGAGCTGCCGTATATACCGACGACCCTGCCGGAGGAGCGGGCGCAGGGCGTTCCGCTGATACCGATGAAGGAGAGGGCCAACATGGAGCTGAAGACTTGTCCCGTGGACAGACCGCGCTCTACAACGCCCCTGAATCCCTCGCACCTGGAGGAGTACTGCACGGGCATCATGACGCCGCAGGATGCAATCCATGCGGGTGTCCACGAGCTGGACAACGGAGGGTCGGCAGCAGGAGGCGCAGGAGCGGTGGGTGGCGGTGGTCCTGTGAGGGGAGAAAAGCTCCGAATCAGTCTGCCCCGCAAGGAGTCGATGGGTAAGGAGAGCCGCGCCCCGGGCCAGAGCGCCAAGTCGCCGCGACGCATCTCCAATGCCAGCGGAAAGTCGTGGTTCGAGTTCGCGGAGGAGGGCCTACGCGCCAACAATCTGGAGCGCAAGGACTCCAGCAAACAGTTGCTGCCGGCTCCAGCTCCAGGTTCAGGGGCAGTTCCAATTCCAGTGCCAGTTACCGTCCCCAATCCGGCCCCAACTCCAGCCTCGGCTCCGGCTGCCGTCGGCCTGGAGGAACCCAAGCCGAGGGCATCCACCCAGCGAAAGTTGTCTGGCCACTGGATCGACTTTGAGAACATTCCGGAGAAGCGCAAGCCGGCCAAGCGGATCACCACGCTGCCCAAGGAGACAATAACCGCGAGCGCCACGGCCACCACCAGCTCCTCCTCGGCATGCGGCAGCAGCCACCGATCCGGTGGCACTGGTTCCGGCTCGGGGCATCATCATCATCACCACCACCAGACGCGGCCAGGCTCGCAGGATATGACCACTGGAGCCAGCGATAAGCTACACTACAACTATGTGAAGCCGGAGGACTGCCAGTGCGAGTGCCACGAGGCAGAGCGCGGAGAATCCTCCACGGCCACAGCGGGCGCCGGTGACAGTAGCACGGGTACGGGAACGGGCACTGGAACGAACAGCGATTCTCTGGCCTCTGTCGAACTGCTGCAGCAGGGTGAGGACATGCTGCCGCTGCTCGATCCCGAGCCACAGCAGGAGACCAGGTAACCAACCATTCACCCCTCCACCCATGGAACGATCAGCCAGTTCTAATCCTCCTAATCCGCCCATTGCAGAGTCTATACGGACGAGGAGATGCCTGCGCCAGCGCGACATGGCAGCAAAAGCAGCGGTCTTGCCCGGGTGAGTTGAGAGTACAGTCCGTATCGGAAGGATATGCGCGATAAGGGCAGTGATAGAGAGAAAGCACGTCCGAATATTATTTGGCATCGAATAGATTGTGCAACAAGTTCAATTTTCCGCAGCTCAGAAATCCGTGAAACAAACACATCTAATCCCAAACTGGTATGCTTCTAATCCACAGACACAAATGGAGGAGTTTCCCCGACGCGACGCCGGATCGAGCTCACGGAATCGAAAATTTCCCGATAGAAAATAAGAAGAAAGCAATTAGCTCCAGCATTGGATTCAGTTTCGAATCGTGGATCATGGTAGATCTTCAGGGTAGCTACACCAGTAATCTTTCTATATGTAAGTCGACTCACTAAACTAAGGGCCAGCAGTGTGTGTCCTCTTGGCCTATATCCTCAATGTACCTCAAGCAGTGTGGTTGTTATAAGCAGAGACGAACGACGCGACGATCGATCGATCGATCAGAGTACGAGTACACGAGTGTTTCCTTTCGATTCGATTAGCTAAAATCTATATGAATACCTACATATACATATGTATTACTCGGTACTACGATATATAACACCATATATGCATACACATATTGTATTGTATAGGGTAATGTGTTTTTTTTTTTATAGCAACAATTATTGTAAAACTCACTTTATAGCAATCTTGAGGCTGGTATTTTCCCTAGAAACTTTTTCGCTGGCAATTTGTACTACTACATACTATATGTGATCTCCAGATAAAATGTTGAATGATCCATGCTTGGATCAGATTAATATATACATATATAGCTATAAGTCCGTGTATTCGTGTGTAGTTTGTTAAATAGCTCAGACAAATCCTCTTGATATCTACTTGAGATCCCTGTCCCTGTCCCTGTCCCTGCTCCTGTCCTGTCCTCTGGGAGTCTGAAGATTCCGACGTGGTCGTAGCAAAGTCTAGTACACATACATTCGATACTAATTATAGCCTGATCCATAGCATTTAGTTCAAGTTCGAAGCGTTAATTAGTTAGTCCCCTCCCATTTAGGGGTGTGTTGTACATAAATAAGTCTAATTGTAGATTATGTTGACGATTTACTACGATTATGGTATTTTTTTGAAAGAATATCTCACCAAATATTTGACAATTTCTATGGATTTACTACTATATTATATATAGCCAACGAAACTGCCAGCAGCACACACACACATGACATTTGAGACAACATTTTGGTTTGGTTTCCGTTTTTGGGGGCATGCTTCAGCTGGTGGGAATCGAACCGGTTAGGTAACAGCATTTTGTAGCATGCCCTCTATAAGCGGTTTATGCGCAAATTTGATGATGATACGATTAACCCTCTTACCGACTATTTGCTTAAAAAAAAAAATAAAAACCCCCTCCCCGTCAACCTATGGGAAACATATTAGGAAACCCCTTAGCTAGTCTTTAAAATACCGAAAAATTGATTGAACTTAACGGACAACGGACATTCATTGAATTGAAGCAAAAAAATAAAAAATTAAGCAAATACAAGTTAATATAATATTTAACGTGAAATGAAAGGAAAGAACGCAAGAAGCTATAGGTAAATTATACAATTCATAAAGAACATTGAAAATGTGCAAAAGAACCTAGGCAAAAGATGATGAAAACTGTACACGAGTTTAGCGAAAGAATTTAAACATAAGCACACGATGAAGCATTCACTGCGGTGCCATTAAGTGTGACCCCCACAGCCTCGAGAGACCCCACTATGAGATCTTATAAGCATAAGGATACTTACAACCGAAGACGTCGATGTTGTGGGAAGGAGTTAGCCTCTTCTTTTTTTTATTGGGTAGCAGAAGTGGTCAAGCACAAAATGCACTGGCAATATATAGGGAGATACGAGTAGAGAGGCAAAGATCTTAAGAAACCATATATATTCATAAATAATTACCGATATATACCATTCGCACACACAGAAGTTCTCTCCCGTTTCAAACTGTTTGAATATTTGTCCTTTTTTTGAATACACTTTTTTTGTATTAAATAAAAACAAGCGAAGAAAATGTTGTTAAAAATGCATTTACATTGAAAACAGAAAAAATAAAACGAAAATTAGGAGAGAGTTGATGGTTAAATAAGCAAACAAATATGTATGTATGAAAAATTGTTACCAACATTTAAGCATTCATAAAAAAAAAAACAAAAGACAAAAGTGCTAAGAAACAAGAACGAAACAAATGAATTAATAAATATATATGCACATTCATTATTTAAAGGTACTTACATATGTACATGTGTATGTATGTACATACATACATACAGGCAGCAAAAAAAACAACAACAATCCAATGAAAACGGAAATCAAGCAGACATTAATTGAGAAATATTCATTAAAGTGGCAAAACATATATAAACAAATGTTTCCCCTGCTTATTTTGGTTGTGTTTAGTTGGGGTTTGGTGGCTGCACTCGTTTGGGATATTTACATTTAACGGTATTTGGAGTTATCTTATCGCAATCGAGGTTCTATCGACGCTACGTTGGCAATCGATCATGATTTTGAGGCTATTTAGCATGCATATAGGGCTCAGGTCTAATGCCGCACGGTTGACAGTGTCATCGAGATAAGGTACCGACGTCAATGTCTTGAACTTCCGCTGTCCGTGTCTTTGTCCCAGATCACGATTAAGAGCCACGTATAAACGTCGCAAACAACCCAATCACGCACACACACACAGCCGCGCATTCTGACACACTGACACGCACTCAAATGACACGCTCTCCACTGCGCAGGCGCGCTCTCAACCTACAGAGAGAGAGAGAGAGCGAGAGCGAGAGCGAGGAGCTCTCTTGCTGCTCTCTTGGAGCACCCGCCAGGCGGTCAGCGTATAAGTATCAGTGGCGGGAAGCTAACGGCTTCAAACCGAAAACAACAGGCAAGAGGTAAACGCGCGAAAAGAAATTCGAAATTCTACATTCTCCATTCTCTGCATTCGATATTCGCGGAACCAACGGAACCGTTGCATTCGAACGGCAAACAAAGCGCGGGCGGCAAACAAAAAACCCACAAAAAAGGCATTGCGAATACGATTCGTTTACGGTTTATTTATTTTTTGAGCGTGTGTGATCGAAATTGAGAAGAAAGTGCAGAAAGAATGGCGTTCATGATGCCGGTTATGAAGAACAATTATGATATCTACAAGGACACGCGCTCACGCAAGACCTCCGAGTGCTCCAATGCGAGTAGTAACGGGACCACGGCCGTGGGCACTGCCTTGGGCACACCCACAACAGCCACCGGCAACCAGCAGCAACAGCAGCGACGCCGCAAGGTGTCCGAATGCAAGTCCGAAAGTTTTGCCACCTCCCCCTCACACGGCCAGCTGGGTGGTGGCGGCAATGGTGGCCACCGCATGCAGATGCAGCGGTGCCAGAGCTCACGCACTTTCCCGCGAAACGCATCGCGGAGCTCGAACGGCTCCATGATGCTGATTATGTCCCCAACGCGGTCCAGCCCCCTCAGCCGCACGCAAACGGCCTCGGCCCTGGAGCGCCAGGCGGCGGCGACGGCTCAAAGTCAGAATCAGAATCAGCAGAGCTGCAAGCAGAGCAACGGAAACGGCAGCGATGTGAATGCGACATCGACCGCCAGTAACGATTATACCAAATTCCACTTGCGTCTTGTTGACAAGCTCCGCAAATCCTTCCGCAAGGACAGCGGCAAGCGCTCTTGAGAGCGGGCCCATCAGCAGCAGCAGAACAGCAATATCAGCAACAACAACAACTACAGTGCCAGCGACAGAGCTGTACATCGCCCCAGCCACAACAACAACAACAACGAGAACCACAACTGGGAGGAAATAGAAGCAGCAGAAGGCGAAGAAGGGGAAAGAGCAGAAGTACCTGTGAGAGGGGGAGGGATGATCAGTCGAATGGGGCGACGCTTCAGGCGCTACTATCAATTCTTCTCCCACGCCAGCGTCGTGCCGCCGCAGCTGGCGTTGGCGCTGGAGCTGGACAGAGAAGCCACCAGCAGCTCTGTCGAGCAGCTAACAGGCGGCAGCAGCAGTCCCTACCGTCGACGTAACCGTCGACGCAGCAGCATCGGCAGCGCCAGTCGGCTAAAGATGCGTGTGCGTCGCTCCACCTCCTCGCCAGACTAAGGAACGGGACCGCAGCAGCATAGCGAATGCAGCGAGGGTGACAAACAAAAAAGAGAAAGAGAAAATGAAAAAGATGAGTGGAGGAGACAGCCAGCGACCAGGCAGGCGATTGAGTTAGTGGATCGGCGAGAGACCCCCTCAAACCCGATGCGAGTGAGTGAGTGGGTCGGCGATAGTTGGCGGCGGTTGTTTTGCTGAATAATATAATATAAAATAATAATACATTTTAATATTCACTTTTTTTTTTGTATTCGGTGTACAAATGAAAACTATAACTATAAATTCATTTTAAATATTATACATATGTATGTATGTACGTGTTTATATGTATGCTTTTGTGTGTGGCAAGGCTTCCAAGTAGTGTATTTAGATCCCTACCCAAAAAAGACCCTCTCCGGCCACGCATTGCGGTGTTGCTTTGATAAAAAATGAAATTTACACAAAACCAATTGCAACTGCCAAATTGCATTGTATAACAGTATAACACTATAACAGAGACCCACACAGACACACAAAAAAGGATAGTACAACAAATGTTCGATAAAGAAAACTATATTGTATCGTTAAATTGGTTATACATATACATATATGTACATATGTATATATGTAGATTACATAATCTGTAAGCGCAAATATTGACAATATATGTATGTATTACATATGGGCACAAACACTTGTGGTCAACAAAACAAACAAAAAACAGAAACAAAAACTAGAAAGTTAATCAAAACTTAAAAGGTATCATTCAAATTCTTTGATAAAAGTGACAACTGAATATTAAATTTATTGTATCTAAAGCTATTGAAATATCTGTAAATGCTAAGAGTATTTCGGCCATAAGTGTAGATATTTTTGGGAAAGCGTTTTGGGATGCAGATGCAGATCGCTGAAAACAGACTTGAGAAATCATTTATATCCAAATTGTGAATACTATATACCTGTATACACAGTATATAGCTACATATACTATATCTATATACCTATTACATTAAAATATACATAAATGTACTTAAACTAAAAATAACATACTTGTATTTAATGCTAGTTTCATTTTTTTCTTAGGTTCTAAATTTTGTAAACTACGCAAAACAAAAGAAAGAGAAAAATATACATGTGTATACTATATTGAGAGAGAGTGAGAGATCGAAAGAAAACCAAAAATAAAACATATAATAAAATCAACTAAAATGAAAACTATTTAATTTTATTAAGATGTCAGCTGCAGCGCCAGAGCGGCGTGGGGGAGGGCGTCCATTGCTAGTACGTACTGCATAACGGCCTGTGGCACAGCCAAGTGCGCATAAAATGCGTTGACAGTGCGGGTGCGAGTGGCAGTGCGGGGTGGTGGGTGGGGCTACTCGACACCGTAAATTAGACGCTGCTCCACGCTCGCCCCACACGCACACACACTACACATCTAAACAGGTAAGTCTACACCTTAAACCTACACTTTCCCATTCCACTGGTACGCCGCCCTGCCTGCTGGGCGCACTTTGGCATGCGGAAGCCGAGGCAGCAGCAGCAGCAGCAGGGGCAGCGCCAGCCACAGACGACACCGCAAGAGCACCACACAACACGAAAGTGCAACAAAAATCAATACAAAATGCAACAAAATGTCACAACAATTGGGTGGGATCTAGGCACAGATGTATACCCTAGAAAACCTATAGCGGAACATATGCTAACCGATGAAAATATTGTACCCTTGGGGCGAATTCACATCATCAATAATTTCATTTCTAAGCTCTAGCCTCTGCTGCCTCACAAAAAAAAAGTATTCCATGCTTCAGGGCAAGGAATTCGTGCAGGTCGGAAAGAAATTTCTACCCTTTGATGGAATTATCCTTCAAAAGATCCCGCCATTCATCTGCAACTTTGATATTGAAATCGATTCGCTTTAAAAAGGAAGTAAGTATTCAGATATGTATATTCTTCATTCTGGTCCAAATCATAATACCCTGGAATACATTTTAGTATTCCACAGGGGGTTTGGAAATTCCCCCAAAAACCTATAAAATGTGTGCACCAGTGGAATCACATTTCTCATCATCCAATTACAAGTCGCTCTCTAGTTTCATATACAATGGAAATTTCCAGAAATTAGAACCGCTCGTACCTGTATTTCGTACTTCGTTGAAACATTTTTGAAATAAGAAGCCACAGGCTATCAAATTATCTGAAATGGGTGTGAATGAATACCAATTAAAGAATTAGTCGTGTATACCCGATGACTGGGCGCCATGATGGGGAGGGAGGCAGCCTTGACCTTTGGACAGACTGCGACGAAATATATGGCCCAAAACCATGCGGAATATGAGATGCGGCGTGTGTCACGCCCGCACGCCCGCACACCCGGACAGCCGCCGGTAGCCAGCATGGGGCGAATGAATAGACTTGTATCGCTCTGGCCACTCGACTCGCAGCTCTGATAAATGTTAGGCCCGGGCCGCACACACGACTGTTTGTACATATATGCAGATACATTTTGATAGATATTCAACGATGAAAACGTTTAACATTCAATTTCAATCAAAACAGAAGTCAACACAGATTCTGAGGGGGTACGCTTGACTGTGTGTGAGCGTGCTCTTGAATCTGGGCGAGAGTCAGTGTGTCATTTGTCCGATATACTCGCATAGCACGATCTATTTTCCTTTGATACTCGACTGGTGGGTGGGCATGACCATGAGGCAACGCCAGGAAGCGAGTACAGGGTTGGTAGATAACATAGATCTATCTTTATCTGTACTTAGAGCTATTCTTATACAATATTCTATATTTATATAGTTCAATCCTGTCGTTTTGTTGTTGCAGTAGTTCTTATCTTTGATTTCCTGCACTCTAAAGCAATTTAACCAGTTCGAGGCAGTTTTTCAAGCTCACATGGCCATAAAGAAGATAAGCAAGAGAGTATGGTTACAATATTGCAAAGATACTATAGGGTTACTATTTATGGATTCATAAATGTCCGCTGCTTGATTTACGAGTGTTTTGTATGGTAATGCTTTTTTTTTGGGTTTCTAGGCGTATCAATTGACTGATTGATTTATGGAGAAACCATAAATAGATCGGTGATGCTTTCTAAAACGCACACGCATACTATATGGTACAGCATCTGTGCAGATGATATATAGGAGTGCCATTGCGACTCCAAATACAGCAGAATGTGTTGAAAGCATGGAACTTCTGTGGAAGGCAAATTCGAAAACACTTCCACGAACAGCAGAATGCAGGCAGATACAAAGCCCTGCTGCCCTTGGCAGCTATCAAATCTCAGTTACTTCTGGGAACTATTCATTATTCAACTGTTAAGAGCTTTTGTAGGTTTTTGGTACAGAACATGAAAACCACTTTCCACGCTTCGGCAGAGATCTACGAAATGGTAATCAAGTCTAAGAGACATCCAGGAATACCATTATCTATCCGATAATAGTAGAAAGCTCTTGTGTCGGTCAGAAATGAATGCAAATGAAGGGGAGAGTAGCCTGCAACAGCAGGTTGCACTATGGTTTCCCATTGGATGTACCGTACAGTAAACCTGCGATGAGTACGATCACTGATCGATCAAGGGTATCAAAAGACTCGACCCACCAATCGATAGCCTTCTTTTGATTTCCTGCTGGGCTTTCTGATTTCGTCTCTTTCTGTTTTTTGTTCTTGTTCTTGTGCCTTGCTGTTCCGTTCCGTTGCGCTCCGCACTTGCTCTTGCTCTTTGTTGTGCTCTCTCCGCTTGTTGCTGTTGATGCGCTTTCATCTGGTTCGTTTCTCGCCCCTTTTGATTTTGCTTTTGATTTTGCCTTTGCTGTTGTTGTTCTCTTTGTCTTTGGCTTTTCGTTCTATTTGCTAATTTACGAATCAGTTGAAGCTTGATTGGTCATCGGGAGCACAGAGCGCTGGGGGACTGGGGGCTATTGTGTGCGCTCTTATGCTGCCATGAGAGGCAACAGGTTTTAATTGGCATTACCACCCTGCCTGCTCTCCCCCCTGACGCTCACACTGCTGATGCTCTGCTCTGCTCTCCTCTACTCTCACTCTGTCTCTCTGGCTGTGATTCGCGCGTGCCGCATTCAAGTCGCTGCTTAATTGAACAGTTATTGAACAATTATTCCCAGTTCGATCCTGTTTTGGGAGGCAATGCCATGGCCTCAGTGGCCTTCCTCCATTTCCACACTTCTGATGATGAGCGGGACGGGAGCTGCTTCTCCTTCGTTACGAATGCATGATTTCGATTCAATGCAATTATTCAGTAAAATTGCAAACCAGTTCACATATTGTACGTGAATCCATGAATCCATTTTACATATTCTGTGAAATCGAATGTTCCTACCTTTTCGTTAACCTACCTTGCCCTCAAACTCGAAATCTTCGACTCCCAACCGCACCGCACTCTCGTTATCAGTGCGTCTCTGTTTAATCCCCGCTCTTTCAATGGATTGAATGGATCTTATTCCCTCTCTTTTAGTGGATTGAATGGATCTTAGTCCCTCTCTTCCAATAAATACGTTCTCATTCCCTGTTCATTCTCTTTCGAATGGATCTGTGTAGCTTCTTGCGGCTGGTCAGTTTTGAGATTCTGGAATGGGAATGGGGATTATCTCTATGGAATAAAATTAATTATTTTCTGCTGCAGTCGATTCATTTTATATAAGAACGAGGCGGCATGTGCTAGAGCGGTACAGTTGCCTCCTGCGCGTGTTGTGACAAGTTGTTTACTCTCGTAGTACTAGTACTTCTCGCGCGGTTTTCTAGGTCTTGTGGGCTTTTGGCAGCGCTTCCACTCATTATTCGCTCGAAGATCAAGGTCAGTCTCAACTAATCTCATCTCCCCATGCGCTTATATAACGCAATAATGCATGTGCCCCAATTATGTGTCCCCATACCATCACCCACTCTGCATTGACGTCAGGCGGAGAGTCATGTATTCTGGTGGGCGACGTGGCACTTGCAAGATAGATAAGAGCAAACTTTACACAATTTCTTTGACACAATTAAGCCCTGTGTCGCATAGAGTCGCAGGTGAAGCCGAAAGGGAAGGCAGTGGGCGTGGCCGGGATGCAGGGTTGCTGGGATGCTAATAGCACCCAAAGGCGATTAGCAGTTGAGTGCATGAGCTGCCGCTGACTTACTAAGAGGATAAAAGGATGTTCGCATATCGAGAACAAAGCGGAAGCCGCACCAGATAGAAACCAAATTTAATGTGAGAAACATACCCGTATGCCCGTTCGTGCCACGCGCCGTGCTCCACGCGCCCCCCTGCAGCTGTAAGCGGATTGTGCACCGCAATGTCGCCCCCATATAATGAAGGAATAAATGTTTGGTTTATGGTAATTTTGTGAAACCTTTTTCGCATTTGTGCATCATCTCCTTGAAAGCCACAAGCTGGCCTCCTGTGGAGGACTAAACTCTGGAATTGTGGAATTTTTGCGGCAATTGCTTTTCAAAACATGCTGCAGCTGAATGCTGCTTCTCGTGCGGTAGTTGCAAGACACAATGTTTCAGTGTTGAGCATTCCTTAAAGTTTAAACCTTCCGTAAAATGTAGTGTCAGATCCACGAACTGAAAACCAATTTCCAGTTACTTCGAGGAATTTCATTATAAATTAGACTAGAACAAAAAGCACTTGTCACTTGCAGCAATGCCTGAAATTCAGAGGAATGCATTTGTACATGGGTGCCACAGCATGTTGCAATTACCAGGCCACTGAGGTGCAGCCACTAAACCGCTTTAAGTGGGATATGGTAACAATCCTATCTGATATACTATGTATCTAGAACTGGTCTGAAGGTCTTTTGAACCATTGAAAAATGCTCCGATTGGATGGCGGTATCTTTCTTTGTAATTTCGCCGATCCCAGCTTACGATTTTCCTTGGTTGGGAATATGCGGAAATACTTTCCTATAAAATTCTGTGGTTTGCGGTTTGTCGTATATTAAACTTAGGGTGAATCCTTTTAAAAAAAAATAGTGGCCACATGTGCGAAGAATACTTAAATTAGCCATTCTTAAAGAAATTTTGTTCAAGTTGTCGGATACATTTATTTTTCCTTTTAAAAATCGCGACGAAAAAGCTCTTAAAATAGCAGTAAACTGAAATTTGATTGCCGTGCCAGTACTTAAGTCCGGCAAAGTAAATTCGCAGATAATTATCTGCCAATAAGATTTATGAGGTCTGAGATGATCAAGTTTAAAGTACGCTCTCCAAGGGTAATATGGGTCTTTCTTGAATGTACATATTGTACATCTGTTGAACAATTCCTAATGATATTTCATCGATTTTTGAATGCATATGCCATGCTGTCGAAACGAAACGAAACGAAACAAAACCTTCTACAACTAACTCGTTCTCCTTTGAAACCCTCAACGAGGGTCGTTGTTGTTCAGGGCCCGTCTTGCGGCCGGGCAGTGGAAAATTCCCAAAAAGCCAAAAGTCTGAACTGAAAGGACCAGGGTATTGAGGGGTGGCTGTTTCTGCTCATCGATTTAACAGTGCGGGAAAAGGAACGGCGTCTGACGACGCGTTGTCCTGACCTAGTCCAAAGTTGCGCACTCTCTCGGCCCTACCACCTACCACTGCTCTCTAACTTGGGCCGACTCCTGCGCTCCGACCCTGTATGTAGCCAAGGAATGCCAATTAAAGGTGAGGCACATTCGCGCGTATTTTATTTGGGTGAATATTTGGCTCGTGTCACTCGCTAACATTTAGTGTTGGTTTTTTTGTATGTTTGGGAAGGGGCACACCTTTTATTAATACACCATGACCCTGCTTCTCTTCTGGTGTGCTCTTTCTCTTATCATAAACACTCTCTCTTTCTCTGAGTTTCTCTCTCTCTCTCTTCCTGGCATTGTTGTTTGGCATGTGAAAACGCACGTCAGCCACCAAAAAAAAAACAACAACAAAATACCCCTCACAAGCCCTCAAATCCTGTGACCCCTGCGACTTGCTTTTCGGCCTGAGTCAAGGACATTCAACTCTGCTCTGTCGTCATTATCCGTGTTTTTTTTTTTTTTTTGGTTTTTTTTTGTGTGTTTGTGCTTCCCCATCGATTTTCGTGCGTCCTACCCGACGGATTTCCACCAAATTACGAGGTTTGAGGCGCGAACACGGCGCTGGTTAAGACTTGAAAGCAAAGTGCAAGTCCAAGTCCAAGTCATAACCAGCCGGTGCGAATGAATTGTTCATAGTCTTGGCCTTGTCGGGGGCCAGGGGCCAGGGGCCAGCGCGGCCAGGCACCTCTGCGATCCTCGACAGGTGCTCGCCACCCCTGGGGTCTTGATCCCGCAGCCAGACGGCTCTCTTCGGGGAGAGCGGAGAAAAATCGTGATGCGAATTGGAATGGCCTCATTATGAGGTAGGAGTGGTGTGGCCGGCAGGCCGGGGAAGCCACAAAAAGAGGCAGGCGGCGACAGTGCGCTCCGCGAACGAGTGAGCAAAACAAACGTGGACAGAAGCAGCGAGCAAAGCAGAATGCAAGAAAGGCAGAGGCAGCAAAGTGTAAAAACAATATCAACAAAGCCGAAGCTTGTGATACCCTACCCAGATCGATCGCTTCATTGATAGCCAAAAATTCCGATAGAAGCTACATATATTATTTATATACGAGATTTTTCCTATAGTAGCTATGATATAGTGACCGAATCTTAGTGGATCGTTTGTATATTATCGATCACGTTTTGCAATATATGATTCTAAAACAATTTTGCATCAAGAAGTATAGAAAAATGCTTCTTTTGTTGTGATGCTCGCAAACTAAACTACCCCTCTACCAAGAGGGTATACAAAAAACTGAACAAAGTGAAAGTTGAAGAGAAAGACTACAACAAAGACTCGAATTTAAGGCCAGGCCGCAGCTGCGGCACATGCAGCAGCAACAGCAGCGGCAGCGGCAGCGGCAGAGACAGAGGCATGTTAATAACAGCAGACAGTGTCGGCCGAGGCAAACCGCCTCGAAAACACTTATTTTCAGGTTATTTTTTGACGTGTTAGCGGCTCAGACGGAGCCGTAAGCTTACAATTGGAGCCTACATTCAGTTGGCTAAGATCGCGCCAGTCGTTTGGACGCAACGACCAAGCAGAGGCACCACCACTAACCTGACCCATAAACATAAACAGAGGGCTTCAGAGCGGAGCCACTCTTCCTAATCGATCGAGCAAACGAAAGTGGAAATGTGCGAAATCGCCACCTGACCACCCGAGTGAGAATCGTGTTGGCCAAAAGTCTCAGTTGGATCTGTGTTCCCATCATTGTCTCCAGTCTCTAGGCCACCAGCGTTATCTGCAGTAAAGATATCAAATATTCGGTAAGCTACGAAAGCAGCAGGTGGGCAAGGTGTGCTGTGGTGTGTTGTGCTGGTAATCAAAAGAAAGTTGAGTAATTTCCCGTAAAAGAATGCCGAATATGTCAATGAAAGTGTGGTCGAAATGGTGGTGGAGAGGCTTGTTTTCGAATTTGAATGACGCTGCGTTGACCGACAATCAATAATGGAGCGCCACTAATTGTAATTGAGGGTGAAAGCATTACCCGAAACGGCTTCATTCAAGGATAATACACTGTATGGACAAGTTGTAGCAATACAGTGCGAAGGAAAAAATAGAACTTGTTCCTTTATCGATTCACAAATGGACAATAGCTAAAACCCTGCTTCAGGTGTACGTAAATTGAAGTGAAATCCCTTTAGATATTCTTAAGATATATCCCTAATCGATATAGTGACGAAGTTTTGATAAATCAGACGCCAGCAGTTGTAAATTGTGTGGAAATACGAGTACTGATTTAATTCTTCAAGTAAGCACTAGCCCATAATTAAATCGCTGGAAATAATTATTTTATTGCAGGCTATCGATAATTACTCATAATCACTACCTCTTTTACTGACAAAGTACACACGATCCACAAATGATCCACTTCAGGTCCACAGATCCACTTCCATGCTTGCCCTTTCCAGTCTCCATATAAAACAACAATTGAACTTTCTTTTCTCTCTTTTTTCGGCTCTCTCTCACACACACACACACACACACACACACAGAAACACATTCGCATACAGCCAGCGATGTCGGAGGCTGTCACACCCATTGGAGGAACAGGGACAACAGCACTGCCAGCCGGCTTCGATCCGACCGCAGAGGCGGTGGAGAAGACGCTCTGCTTTCGTGGATTCTGGGCGTGGTTCGTGCTCCTGTTGCTGATCGGGATCTGTGCACTGTTCGTGATGTGGCTGCTGCGCAAGTGCATCCAGGGCCCCGCCTACCGCAAGGCGAACCGCATCGACGGCAAGGTGGTGATCGTCACCGGCTGCAACACGGGCATCGGCAAGGAGACGGTACTGGAGCTGGCCCGAAGGGGGGCCAAGGTGTATATGGCCTGCCGTGACCCGGGACGCTGTGAGGCGGCCCGCATCGAGATCATGGACCGCACCCAGAACCAGCAGCTATTTAATCGCAGCCTGGACCTCGGCTCCCTGGAGTCCGTACGCAACTTTGTGGCCCGCTTCAAGGCGGAGGAGTCGCGCCTGGATCTGCTGATCAATAATGCCGGCATCATGGCCTGTCCCCGCTCCCTCACCGCCGACGGCTACGAACAGCAGCTGGGCGTCAACCATTTGGGCCACTTTCTGCTCACCAACCTGCTGCTCGACCGGCTCAAGCAGGCCACGCCCAGCCGGATCGTGGTAGTCAGCTCGGCGGCTCACCTCTTTGGGCGCATCCATCGCGAGGACCTCATGAGCGAGCGCAAGTACAGCAAGTTCTTTGGAGCCTACAGCCAGTCGAAGCTGGCCAATATCCTCTTCACCCGCAAGCTGTCGGCCCTGCTTAAAGACACCGGGGTGACGGTCAACTGCTGCCACCCGGGCGTCGTTCGCACCGAACTGAACCGACACTTTGCAGGCCCTGCCTGGATGAAGAGCGCCCTGCAGGTCGTCTCGCTGTACTTCTTCAAGACCCCCAAGGCTGGGGCACAGACCACGCTGCGCCTTGCCCTGGACCCGTCCCTGGAGAGGTCCACCGGCGGCTACTATTCGGACAGCATGCGCTTTCCCCTGGTTCCCTGGGCCCGCAGTACGGACACCGCCGACTGGCTCTGGCGGGAGAGCGAGAAGCTGGTGGGTCTGCCCCCCATAGAGCCGCCACCGGCACAGAATGGCAATGGGAGCACTAACGGGAGTGCCAACGGTAATGGCAGCCCAGGTACAGCAGCCGCTGAAACAGTGGACACCGTTGTGGTCAATCGCTCGTAGTCGTAGTCATAGTCGTCGTCGTCGTCGTAGTCATAAGGAAGAGGTTCAATCAATACTGTACCAAGACGGGGGTTCGATTGGAAGACCTTGCAGTTAACTTATTTTATAGTTTTGAATACCCTTCAAGAGAGTATTACGCGTATCGTGCGATCACATGTCCGTCGTTCGGTCTCTATGAGAAGTGATTTTTCAGCTATAAAGTTTAAATTTTACACACAAAACCAATCATTTCTAAGAACGATCTAGGAACGATCGATCTTCAAGGGTATCAAAAGCTTCGGCCCACCGAAGCTGGCCTTCTTTTGTTATTTTTTTTTTTTTGTTTATTTCTTGTGCATAACACCAGGCAGAAAACCCAAATTAAAATAAACGGTAAACTTAACATGCAATTCCCTCCTCTCTCTTTTCTTAATCAGTTACGCTCACCCCAATTCTCTTCCTGCTCTCCCTGGCTCCAGTCTTCTTCGAAATATATAAAACATATTAATGCAAGGTGAGGCATTGGCATTCCCTGAACGGTGTAGTGCTAGGGTTGGAGTAAGAATGAGACAAACAAAATATACAACTCGAGAGAGAGGGAAAGGGTCGGCCCTTACCAGGCACAAGTACGCCTTGCAATCCTCCTGCTGCTCTCTCGCTTAGCACCGCTCTTCAAGTGAATGACTTCACTCTCGCACCACTGCACTCCAGTCTTCCTCCCTATCCTCTTTTTTCTCCGCCTCTTCCACATTATTTTATTCTCATTCTTTCTCTCTGTTGGCAATTTGGCAGAGCAACAGCTACAACATTAGCATAAAGAGAACAATTTACGCGAACAAAGCAAAATCAATGAGAACAACGCTGACGATGACGACGGCCACTGTAATTTCATGTGACGTGAGGGAGTGAGCGAGCAGGCAGACGTGTAATGAGTGAGTAAGTGAGTGAGTGGGACAGTCAGAGTCGTCAGTCACACTGGCGCTCTTTCTCTGCCTCGCATCCCCCTCTTTGTGCATTCATTCACATGCCATTAGCATTAATGGTCGTAGGGGTCGGGAGAGGGAAGAGCGAGCGAGCGAGTGAGCGGTGGAGAGACTGCAATTAAACCCATGCATGCCCATGGGGTCGTTCTGGTACGTAACTGCAAATTACAGGTGTGCCAAAAGTGAAAATCACAAAACTGAACTCCCAATTGCACCTTTTTTTTGTTTGCCTAAAACATTCCACTCTGTGTAACGCTATAATTTATATTTCTAATGGTTGTTCATAAATTAAATATTATACATATACTGGAATATACATACACATTAGATAATTAAATCCAATTACACCACTTGTGTGTTACCGAACTTTTTGCTCAAATAGAAAGATAGTCGAAATTATAATTTGAAATTTAAAAAGCAGTCATAATTTTTTACATTTGATTTGAATAAGAAAGAAAAACAAGATAAGATGATTTTTGTAAATTCCAGCAATTTAGTTTTAACTTAAAGAAAATAATCGTATCATATTTTAGATATTAGATTATTGTTTGGTCCAGCTTAAAATAGCTTAAATTCTATAAATTATTAACAAATTCATTCTATGGTAGAACGTTATCCATTCTAGGGTTAAAGACGGCACACAGCATTTGCACGAAAAACTGCAATGGAAAATTCCACTCGCTCATGAGTGGCTTTTGATTGCGTGTCCCGTCCCTTTGCCACCGGCCCCGGCCAGGCCCTACCCCAACAGCTGTTCCATTCGGAGAAACGGGCATTTGATCGATAAGAACGGCACCATGGAAAAGAGCATATGATATGTACACATGTATGTAAAAGTAGGTGTGCAAATATTTGAGCTTGGACATTGAGCCCTGGCTTAAAATTAAGGTGACGAGAGATAGAGAAAGAGTGTGGGTGGATACCTGACTCCAAAAAGCAGGCATCAACACTTGGATGATCGTATGCCCCGATGGAGGAAAGAGTTTCTCATTCAATAGGTATAGTTCCCTCCCGTCTGGCATCTGGGATTGGATGCATTTAGATATGGAATTCTAATCGAAACTAAGGAAGAAGATTCCAGAAACTTTGGATGGTCGGGCATGGGGCTCGATGTCACGCCGACGGGCTTATGTAAGTGCCTGGTTTTGGCTCTATTACACATATGATTCAATTCCGTTTACTTCCATTCCCACCATCATCAAGTGGGTATGATGATCGTAGAATTGTGAAATTGCTTGCAAGCGACGTCAATGCGTCGCTAAACATGTGAGATAATAAGAAGGTACCAGTACGAGTACGATTGTTACACGGGCTGGATAAATCAACCTACCGCAATTCGAAATGATAATCATTTTCCAAACAGGAAACTATAGATCAACTTTTCAAAGTCAAATTGTAATCGAATTAAATTTAATTTCAAAGAAATTACTAAGAAATAGTTTGCCGTTTCATAGCCATATGATATGGAGAATTTATTGAATTATCAAATTTTGTTTATCCGAAAATTTTAGAACGAGTTGGTACATGCAATTCTCATTCATTGCTTGTTTACTCATGGTAATTTTCTTATATTTATTTTTTTCTTGAAATTTAATTCGCATTGTACGCTTTAGGTATACAGTATGTCAGCTCCAATTAAATAATTACGTTTATTTCTATTTTTGATGTGTTTGTCGATTTCATTTAATTTTTCCATTCATTCATTCGCTTGATAATATTTTTCAGCTAGATACATACATACCATAAGTATGTACGAGTACATATGTGTAATGACACGTTCTTACTCTCAAGTTATACTTGACTTTCGATCCTTCTCCCATCTGACGGCAGTAAAACTCAAGTGGTTTTACGTACAATATTCGGATGGCTACCTAAAGGGCAAGGGCGCGAGTGATGAGCAAAGATCGGCACGCACTCATTGCAGTGCGTTTGTGTGCGTAAAAAGCATTGAATTGCTGCCGATCACTGTTGCACACGTGTACGTGAGCGGCAGCGCATTTCCCTATGAACATAAGACCCCTGGGCTAGAGAAAGAGCTTTCCCATTATATATGTACATATACATATGTACATATCCAGACGTAACCCAACCCATTGCGAGGTCATTAGCTTCCCGACAGAACAGCCACCGATCGAAAAATGTTTCATGCCAAGTTCCAATATGTGTGAAAATTCATTAAGATGTGAATTTGAGTGACTCAACCAGAAGTTCTCTCTACATTGTGGGATGCGATGCCTTTAACAAACGTCAATCGTCGATAAATTGGTTCAAGGCTTTCTGCGGGTCCAAAGAAGTGATGCCTGTTGATGAATGCCACAAAAACAAGATGCAAAAAATACACACAAAAAATAAAAAACACTTGTGGGGTAAACAAATGCTAACTGCATCTAAATTGCAGCCAATTCGAAGTACGGGCACTATTTATAGATATGAGACGCTGGCGCATTTCTTTAATGGCCGATAAAAACATTTCCCACACCCACCCGCACACCAGCAACAGCACCAAAACGGTTTGGCGACGTGACAAAAGCAGCAGCGAAAATAGTCCAAAAGGCATGACATCGGAATATCTCTGGGAGCAGGGCAGGGCAGAGGTATGTCTCGAATAGATCGCACGTTTATACGAGATGCGATACAAACGGCAATGCAAAATCACTAAACTGCCATTATTATTTATAATTAATGCCAGTGTTGAAAAAATCCTGTCAGATGTTATTTGGATAAAGGGGCAGCACTGTCCGGCTTAAAAGAGCTCCAGTTCAAATCACTGAATGTGCCTAAAATCAATTAACTTCAGTGATCTATTTATATAAAGCATCTAGCCACATTATCTTGAGATAGATGTTGGAAGTGCTACCAGCAAGTAAATAAAAATTTGACTTGAAATTTGAATCGAACCGCTCAAAATAGCTCACCGCTACATGGCTGTTAAGCCGCACGAACGGCGACTGGCAAACACACTAAAAATACCACACATATTCATGTCCACCATCTTGGGTACGAAGTTACCTCAATTGAAATTTAATTTTTTACGGCATATTTAGAGACAAAAGGTATAGAAACTTCTCTACGCAGGTTTTTTAATTTTCGCTCTTTCAAATCGTACTTCCGTGCGTAATTTATTCCAACGGATTGCATTTAAATCCTTGTCGCTCACTTGTTCTGTCCTTCACTTTCAAATAATTTTTATTTGGCGCTCAAGTTTGGAGGGACTGGCTCTTAGTCTTTTGTGATTCGCTCTATATTTCGTGATGGGATATCTTTTATTGTAATTTTTATTGTATTTTATTGTAATTTTATTTATTGTAATATTCGACGAAATATTAAAAACGAGGAATATGTACAATAGAACTTGAATTCGTCAGTATATTTACGGTATATTTCGAAAATGAGACCGTTTATTTTATATATGTATGTGGGTCAGACAGTATATTTTATCGCTAAGTCCCAGGCCACATTGGTTTTCTAGCCACCATGTCTAGCTCACACACCTTGTAAATTGTTACTTTTCACAGTATTTTCTAGTATTTAACAATCTATCTTAAGAAGCGTAAGGGACTCACCCTCTTGTCCAATGCAGCAATGTAGAAATCGTGTAGAAATGCCATTTAGAGGCCATATCGAATACTAATTCGTAATCAGCATCGATGCTGATCGTATCAAAATCGGATTTTTTTTTAAATGTCAGAAAAGTCATGACAAAAAGTGGATAACGGAGGTTTTCACACTGGCGCTTCGATGGGGCTTATATGAAACGTAAACATTTCCCCTTCAGGTGTCGCCTTCTGTAAATACATAAAGATGTAGTTAATATGTGGCGAATGTGTAGTTAGCGTGCAGTCACAATGTAAGGAAATGAATTTAGTGGAAATTGTTTTTGCTAAACCTTATTTTATAAACAATACAATGAGTATGAGAACTTAAATTAAACCAGTCTTGTGGGAAATTGATTTAATAATTGGATAAAACTATGAGTTCAGAGCTGAGGGTCTTAACTAGCTGGTAATATTCAACCGTATATCCAAAACGAGGATTATGACTCAACTTGAATGCAAATAATTCGTCAGTATATTTACGGTATATTTTGAAATTTGTGACGTATTTCGGTATATTTCGGAGGGTCAGACCGTATATTTGACCGGAATATGCGCGGTCACACTGTCCACCATCTTGGGTACGAAGTTGCCACATAAAAAAAAGTCGGAAAGAAGGAAAAAACTACCCAATCTCGCGAAAAATAAGTGTTGACTATTGTAAGAAAAAATTTATCAATCGCAATACGCGCCAAAAGAAAACCCGGCAGCGAATCGCTGGGTCAACTGCATCATTAGGCACGTACACTCGTGTGGCTCTGTCGTTGAGGAGGAGGTGGAGAGGAGGCGCTGACGCCACGCCACACACAGCACTCAGCCCAACACACACCACACACGCTAAAAGAGCCCAAGAAACAACAAAATGACCTCGAAGCGTAAGTACCAGAGCCTGTCGGGCTCCAGTCCGGCTGTGATCAAAGAGGAAATTGTGCCCGTGCTAATACAAACGGAATCGGACGATGGCGAAAACGGCGATACACCACATTACACATATGCCTACACGACGACCACAGAGGATGACGATGCCGAGACGACGGAGGTGATCACAATGGACGATCGCCAAGAGGTAATTATCGATGAGAACGGGCATGCCGTGACGCTGCAGCAATTGGTGGAGAACAGCACCGTCGAGGAGGTGGAGACCATCGAACAGGGCGATGGCACGCACACCATTCTCCGTATTGTGCCCAGCATTCGGGGCGGCCACCACGCCGATGGCGAGGAAGATGACGAGAACGAGGAACTGGAGGAGGAGATCGAGCATGATGAGGAGCACGAGGTGGAGGAGATTCTGGGCATCGAACACGAGGGCCTCGAGGAAGAGAACGAAGATGGTGTCAGCTCGATTGTCTTCGAGGGCACCATTGACCACAGCATGGAGGGGGACGGACGCAGCAAGACTTTCTACTGCCCAAACTGTGGCAACTGCTACAGCGCTGCCGGCTCCCTGAAGCTGCATATGCGCGCCTGCCTGCGGCAACGCAACGATGTCTCGCCCGAGGACCGCAAGTGTTCCGTCTGCAGCAAGATCTTCAATTCGGTGGCTTACCTCAAGGAGCACATGATGCGGCATACCGGCGAGCAGCCGTTCCGCTGCACCCGTTGCTACCGTAAATTCATCGATCAGCAGAAGTTCAACGCCCACATGGAGTCGCACAAGCATCAGGATAAGCTGGAGGCCGAGGCCGTGGCCTTGGCTGCCCAGCATGGCGGTAAGAAGGTAGTCGTGAAGGAATTCAACTGTTCCTTTTGCAACGAGGACTTCACCGTGGTGTTTGATGTGGGTCAGGTGAAGCGGCGATATGCCTGCGACGGCTGCCGCGATAAGTACTCGAATGCGGAGGCTCTGCGCCAGCACAAGCAGTTGGTGGAGGAGAAGCGGGAATTCACTTGCGATCGATGCGGCCGCAAGTTCGTCTTCGAGGGCTTCCTTCAGCGCCACTTACCCAACTGCGATGGCAGCATCAAGCGGCGGCGGGACATGAAGTAGAGATGGCAGCAACGTGATGACAATTGGCGGCCGACGAACCGCAGGCGGTTGCCCCCTCGACACCAGCTGGAGAACCACAATGATGACTATGATGATAATGATGAGTACCAGCTCCAGTTGGAGGTGGATCCCCTGATGGTTTCACCAATGCATTACGTTGTTATTAAGCAGGAGGCAAACAAGAAGGACGATACCGATGACGATCACGGCTTGGATGTGAGGCAAAAGAAAGAACAGGCAGAGGAGTAGCAATTAGCAATCGAAAGATGGATGGATGGCTCTACCGACCCCCCGGCGGGACAATCAAATACTTTATTTTGTAATTCTGAAAAATTTCCGTTTTCCCCAATCGTGTGTGTGGAATGGGAGGTGTGGTAAGAAAAGAGCAAGAAAGAGTCCAAATATCTTGAATAACGTATGTATATTATATAGATATATTGAAATAATTCTTTTTTTTCATATTGATATATTATCATTGGGACCGTGAATCATTTAAAATCCCAGAAATTTATTTTTGTTGAAGAAAAATCTTTATGAAAGGCATAAGGCCCCTTTAAGTAGAAATATTGATAATTTTAAGAACAAAAAAAAGATGATTTTTGGTTATCAAATTATATTCGATTTAGGTTTAAGAAAAAACTAAACTCCTACATATTTGCCCACGAGAGACGAATATAGAGCGAGACGGAAACGAAGAGGCATGAAATCATGAAATACGCCATCAACGCTCCAGTTATCCGGTCAATGTATAGCCTAAGCACATTACTTACCTTATTAAAAAGAAAAAAACCTCACTTTATAATTCTGCTATTTAATCGTTAATGCTTCGGGAGGCACCCGCTATTGTCAGGCAAACCCCAAACATTTCTGATTGGTGTTGAGCTCAATAAAGCCAAAGTCACACGAAGAATTCACAAAAATCATTTGGATGCCCATCATTTACTCCCATGGATGGGATGTGGGATATTGGGGACTTTCCGCAGCATCATCGCCCGCCAACACTGGAGTGTGTGTCGTTTTCCCAACCGAACGGCAACACCAGATGAGGACAGCCATCTGGTAACCTTAGGCCCTAGACACCCCACCCAGAAATGCAGTAGCCTGTGGGGCAGGAGACTCGTTTCATTTTACCCATTTCCATCAATCTCGACGTGTAATTGAGAGCAATGAGCAGGCGCGCTTAGGCAATTCTATAAACAAAAAGCTTCACAATATGCATTAACTAACTAGCAGTACGCTGCTCCGTCCAGTCGTTTCTGAGCTTACGACCAGAGCTTGATATGGGCACGCTTGGCGTAAGACTTCCAGTCGGCATGGGCATAGAACTCCTTGAAGATGGGCGTCACTAGGGTGTCCTCGGGCAGGGTCTTGAAGACGGGCTCACCGTACCAGGTGCCCACCTCCCAGCCGGGGACATTCTTCATTAGCTCGGCCTCCTCGTCCCGGTTGCGACGCAGCTGGCGCAGGAACTCACGATCGCGCTCGGCAATCAGGATCGGAAAGATGACATTCTGGGCCGAACGCATCTCGATTTCGTCGCGTTTAACCTTTTTGGCCGTCAGGTAGTAAATACCCAAGCCGACAGTGGTGACGGCCACATAGGTGCCAATCATGGTGAAGCCTGTACACGGGAGCAAAGGTTATCGAATGCACATAGTAACGCAGGCGAGCAGGGGACGAGGATCCACTCACCTGTGAAATAACTCTTGGGAGGCACACGAGCGAAGGGAATCTTCTTGTAGCCACCGGCTGGAGGCAGGTCCTGCTTAGGGGGCACATGTGACACGGCCGTGGCCATGATGACTGCTGCTGTGGGGTACACTCAGCGGTGGTTAAATGTCATTAGATTTATTATCTATAACTTACGCTATACAAATTGTGCTGAAAAAATAGGAAATCGTCAAAATGTTTTGACGTTTTGCATAACACTAGGGCTGGTCCACTACCGATGGCCCTATCGATTACGTGATTTTCGGGCAGCTATCGACTATCGCTAGGGGGGAAATTCATTTTTAAAGTGTTTTTAAGAATATTTAAGTACATATTTAATTGATTCCAGGAATTGCCATGACCTGTTTGGGCCTCTTTATTTTGCTATTAATTTTGCGGCTTTAAGGAAGCTGTTTTGATGTAACTGCGAATGTTCATATAGGTTTTAGTTTGCGATCCGTGTGTGTAAATAAATGGTATTTTAACTTCTTATTTTATTTCGTTAAATAATTTGAGAGAATATAAATTCTCACGTTCTGTCTGAAATGTCTGTTGAAATGTTCTATAGCGAAAAGCAGGTGTTGTCGAGAAAATAAACTATATATGTAAGCTATACATATGTGGACCCACAGATCATATCGATACATCGTCGCCCCATCGCTAGGCATATTCACAGCTGTCCCGAAAAAAACTGCCAACTCATTTTTTGAGCCTAGCAAGCCGTAAGAATTCTACCGGTCACAGGTTACAAGTTTAGATTCGCCTTGTTTTCAGTCATTAATAAGTATTTTCTCCAGTGTGCAAGCAATTCGTAAAATATTAGTTTTCCGTGCCCAAATTCGTTCGGTAAAAAACCTGTAAGAATGTACGTTTCGCGTTGCTTGACTGCACCCGGCGTTGGCCTACGCCTGCAATGCCGCACTTTATCCAAAAAGTCAATCTGGAATGCCAAGAATTTGCTGCGCGACCGCTTGCTCGGCACTAAAGAGGCTGCACAGGTGCAGGGCCAGGTCAAGATCCAGGCTGTGGCCCAGCAGCAAGAGGCAGTGATGGGAGGGCCTGACGTCCAGCAGGTGAGTCAAATGTTCGCGCCACATCTGGCATGTGGGGGTGGGTGTATGTGCGCGCACGCTGGTGGTGCTGCCAACCTAGACCAGACCGGAGCAGACCTGAGACCAGACCCAGACCATGGCACGTCTGCTACATGCGGCAGCGCGATTACGCGAAAACAGCGACATTTGCTTGGCGGGCCATTCAGTTGCCGCGCAGCTGCCGTGTAAGAAGGGAGAGAAGGAAACTCAACAAAAGTAAAAAAATAACATTTCCAAAAGCTATATTCTTCACTGGGGAAAGCAATTTTTTTCAGTGTTTGTGTGTGTTAGTGTGGAAAATTTGCTATCTTTTCTAAAGGCGAAAGTGTTTCTCTTCTCTCTCTCTCTATTTCTCTCTCTAAAGAGCAACAGCATTCTTCATACATAACCGTTGATCATGTCGTTCTATCGCATTTCCGCACGTAAATTGGCCGAGGCACAGGTGAGTAGTACCGTTCCTGGTTCCTGTTCCAGTTTCACTTTCCAGTTCCGTTTACTCATCCCGCCCCCGCAATGAAGCCGTTCATTCAGTTTCGCTGTTATCCTCTTCACCCCTCTCGCTCTCTTTCTCTCCCACGCACACACTAGCACTCCACATCAAATACCCTACACGTCACACAAAAAAAAAAAAAAGATTCCGCCATGTGCTTGCGATTAAGAAACTTTACTTTATTGTGCCCTGATAAGTGTGTAGTGTGGGCCATTCCACGCTGGCCAGACCATCCTGTCGAGTGTTCCGCCATATATAACACATTACATAATCTCTGAAGAGGTGGTCGGGGTGGGGGCATGGCGAAAAGATTCGCTTTGGGGCTATTTTGGCAAATGCCTATTTCTTGTTTTATATAAATAAAACACTCTTTGCTTTATTCGGGTTTAACGAACTCGGTCGCGCATCCCCGTTGCCTTTTGTGTGTTCATCTTATATTTTGGGAAATTTCCATAAGCGTGGCTTTGCAAACCAGACTTGGCCCAAAGCACCATGCGGCCTTGTTCTTGTAATGTTACAGCGTTGGCAGTGCTCGTCCCAGACCAGTCCCGTACTCTCTCTCTCGCTCTCTATCTCTCTCAAATAAATGCTCTCTCGTTCTCGAGGGTACAACAAAGGCAAGAGGAAAGGTGTATTCATATAAGGTGGGGTGGTAGTCGCCATGGCTCAGCCGAGTGGCCTTTTGTTTTCATGTGACCGCTCTCCCTTCGGTGGCTTTGGTCACAGGGCATGTCTCACCTCGACCAAATATGCCTTGGCAGAAGACAGCAAGCAGCAGGGCAGCCACAAGTCACAGGTAGCCGACACCACTCTCTCTGTGCTCTCGCTTATTACTCTCACGCTCTCTCTTGTTCTGGCTGGCTCTCTAACGCCTCATCGCGTCGTTTTGTTTTCAAAGAGTTTCTGTCACGTGTTGTTGTTGCGAAAAAAAAACAACAAAAAAAGAAATGCTTGACTGAAAACCAGAGAACCAAGAAGTCCGCCGAATGACCTTAAGAAGAGGCTGCCAATTTCACCCATTCGCCGCCCACTGGCAATGCACCCCAAGTATTTGCATGAGAGCGTCTGCTTGTGTGTGTTGCTTTTGGGGCGGCAGCATGGATTATGCAATGGCCAGCAGTAGCAGCACAAAAGTAGAGCAGAAAATTGATAATTGGAAAATCAATAAATAGTCACGCACATGGAAAGGAGAACCGAGAACAGAGCACGAGCCTTCCAGGACGAGCCTCCTTTTGTGTGTCAGTCTCGTCTTCCTCACTCTGCCGCATCTGAGGATGTTACATCGTATCTCTCTCTCTCTCTCGTTTCTCTGAACCGTTGAGTAATCCCTCTGCCTTCGTGAGAGGATTGCCTAAGGTTGGCGCTATGCCTGCCTGCGCGCTCTTCCTTTTCGATTGCCTCTGATATTTCTACTGTACCTCTTCTGCTAGGTCCCCCCCCCCCCCCTGCCTCTTTTCTCCTTCCTTCTCTGGTCCCGGGCAGAGTGCCAAAAAACGCGCGCACTGACGTGGGTACTCAGCAGAAAGCGGAACACATACGTCGGAATAGTGGGGCGAATCTCCTTATTTTTAATGATTTGCTCTTCTCTCTCTCTTTCTCTGCTATAAATAATTGCTGTAAATGCTATGCTAAATACGGTTTTTGTGCGATTGAATAATAAACATTTACAACAAGCAGCCAGCGACGATAGATAGCCACAAAAACTACACACAAATACATTGGGTTTTTTATTTCACCTTCGGCGTAGCCGTAGCCGTAGCCGTAGCCTCCCCTCCCAACCAAGCATCATTCACCGTTAAAATGGCGAACACGCGAAATCTTTTATCGCCCGTCTGCTAATACGTCACAAAAATTGTACGTGACGCGAGGTTTAGTAGATGTTTACGTAATGCTACGACCAGAGACGACCCTTTGGGCGTACACACACCCGTACACTCGTACACTCGCCAAAACAAAGAGACTCAGGAGAGAGAGAAAGAGAGTGAAAGAGAGCAGGTGTCTAGAGCTAAACAGCTGATCTAGCGATTGCATAAGAAGCAGCCAAATGCAAAAAATTGTATAAATGGTCTCGGTCGGCCTCTCCACATCTGATTAGATTTGTACATATAATTTTATTTTTATGGCGGTACTTTATGGAGGAGGTGCTGCGTGTGTGCAAAGCTCAAGTGGCCCTACTATAGGCCCCAATCCAGTCCAGTCCCTCCCTTGGATCACAATCCCCGTATCATTTTAGTTATGCTCAAGTTCGTAACGGTATAGATAACAGTTTTGGGGGGACGTCATGGAAAGTTTTATAGGCCTCTTTCAGAGAGGCTAAATTTTGTCCAAGACCTTGGCCTTCAAAAACAAAAAACAAAATATATATTGTAAAAATAATTTGTTTCATCATTATATATCCTCATATATTTCTGTCCCAGAAATCGATCAATCTGTGAGGCTATGTATCTAAAGAGACTTTCATGGTTTTCCTGAGGCAAAGACTGGGTGGGAAACATCGATGAGATTGTGTTATCAAGAGATTGATCATGTGATGAATAATCATACCCGTTCCCACACCACTCTCTCTTTCTTTGTGTCTGCCTCTCTTGATGTCTCTCTAATTTAGTTGTTCTTTTGTACTAACGCATAGCCCCAGCCCCCACCGGACCCCCGTCCCCCCATCCAACTGAACAGTGCGCCTGATAAGCGTGACAAATTTGTGCGCATTGGGCACATGATCGACGCACAGGAGAGAGAGACGCCACCACATTCGTGGGGTGGGGCCGGACAGCTGGTTAGAGCTGATAGCGCCAAAGCCCCAGCCAGCAGCCGCAGGCCCCACGAATACCCCACCAGGAGGTGTTAATTCAATCAGTTTTTAGTGATAAAACAAGCAAATATTCCTTTGCCGTGCGCCATTTTTAGTCGGTTTTGCTAATGAAGAAATCGGAATGCGCAATCGGAAACTCCACAAAAAGATAAGCAAAACAGAAACCGAACCACACATAGAACAAAGCCCATTGATGGACATTGATTGATGAATGATGATTGGAAGCTACTAGTTGAAAGAAACACTATTCGATGAAGTGACTATCTCGATGGAGGGGAAGGCAATTACAGGAACTGGTCACGAAGCCACCTCTAACCTGAATAAAATGTACGTAAAGGATGGAGAATTACAAGATTCTATTCCAATAAGGGATTATAGAAGTCAACTGAATCTCCAGCGAATCTCCGGCATAAACGCAAACGACCGAGGGGCACTGCAGCATGACGCACAACTTTTGAATTCGATAAATCATCAGTACAGGCTACAGATTAAATGATAGTTGAGACTGAATAACGATTATTGGCTTAGGACCCACCTCAGTAAGTGACTAATAAAAGCCCCGTTGCCAACTCATTGGAAGCAAAGCACTTAACGAAGGCTCCGTATCTCCGAATGATCCCCCACTCGTGTGCTTTCCCCACTCGTGTGTAATGGTTTTTGTCAAGCTTCTGGCTGCCCAGCAACAGCAGAACAGCAGAACATATCCCACAGATATACAGATCTACAGCTTAAGCAAGCAGAGTGAAATCGCTCTGGAAATTATGGCCGGGGGATGACGTCAGTGAAGTGGCCGTGGCCGTGGCAGTGGCAGTGTCAAATGTGATGTGTATTTACTTTTGGCGTCTGCTGTGAGACACAAAACAAAAAACAACAAACAACCAAAGAATGAGTAGTAATAGCTATCAGAAAACTTAATTAAGACGATTATAGATCTCGCTTTGATGGAGGAACAAAGCCGCAGCAGCCTCGTCAGACAGTCAGTAAGTCAGTCAGTTAGCAGGGGATGCAATTATTGAGCAATTGTAAAATGTTCTGTAATAATAGCAGAAATAATACTAGAAATCATTAAGCCAAATTGAAAGCGTCACGCAAAGGGGGCAAGGCGAGAGCCTCCAACGAGAGATAAAAAGAGGGTGAGAGAGAGAGAGAGGTTGCTTGGTGGATCACCTCGTGCGCTGCCAACTCTGCGCTTCTCGAGGTTGGTTTCCTTTCCCGTTAGCATCGGAGAGCTGTCCACTTGTCATGCTATGTGTTTGTATTGCTATAGCCAGACGGGATTGATTATGTAATCGCTTGACTAATCGTTCGATGCCGAAAGGAAGTCTGGTCTGGGGCAAGCAACACGCGACTCTGATCAACTAGATGACACTTCCTTAATGACAGTATGCATAGCGTTTATGTGTACACACGCTCCCGCTTATAGTTGTCGAGCCTCAGACTCAGCTGTGTGTGCGAGCGATAATTGCCAGCGCGTGAGACCTTCAAATTTCCACACACACACACACACACACACAAAGCATAGAGTACTTATGTACATATGTGCTACATCATAGAACTATACTTGATATTTGTTGTCGCTGTTATCAAGAGATGAACGAACGCCAGTCGACTGCAGCACATCGTCCCTCCGTCGACCCACCTCTTGACTAATCTCTGATAATGGAGTACGCTTGAGCACTCGAGTATTCTTTGAATTTTTAATCGATTTTCTAAGCGAACACTATCGGGGCCCAACCCACTGCCAACGCAGACGCGTCTTATCGAATGCTGCAAAAGGAAATGTCCCAGAAGAGTACAAAAACAAGAAACAGCAACATACATGTCGTGTGCTCGACAAATTACAAGAAAAGAACTGCCAGCACTGTCCATCCATCGATTGACACTTTGTCCAAAAGGAACACCGCTTTGCTGCTGCTGACTGATAGCTCAATTAGCGCTGGTCGCCTGTCTATGCCTGGGGCATGCCACTTGATTTGCTTGCGGTTTGTGCAGCAAAACGACGAGTGTTTTGCTAAGGTTTCAAATTTCCAAACAAGCCTGTCGAACGGGAAACCCGGCAGCAGCCGAAGCGGTCGTGTGTATTTTTTTCTCGCTCGTTAAACGCCCCATCGATCGTGTTGCGTTTATGTTTGACACACGCCCCTCCCATTATCGATAATTGATACATATTTGATTCTTGCGTGGCGTGTGAAATTTTATCAATGAATGTTTGCCATCAACGAAAGCCAGAAGAAAAATATACAAAACCAACCGGTTTGCGGCTGGCTTGGTCTACACAAATCAATGTGCGGCACCGAAGGGGCTCAAAAATCATGCAATTCAATTTGCAAGCAACGAGCAGCAACGTCGGACAACAAGCGGCAGGCGGCAGGCGAGAAGCGGCAAGCGGCGCCACAAGTTCAGTTGGTTAATTGAATTTGTTGACCCACTAGCCACCGCAGAGTCACCGCCGAGCCATCGCAGAGCCACCACTGAGAGCGGCAGCAGAGAGCCAGAGCCCCCAGACAGCCGACTGTCAATCAAACGGCATCGCACTTTGCGCTTGGGAGCGCGGAATCAAGTCGGAATTGGAATCGTATTCGATTGGATCCGTTGCCATGTCTCGTTTTGCATTTTTTTTTTTTACGAGTAGTACTTGCGTTTCGAACGCGTGGCAAAGATCATTCCATTCAACACACATGTGCTGTTGGCTGTAGAAGGGGGATATGCATAAAGTATAGATACTATATACATACATACCTATGTATAGCCTATGGAAACAATGGATCTCGCTTCTGCCCTTCCTTGTTTGTTTTTTTTTTTTGGCACGGGCACGGACACGGGCACGATCCCACGATCCGAAGTGACTTGAACTTCCGAACCAGTAACAGCTGTCTCTACCGTTCACTGAACCAAAGAGAAAGGGAGAGAAGGCGATTGACCCTGGCTCTGGCTATGGTATTTGTGACCCAAGGTACAGTCTGCCGAGTCCACACTGATATGAGCAGAACTGGAATAGAATTGTAATACTCTATGTTACATAGTTCGTTGACGCATCTCTATGGCGACGCGTGTGAGTCATGGAAGAATCCATAGAGATTCGTGATCTGTGCAGCGTTATCAGTCCACAGTTCGTGTCTGATGTGTGCCTTAGACTGCATCGCCACAAACGACAGCGACAGCGACAACGACAACGACAACGACGGCTTCTGTGTGCAATGTCAAGCTCTTGAAGTGCGGCTCAATGACAGGCGAAAGCGATTACAAAAGCGATTGCAGCTGATTGCCATCGTTTGCATTGATGGGAGTGCTCCCTGCTGAGAAACCATTGAATGAAGGAGATCTATATTCGATAACTTCTGCTAACTGATATATTGCAAATCAATGCCATTGATCATTTATCGGTTGTCATCGATATCTGATATCGAACTCTTTCCAATCGATTATCACTCTCCACCGGTAACTGACATTTTCATTTTACCATAGATAACTTTTCGATAATTTATCGATTAGCAATCGATGGAGGGTAACTGAAACTTTCAGCTGTAGCACCAAAACCATTTCCATTAACTATAACTTTTCGATAATTATCGATAGTCGATAACTAACTAATATTCACTGTTTGTATGTTTTTTTTGCAATTGCAGAAACTTCCCAATGTTGGGTCGTATGTGCGCCAGATCTCCGCCGATGGACGCAGCCTGCGCGACGTACTGACCGCCAAGGTGCCCGCTGAGCAGGAGCGCGTGAAGAACTTCCGCAAGCAGCATGGCGCCACCAAGCTGGGTGAGACCACCATCGATATGATGTACGGTGGCATGCGTGGCATCAAGGCCCTGGTCACGGAAACCTCCGTGCTGGACGCCGATGAGGGTATCCGCTTCCGCGGCCTCTCCATCCCCGAGTGCCAGAAGGTTCTGCCCGCCGCCCCCGGTGGCACCGAGCCCCTGCCCGAGGGTCTCTTTTGGCTGCTGTTGACCGGCGAGGTTCCCACCCAGTCCCAGGTGCAGCAGCTCTCCCGCGAGTGGGCCGAGCGCGCCGCCCTGCCCCAGCATGTGGTCACAATGCTGAACAACATGCCCACCAGCCTGCATCCGATGTCGCAGCTGGCCGCCGCCGTAACGGCCCTCAATCACGACAGCAAGTTCGCCAAGGCATACTCTGAGGGTGTGCACAAGAGCAAGTACTGGGAATACGTCTACGAGGACAGCATGGATCTCATTGCCAAGCTGCCAGTGGTGGCCGCCACCATCTACTGCAACACGTATCGCGGCGGCAAGGGCTCCCGCTCGGTCGACTCGAGCCTCGATTGGTCCGCCAACTTTGTGAAGATGCTTGGCTACGACAATGCCCAGTTCACCGAGCTGATGCGTCTCTATCTGACCATTCACAGCGATCACGAGGGTGGCAATGTCTCTGCCCATACCGTGCATTTGGTTGGCTCCGCATTGAGCGATCCCTACCTGTCGTTCGCCGCTGGCATGAACGGTCTGGCTGGTCCCCTGCACGGCCTGGCCAACCAGGAGGTGCTCGTCTGGCTGCGCAAGCTCCAGAAGGAGGCTGGCAACAATCCATCGGAGGAGCAGCTGAAGGACTACATCTGGAAGACTCTGAAGTCCGGACAGGTACAGGATTTAATAGCGCTTCTAGTCTGCCATTTGATTTACTGATTTGGTTTCGATTCGATTACAGGTTGTGCCCGGCTATGGACATGCCGTGCTCCGCAAGACCGATCCCCGCTACACCTGCCAGCGCGAGTTCGCCCTGAAGCATCTGCCCGAGGATGAGCTGTTCCAGCTGGTGTCCAAGATCTACAAAGTGGTGCCCCCAATCCTGACCGAGACCGGCAAGGTGAAGAACCCCTGGCCCAATGTAGATGCCCACTCCGGTGTCCTGCTGCAGTACTACGGCATGAAGGAGATGAACTACTACACCGTTCTGTTTGGCGTCTCGCGTGCCCTTGGCGTGCTCGCTTCCCTCGTCTGGGATCGCGCCCTTGGACTGCCCATCGAGCGCCCCAAGTCATTCTCCACCGATCTTCTGGTCAAGATGGTCCAGAAGTAAGATGGACGTCGACGAAGGCGGCGATGGGGCGGTGGAGTGGAGAGATTGGAGGGAAGTTTAAGACGCAGGTGCGGTCGCAGAAGACGAATTTCGTTCTTCGGGCAGTAGCCAAGTAATACACGAGACGAGAGTGAGGGAACAGAGAAATGAAACGACGATTGAATGTGGAGTAGAAACAACAACCAAATACGAACCAACAGCTAAACAACAACAAAACTGCTAAGAAAAACAAAAACAAAAACAAAAGAGAAAGAGCAACCACAAAAAAACAACAATAAGCTGGAAATAAGGCAGAAAACTTATTTTTAAATTAGTAAAATAATTAAAACACTCAACAAAAACAAAAAACACTTAACTAATTTTATAAGTGATCTATATATATACATGCATATATATAGGCAGATGTGTGTGCGTATATACATATATATATATATGAATATATATAGACGGAGAGAAAATTGTTTGCGCATTAACCCACAACCAGACACGCCCCCGCGCACACGCGCCCTCTTCCTTCACCCTTTCCTGGCCTTTTGTTTTTAGTTTTGTTACTTAACAAATTATGATTGACGATTATGTTTGCTGCGCAATGTTGCGCAATTTTCTCCCACACTCACCTTAATCCTCCGCCCAGCACCAGCACCTCCACCTCCACCTCCAATAATCCCAGCCCACCCATCCGCCTGCCTGAAAACCAAACCACAAAAAATTACTAACTTGATAACATATTATTTTTAATTTAAATATAATTTATTATGCAGAAATACAATACAAAAACAAGTGTAAATCGGAAGACCCAAACAACAAAAAGATCTACGACGAAAAAAACTCAATAAAAAAACAGAACAATAAATAATATAGAGAGTATATATAGAGTAGTTATTGTCACCACCACTGAGAATTGCAAACGCAGAATTCGTTGCCATGCAAGTGTAATCAAGAAAGCAACAAATTAATAAAAATGTAGCAAACTTGAAACGAATACGTATTTGCTATTTATCTATCTTCGCACAGGGCGCCCACGTTTGAAGCCCCCGCTCTGCAGAGATGTTATCGATAAGCGGCCGTCACTAAGTGTGACCCTCGACAACAGACAGTGTGACCAGCAAGCATCCAAAACAGGGCTGAGCTAGTCGATAGGTGTCGATAGGCTCGCTGCAGCCCTAGTAAAGCGCATGTTACATCATTTGCAGTCAAAATAGCTTAAAATATTAATATTTGCCCCAACGGAAATCAACTGCAGCTGCAACTAAATTCGATTAAACTAATTTGCTGAAATGTCCATGCATTTGAGAGCTGAACATTGATTTTAGGCCAGGCCAAATCAACCGACAGGCGCTGTGCAGCAGGCGGCAACAGAAAACCAGGCGCACACGCAGGCGAAAAATAAATACAAATATAAAACAATACGATGAGCGACAGCAATAATCAGGTTAGTTGATGGTCAACACAGGTGAGCGGTGAGAGACGCAGAGAGGGGACTATCAATAATTGTTACGCACACACGGCGATCCAAATTTCAAATCGAAAGAGGTCCCTCTTTCAACCGACCGCATATGAAAAAGAACATCGTTAGATTATATACTATTACTCTTCAAATGAACTTTTGTTGCAGCGCAATTTATGTGCCTGTGTGTGGGTTTCTGTGTGTGATGTGGGGTGTGTGTGTGTGTGCACAATTTGCGTTTCTATATTTTTGTCTCCCCCCCCCCCATACACCCCCGCAAACCCCACCATTTGCTTATCTCCTTTCCATTTGGCACTAATTTTCCTTCGTTCGGCTTGGCTTTTGCCTTCAGTGTCATAATTTCGCTTGATTTAATTTTATTTCATTTTATTTCGTTTCAGTTTTGTGACGTTGATTTTTGAACAAATAACCAAAAAAAAAAAAAAAAAAAAAAAACCAGCTGAGTGCGCCCAGTCTCTGAGAAGTTTTGATTCTCGTGTTCTTTTTGGTTTATCGTGTTTTCTTTTTGGTGCACCGGCGACTGCGGCTCCTGGTGGTTGGTTGGAGGAGGCCCAGACCTAGGCACAGCCTACCACGAACGAACACAACATAGAGTATCTTGCAAAGGCTGCATACCTTTTGTTTTGTATCAAAATCTTATCTTCCTCTCCAAACGCAATCACAATCGCAATCGAAAACAAAACCGAATCTAAAACGAAATGGCGGCCTACTTGAATCGCACCTTCTCGCTGGTCACTGGCCAAACGGCGCCCAACGGGAACTCCGACACCGACGACCATCACTCCTCCTCGTCCACGGACACTGTTGACAAATCCACTGCTGGTCTCTCGCGTCACAATTCTCCACTACAATCGTCTGGCTCAAATACATCGATGAATTTTGCTTTGAACCCGGTTGGAATTGCGTCCGATACGCGGCTGTATCAACCGAATGGTAAATCTCCACTGCAGATCTTTGTGCGGGCCAAAAAGAAGATCAACGACATCTACGGAGAGATTGAGGAATATGTGCTAGAGACGACGACCTTTATTAATGGTAAGGAGTCGGCATTTCCCCTGTCATTGATCTGTATTAATTAATTTATTTGCTTTCTGAGCCAGCTTTGCATGCCGAAGCCGAGATCGTGGACAAGGCCGAACGGGAGCTGTTCGAGAGCTATGTGTACAAGGTGGCAGCCATCCGAGAGGTGCTGCAGCGCGATCACATGAAGGTGGCCTTCTTCGGTCGCACCTCGAACGGCAAGAGTTCGGTGATCAACGCCATGCTGCGCGAGAAGATCCTACCCAGCGGCATTGGCCATACCACAAACTGTTTCTGTCAGGTGGAGGGCAACGATGGTGGCGAGGCGTATCTGATGACTGAGGGTTCTGCAGAGAAGCTCAATGTGGTGGTGCGTACAGAGAGAGAGAGAGAGAGAACTCAAAAGAGTGGGCACGCTTGATCCCTGGATGGTCCTTTTTGCCAATTGCAGAACATTAAACAACTGGCGAACGCCCTGTGCCAGGAGAAGCTCTGCGAGAGCAGTCTGGTGCGCATATTCTGGCCCCGCGAGCGCTGCAGTCTGCTGCGTGACGATGTCGTGTTTGTAGACTCTCCCGGCGTGGACGTGTCGGCGAATCTGGACGATTGGATTGACAATCATTGCCTCAATGCGGATGTCTTTGTGCTGGTCCTCAATGCCGAGTCCACGATGACGCGTGCCGAGAAGCAGTTCTTTCACACAGTTTCCCAGAAGCTCTCCAAACCGAACATCTTTATATTGAACAATCGCTGGGATGCCTCGGCCAATGAGCCCGAGTGTCAGGAGTCGGTAAGGCATTGCACACCCACCCCCCAACATATCCATCCTTCCTTTTGGCTGTATAGTATTTCGATCTTGTAGCTAGTATCTCGTGTCTTCGCCTTTTCTTTCTGTCGTGTATGTTGATGTGTCTTTTACTTTTTGTTTACCACCCAACCAACCAAACAAACAACTGTCCAACTTTCATCACCGGCAGGATCTGGCCAAGGTAATGAAACACACAGCTAGAACCCAGAATCCTCCATACATACCGCCTGTTCTGCTCTGCTCTGCTTTGTCGTTCCCTGAAGAGTCGATTTCCCACCCTCCCTTTTTATTGAGTTGCCGGCCAGACGGAACAGAAGATCCTACCAATCTATAATAAATATACGTTCAATTACCATCCCGTTCCCGCTCCCGTTCGACAGGTTAAATCGCAGCATACAGAGCGCTGCATCGATTTTCTCACCAAAGAGCTGAAAGTGAGCAACGAGAGGGAGGCCGCCGAGCGGGTGTTCTTCGTTTCGGCCCGCGAAACCCTACAGGCGCGCATCGAGGAGGCCAAGGGCAATCCGCCGCATATGGGAGCCATTGCGGAGGGCTTTCAGATCCGCTACTTTGAGTTCCAGGACTTTGAGCGCAAGTTCGAGGAATGCATCTCGAAGAGTGCGGTCAAGACGAAGTTCCAGCAGCACAGCTCCCGCGGCAAGAGCGTGTCGGGCGATATGCGCTCGATGCTGGACAACATTTTCGAGCGGATCACGATCTTTCGCAACCTGAAGCAGGACCAGAAGACCATGCTCACGGACCGCATCCAGGGCACCGAGACTCAGATGATGCAGGTGACTCGCGACATGAAGCTGAAGATCCACACCATGGTCGAGGAGGTGGAGGAGAAGGTATCGAAGGCCCTCAATGAGGAGATCTGGCGCCTGGGCGTCCTCATCGATGAGTTCAATATGCCCTTCCATCCCGAGCGGCTTGTCCTCAACATCTACAAGAAGGAGCTCAATGCCCATGTGGAGAGCGGCCTTGGCAGCAACCTGCGCGCCCGCCTCTCCATTGCCCTGGCCATGAACGTGGAGTCCGCCCAAGCGGACATGACCGATCGCATGCATGCTCTGGTTCCCAACGAGCAACTGATTGTTAGCAGCACCAAGATGGCCCTACGCAATCAGCCCTTCGAGATGCTCTACTCGCTGAATTGCCAGAATCTGTGCGCTGATTTCCAGGAGGATCTCGAGTTCAAGTTCAGTTGGGGCATTACGGCCATGATCCAGCGGTTCACGGGCAAGGTGCGGGAGCGCAGCAAAAAGAATCAGCCGGCCTTGGCCAACCGTCAGACCAGTATAGGGGTGAGTCTTTCTAAAGGGAAATGAAATCGAACATCAGGATGAACTCTAATCCGGCTCTCGTCTCTTTTATGCAGCAGCAGCATGGCGTTTTAACGCCCGTTAGTTCGCCGGTGGACGACAACACACCGATTTGCCTGTTGCCATCGCCTGGATCAGTAGTGGGGGGCATTACGCCCGAGCAATTGTCGCTGATCTCGCGATTTGCCCTCTCATCTGTCGGCGGTCAGGGCACAATGGGTGGCCTTTTGGTGGCCGGTATCGTAAGTATTATGTTTGCTGGGTTTCCTTTTTGTGTTTCTGCTGTTTGTGCAGCTAGCGACCTGTCGCTCCACTCTCCCTGGCCCACCCCGCCCCAAAATGCAGATTGTGTACGATCATTTCAAGCCGATAACATTCCATCGCTTACCCCACTTCCAGATGCTGAAAACAATCGGATGGCGCGTCCTGGTCGGTGTGGGTGCACTCTATGGCTGCATCTACTTGTACGAGCGCCTGTCGTGGACAAATTCCGCCAAGGAGCGCACCTTCAAAAGCCAGTATGTGCGGCATGCCACCAAGAAGCTCAAGATGATTGTCGACCTAACATCGGCCAATTGCAGTCACCAGGTGCAGCAGTGAGTATCCATTCATCCCAAAGAAACCACAAATCCATCCATCCATCCATCCATCCATCCTTTATTCTTCAGGGAATTGTCCAGCACCTTTGCACGGCTCTGCCGCACTGTGGACACGGCCACCACCGACATGAATGAGGAGCTCAAGACGCTCGAGGTGCAGCTGAATTTGCTCGAGTCGAACCAGAAGCAGCTCAAACTCCTTCGGAACAAGGCCAACTATATACAGAACGAGCTGGACATTTTCGAGCACAATTATATATCAACGCAGTAGAGCATAAACGATCAAGGATCACCATTTGATATGAAAAGAGAGAGAGAGAGAGAGAGAGAGGAGAAGAAGCTTTACATAAACCGTGAAATGAGGGGGGCGGGTAGAAAATATATGTAAAACACACACACACCCGACTACAACAACAACAATTGGCCCGTAGATTGGTTTTTTTTTCTTGTTTTGTTTGAAATTCTTTAAAATTATAGTATTTTTGTTTAATTTAATTTTTTTTATCAAAAAAAAAAAAAATCAATTATGCATGCTTTGCGACCAGAGCTCTTTTATGCTTTTCGGAACGGAACTGATCCGATCGGTTTTAAATTGTTGTTGTTAGAAAATTCATTTTAATTCCTAACTCTTATACACAATTCAGATTATATTATATAGCATTAACACTTATTATTATACACTATTATATTTTTTTGTTGTTAGTTGCTGTTTGTTGTTAAAACACACACATACATACACACTGTGAGCATGGCCTGGAAGCCATAAAATGAATTGTACAATCCCCCAGATAATGAAAATGAAACGAAATATAAAACTTTTATCATATTATATTATTAGAGAGCAAACAAAAACTAGTGATTATTATTTTGTTCAGTTTATTTTGTATAAGAATAATGAAACGAACCGAATCTTTAGCAAACAAAAAATAATATATATAGTACCTATGTGTATATGTGGTATATGGTGAAATTCCCTCACAAAAATTTGATTAATTCACGAATTTTGGATGCTGGATGCTTCATTAAACGAATGAAACAAGGCAGAGTACAGTGTCCTCCAGGGTGTATCCGTTGTCCTGCTTTTCGGGAATATCACTGTATATCTATATGTACATATATATCACGATTATTGGATGGATGGTTCGTTCGGTTGGGGGTGGCCGTTGATGCTCGTTGAACAAAAACCAACAAAAAGAGGAAAAACTATTTAAGAATGTAAGAAACTATTGTTCATCCTAAATACGGAATAAACTGGAATACATCCATGCATATATTGTAAATATTCTGCGATGTTCGCTAAAAGCTTGATGGGGGGAAAAATTCTGGGATTCTATTAAATTTTTAATTTTTTTTGTAACTTTCGCTATATGGAGAGAGAGCGCTACAGTAAATAAATTGTTGTCAGTCTAATTGAATGGGTCTCTTGTCTAGTTTAGGTGCTGCTGATTAAGAAATGCCGTGCAATGGAGCAGAAAATATCGAAAAACATGCCCTGCATTCCATAGGAGACTTCAATATTTGGAGGTGAGCAACAGAGAGTTCCCTCATAGGATTTCGGGAATAAGAGCCAACAAAGGACTTCAGTTCATTAAAAACCTAAATATACAGGGATCCTCCACATATTTCCTACTGGCCGGTTGAAAATCTATGCATCAATATACATATGGTCGAAATGCAGACCTGGAGATAATAATCGTACAGAAGGGGTCTTTAAGAGAGATATGTACATGACACATACATCTATTCATAATAATAATAATGTGCATGATATGGCCGTCTTTTATGGTATATGAAAAAACCCCAAAAGAAATTGAAATAGATGCCATCCTTAGCGTATGCCTTGTGGAAGTGAATCCTGTCTAAAGTACTTCCTCCTCCCTCGCTCTCTCCCTTTTCTCATCGCTGCATCTCTCTCTAACTACTGCACGTCCTGATTTGTTAGGAAATACCATCAGAAATCAGAGCAACAAATTTCGAAATAGTCGTTTTCTTTTAATTTATTTTTTGTTTGAATCGCGCGGTGTTCGTTTTGGTTTTGGGGGAAACTCTGTTTCACACATAAAAAGTTCTTGTTGTTGGGGAAACATAAGTGGTTTTTGTTGCGTAAATATGGTTAAAAAATGTACAAAAATTTGTAATTGCAATTTCGTTTGCTCACAGAAATAAATAAGATTGGAATCCACATTTGAAATGAATATATATACCTATATATGTATGTATATATCTATATAAAGGCGTTTGCTCCCTATCTCGCTCCATTTCCTCCCAACCGATGAAACAGCTGGAACAGACATTAGTTCCGTTCTGTTCCTCTTAAATAGAGATATGTTTGTTGCGATACAGTAAAGAGGGAAGAGCAAACTACAGGTGTAAAGGCGGCTGCTGGCGAATGGCGTTTTTGCGGGGTGGATTGGTTTTCATAGGTAGACAATTGGATGGACTGGCTCCTCCTTCACCAGCACCTTGGGGAGCCGCAGACCCAATCCTGAGTAGAAGCAAATACCACAGCTGTGCGGGATGGATTTAGAGGAAATAGGGCGTGGTATTCTGCTTGGGTATGACACGCTCATCGTCGGGCACGGCCAGGAAGATCTTCGTTGTCCGCTGCTGGGCCGTCTCGAAGCTGAGGATGGCCGCCACATTCCCGCAGCGGTAGCAGTAGTTGGGCGCCGACCAGACGGTCACCAGCTTGCCATCGAACATGTACTTGATGCCCTCGTTCACCAGCTGATGGGCACGACAGATCAGATCGAGATTATTGATGGCCATGAAGTCTTTGGTGACATTGTGGCCAAAGAGCCAGCCGGCGCCGCGCGGACTCTGGCCCCAGTATTCCATGTCCTCCGGGTCGGACCAGACCAGATCACAGAAGGCTCCCTTGTACGGTATCTCACCATTTCTCTCGATGGTTCGTATTTGATCCAGGGTTATAATCTCGGGACTCAGGCCGCCATGCACGCACAAGATCTCCTCGTCAATGATCTGCAAGCAGAAAAGAAAGCAACAAAGCGGGTAAAACCGGGACAATCGCAACGCAAATTCGGGGGTTTCAGATCTCACCGCAGCTATGGTAAGCAGGTCGAAGACCTTGCAGCAGTATTTCCAGCCATTCGTGTTGCCGTACTTGCCAAAACACTCGTCAAAGAACCCATACACCTTGGTTATTTGTCGCGTCTCGTGGTTACCGCGCAACAGTGTGATTCGGCTGGGGTGGCGCGCCTTCAGCGTCAGCAGGCGGGTGAATGTCTCCAGGCTGTAGTAGCCCCGATCCACAAAATCTCCCATGAATATGTAGTTTGTGTCCGGCACCTGGCCGCCCTCCCGGAACAGCTGCTCCAAGTCATAGAACTACAAAGGGGCGACAGTTCAGGTTGCATATCAGTTTTGGGACACAAAGCACGCTGCCTGGGGCTGGCTGCTTGGCGCCACTCACCTGGCCGTGTATGTCGCCGCAGACGGTGACGGGCGTGCTCACTGGCAGTATGTTCGTCTCCTCCAGGAGGATGTCGCAGACCATATCACAGAGCTTCCTCAATTCATTTTCGGGCAGGTACTTGCACTCCTTCACAATCTCTATCCATTTGTCCACATCGCCCATGTTGTCGGCTGGCCAAAAATTTTATATATTTTATTTTACTATTCGATCAAATATCGGACTTATTTTTAAAATATACCGTCCGACTCTCAGAAATATACTAAGGTATACGGTGTCATTTTAAAAATATACCGTAAATATACTGACGAATGCCAGTTCTATTATTTCTATTCTATTATACATATTCCTCGTTTTTGAAATACCGTCGAATATTCTTAGCTATACAGAACATTTAGCCATGCCCACATAATTTTATACGATTTATGAATAATTTTTCTACTTAACTGGCTTATTCTAAATACTTGCTTTTATTACATTTTGCGTAAAAAAAGGTTTTAGCGAAAATGGTCAAACAAATGATACGTAATAAAACGTAAGAGAAAAGTCGTTCCAATTGCTCAATTTCTTTATTCTGTTGAATAATGCTGGCTAACTAAAACCCTTAGTTCTGCCCACATAATTTTATGCCGTTGAAGAATAAATTTTCTTTCTGATTGACTACTTTTAAGTACTCTCTTATATTGTATAGTGTAGAAAACAATATTTAAACAAAAAAGGTCAACAAAAAAACAGTGGCAACGTAAGTCAGTGTGAAATGTCACGTCAACCGGAGTTTGGGCACAGGTATACCCTATTTCGTTGATATATATGAAGAATCTTTGTTTTTCAAGCTGTTTTAAAACGCAATTAATATAGAAATGATCTCAGATTGTTATGTTTTGGACATATTAATGCATATGATTAGGGTCTTGTAAATATATCTCGATCGCGATACCCATATTTGGTTTCAGTAAGAAGACCACAACCTTCAAAATATCGTTGATTGTACCTTTTCAACAGAGACTGACTAGTTTTGGTCTTTATTGGTGCATTAGATGACAAAAATTCTCTCAGTTCTATAATATCTATTTCCCAGGGTATGCAAAATGTTGCTCAATCCGCGATGACAAATATTTTCTCAATTCTATAATATCCTTTCCTAGGGTATGCAATGTTGCTTGCATGTTGCCGCAACATGGGACGCGATTTTTGCTCTCGGCCAATGAAAATCGTCAAAAAAGCAACATGTTTTGCATTTATTTTTTGACGATTTTCATTGGCCGAGAGCAAAAATCGCGTCGACCCGTTTTAACCGGTTCGTAGTTTGGCGGTATATTTAAAAAAAAACTATGTTTATATGGATATAGTATTATATGAGGTGAACATCAAATCCATATTTAAACTAGCATCTATGGAGGTCGCACTTCTTGAAGACACTTGCCCCACAGTATAAGAAAACTGTTATATTGTACATGCTTTCGATGCCAATTTTGTTTAATATAGAATACGCAAATTGGATCTAATACAGAATGTTGGTTTGCGACATTTTCGGTGAATGATCATACATATCTACATACATACATATGTACTGTATGGTTAGTGGTTCTACCCTACTGTGGCGGCAATCGTTGCGTTACACCAAGCCGATTGCTACGAAACTGAAGCGGGCTCTTTAAGTTTGCTGGCTGACAAGGGCTGCCTGCCATTAAATGGGCAGTTTTAAAAGGTTTTCAAAGTTCGACGCTTTCAGAGCGATTAAAACCTGAATATAAATTGTTTAAAATAATAGTGCACCATACGAAGAGGGCCGGCATTTATTTGCACACACGAATTTCAGGAAGTGGAGCATGGCTGGCTGGCGGAGCAGACTCAAAAACAGTCCCCATTCATGGCATGGCTCAAAGCAGACGCGCCACTGGCCACAATTCAGTCGAATACTTACGGCGCTAGCAATCGGACGCGTTTCAAAACTTGCTCTCTGCCTTCTGCCACAACACAGCCGAAGTCTGCCACAATCTGCTTCTGCTTCTGCAGAGCCCCCCTCCGTTTCCGTTTCTGCCTCCGTGACTGTCTGTGGAAAGTGTAAGCAACAAATACAAATTGATTCAAGAGGGATTCGAGCTGCGGCTGAAATTTCATTGACGATTCCTTTGAGGCAAGACAGTCTCCATGCCACTTGCCACTACCAAATATCCATCATCTCTGTGCCCCGTCCCCGTCACCGTCCCGTTCCAATTGCGTCAGGGTGTCGCGTGTTTTTCGGCCAGTCCAGTGCTAATTTTGGGCGCCACAACGCGTAGGCGTAAAGAGAAACTACACGGAAAGAGAATTTATTTGTTTGCATTTTTGTTTCGCTTTTTTTGGTGTGAAGAAATTGAAGCCCGGCAAAGGCAACAGCGTTAGCAAAAGCAAAAGCAGGCGGCCGCCGGAGACAATGAAAGCTGATTGAATATTTTATGCAAATTTCCATTGCAGCCACTCCGCGGGAAAACTTACAACAGCAGCGGCACCAAATCATTGGGCAGAAAGAGTCGTCGAGCAAACAGGAAGTCGCAGGAAATCAGGTAATAAACCCACACTCGTAAATATTGTATATTGAAAACGACACTCTAGAGGTCTCCCATCCTATCCCATTCCATCCGCAAGTGGGAAAGCTGAAGATCAAGGCCAGTCAGTCAGTCAGGCAGCGCGGGGAGGCCACTGGCGGAACAAGGCTAAGTTGCGGCTTATCTGCGTGTCCTGGTGCCACTTCTGCCACTGCCAAGGTGAAGGTCGTGCTGCAGTTTTTGTTGTTATATAAACAGCCAGCTAGGGGGACAGGGAGAGGGAGTCCCAGAGCGACTGGTCCAACCAACGTCCAACCCCCTGCTGTCAAGGGCTCACACTCACCCACTAACCCAGTGCGCATGTCTCTCCTCGTCCATGGGTGTCCTTTGGCCTTGCCCGAAGACGGCCTCCGTCAGGGCCATCCTCCGTCGCGTCACCAGGGGGAGGGGGGCAGCATTGAACTTGACACAGGCCACCAGTGGCAGCAGGCAGCAAGCGCCAGCCTCCTGGTCTGCCTGATCCCCGCTGCAGAAGCCAGAAGCCACTTTCAATGCGACCACGAAACGGTTAGCGGTAACAAGGTTAGTGGGTTAACCGCTTGGAGTGGATTCGAGTGGAGTGGAGTGGAGTGGAGTGGAGCTGGGGGTCTGGTCTGTGGTCTCTCTTTCTTTCTTCTACGCCCCGGCGACGTGTCTCCCACCTCGAACCGCGGCCCGGATTCAGGCAAACAAACCCGTTAGCAAGTGCTCTGCACGCTTCTGATCGGCTTTAACTTTTCTTTGTCCATTAAAAGCCACTTACTCTTGGCCAAGACGACACTCGTCCGTCGATTACTTTCCCTGCTAATCAAAATTGAAAACCAAAAACAGAACCACGGAGCCACGGTCAAAGCCAGAGAGGGGGCGGAGGGTATGCAGAGCCTAATTGAAAGAAATTTGTTTGTTGCGACACGCTTGGACTTTGAAGTTGGCCATGACCATGGCCATGGCCATGGCCAAGGCGATGCCGATACCAATGCGAGACCGATGGCTGCCTCGAAGTGGCACAGCCATGGACCAAGTGAAATTGAGCGAGACGGCGGCTGCATGAATGTCGCGGAGATGGATCGCATTAGGACCGAATCGAAAACATGAAAAACAGTATCATGCGATACGGGACTCTTGATAGAGATAGGCATGGGCATCCTCCTTATGCCGGATAGATGATAAACTAATTCGGTTTGTATCAAATTTGATAAAGCCACAAACACAGGACACCTCTACCTATTCCTATGGCCATTGTTCCATTTTCTGCTTATTGGAACAAACAAGTGTTTTAATGGGGACTGATGGGGTTCTAACGTGTCGCAGGAAATGTTAAATAACCGATTAGTTTCGAAATGAACTTATAATGAATGGGGCTTGGTGGATTAATGAGTAAATTGTTTGGTCATCAAATGAAATGGCAATAAATTGAATGAAAGTGTGAGGAATGCAAGCGAGAAATGGGAACAGCTTTAATCAGCATTCAGTCCCCGGTTAATGATCGCCATGCCCAGTAGGTCAGTCACTCACTCACTGGAACAGAACCTTTCTTCCCCAAAATATCCATTTCCATTCCCTCAACATCTCGACTCAAACAAATGTAAAATGAAATAAAATAAAAGAGGTTCGATGACTCGCGCGTGAATTGCATTTTAAAGCCGCATTTCACACTTGGCTGGCGGACATGGACCCGGACACGGACAGACAGACTGGTAGACTGGCAGACTGGCAGACTGGCAGACAGGCAGACAGGCAGGCTCACAAAACGAATGAACTCAAAGAGCCAGCCCCACACGAACCCATGAGATGCGATGCGATGCGGTCCAATCCAACCGATCCGATAATTGCATACAGGGAAACACAAGAAAAAACGAGCAACAAAAAAAAAAGCAAGTAAATATACAAAATTAAAACTCTCCAAAATACACAACAAAAACGAGAAAGAAAGGGGCCCGCCCGAAGCCATGGATACCCTGCCAAATCACAGCTGAATGCCATAGTAGTTCCTACAATACTTACCTTTCATTCTGAGTACGGCCTGCAGTGAAAACAATCTGTGATCTGTGCTGTGGTAATGTGGTATTCAGATACTTTTCAAACTGAGCGACTAGGGGGAAGTGTTTATCTGTATAAGCTCGAGTACACATTTACTTAATGCTGGTATACTGGTTGCACACAATCATAATACCCTCTGGATGGGTAGAAAAAATGCTGTGGAATACTCGTACAAGCGGGGGGATCGGGCCGGGGCTGGGGCCAAGACGAAGCCGAAGCCGAAGCCAAAGCCAAAGCCAAAGCCCCGCACTCGAAAGTTTTTTGAGACAAGTTAAATGAAAACCAAAACAAACTCATTAACTGCTGGTGGTGGGGCAGAGAGAGAGACAGAGAGTCGGGAAAGAGGGGCATTTGAAAAACTGAAAAAAAAACTAAAAATAAACGGAAAATTACCGAGCAGCAACAATAGCCACACTTTACCTGGGGGGATAGAGGTAGAGATAGAGGTGGAGCTGTTGATGGAGCTGTTGTTGGAGTTGGCGCAGACTCCAATTTTCACTTTCACTGGGGTGTAGCCAGGGGCAGAGGTCGCGCTCTGATAAGCCCCCCAGAGAGGCAGACAAACGCAGAATAATGCTCGTTGCTCTTTACTGTTCTGAACCGGTTACAATTCGCTTGCCGCCAAATGAGTCGCAAAACAGAGAGATGACCCAAAAAGGGAGATCGGGGCCGGGTCACGTGCTCCATCTAGAGTTTGGCGTTCTGTCGTATCCATGGCCGCAGCGCAGAGACGCGCTCGTAGCCGTCGGGGACCGACCGCCCGCAGCCGCCCAACACAAAGCTGGCCACGCCCACCAGGTTGCCGCCGTAGGTGGCAGGACCGCCGGAGTCGCCGTGGCAGGCCCCCTTCTCGGCCTCATGCAGCAGGCACATGGTCGTGTCTGATAGAGATCCATAGTAGCGCTGCTTGCACGTGTCGCGGGCGAGTGCGCGCACATGTGCATAGAGGAGCTCATCCGAAACGGGCCCGTTCTGGAAGATGGCCCCCCACCCGGAGATGTCCACAATGGAATCGTTGGGCGGATCACTGGTCGCCAGGGAAATGGCCTTTATATAGGAGCTGAACTTCAGAGGGGATGCCAAGCGGAGCACAGCCACATCATAGCCCGAGCCGCCGTACTGGGGATGCACAATCACCTGGGCCACATTCACGAGCACTCCCCCGCTGGAGAGGCGCAGACTGCCGGCCCGAATGCTCAGCTGTGAGGCGGGAGTTCTGCCAGAGAGGAGGTAGGATCAGTGGGAAAGGGAAAATCTACAATCCAGAAAGTACTTAATTCTCTTACACATTCTTCCCCGACTTGACGCAGTGGGCGGCCGTCAGGACGTAGCTGGACGACAGGATGGAGCCACCGCAGGTGAATCGCTTGTTATGCCGCAGCGAGATCTGGTGGGGGAACTGCCCCGCCACGGCCCGAGTGCCGCCGACGATGCGGGGCGTGGCCCCATCGTCCAGATCTTGGCCGCGGATGCCGCCGGCGATGCAGGTCATCAGGAGGAGAAATGCGGGGCTTCGTAAAGACATTTCCGGTTCTTCTTCGATTGGATTGTGGCTGGATCGACGCCTGGATCCGCTTATTTATGATAGCCCTGTGGCCCCGTCATCATCATCAATGTCTCACAGTCAAGTCACTATCGGGGCTTGTCTTCGGTCTGGGCCCTAATGTCTGTTTCAATTAGGGCGCCTGCTCCAATGGGGGAGCTGTAATGAGAGGGTTGTGACATCACCCTCAAAAGGGAAGAACATGGCTTAGTACTGTGGAAAGACTATTGAGATTTGCATATCTATCGGAACGGAATTAACTGCCAAAGGGATCGTCAGCCTTTGTTAGGGATCGCAGAATGACAACAAGATGGCTTAGATTGCCAATCGTTTTCAGTTATTTTGCTTGCTTAATAACTGCATTCCAGTGTGATAGTGATCCCTGGCATTGTTAGATAAAAACAAGAGCCTCCCGCCATCGTGCTGAGCCATAAATTGTGCCATAAACATTTTATAGGGAATTAGTACGGTGCGGCAATCGCCAGCCTACGTCCAGTCCAGTGGCAATCGTCTCCTTATCCTTATCACCATCAATCGAATGAGTCACCCCCAAATGCCGTCCCGACAATCACCGACTCTTACCGACCAAGAACAAACGACAGGGCCAATTAGTTGGGCCCCAGAGCCATGAGGTAGTATAATATTGCTAAGGGATTAGGGATCTAGGCGATCAGCGGCTGCAGCCACTCGTAGAAGCTGGACACCCGCACGAACACGTCCGGATAGCGGGAGCCGCAGGCACCCACCACAAAGTTGGTCAGTCCAATAAGCTTGTTGTTGTAGACGGCTCCACTGCCCCCGTCGCCGTGGCAGGTGCCCTGCTTGAGCTCGTGGGCCAGGCAGAAGCTGGTCTTGTCGTGGGCGCTGTAGGCGTCCAGGCAGACCGCCTCCTCGGCGACGGTGAGCGTGAGCTCGCGGATCTTGTAGGAGTTGCTGCCCTCCACGGTGCGTCCCCAGCCGGCGACGCTGACGACGGAGCCCTGCGCGGGCAAGTCATCATCGCCGCTGGCAAGCTCCACGGCCATGATGCGGTCGGTAAAGGCCAGAGCGGAGGTGAGGGTGATCACGGCCACATTGTTCTGCAGCTGGTAGAAGTCCGGGTGCACGGTGACCGACTCGACGTAGACAACCTTTCCACCGGCATACTGATTGGTGCTGCCCACGCGGCACGTCAGGCGGCTGGGTTCGATCCTGGATGGGATGGGAATATTTTGTGGTTAAAAGATATCCCTTCGTCTGTCTCTTGTGCGGGGCGGGGCTGCACTTACAGCTTTCCATCGCGGTACAGACAGTGGGCCGTGGTCACCAATTTTGTCGCGGACACGATGCTTGCGCCGCACACATGCGCATTGTCCACCCGCAGAGAGGCGGCATAGGGAGTGTCGGTGGGGCCAGCCTCGTCTCCGCCCAAGATGCGGCTCTTGAGGCCTGCCTGGCAGCCTCCTAGGAGTACAGAAAGGCAGAGCAGGACTACCACTAGGCCACTTGATTGGATCATCTCTCTCTCTCTTTCTTTTTGTGAAGTACCTTTTCTATTGGGGGTGAATGGGTGCTTCCTCCGCCACCGATGGTTGGAACTGAAATGCGTAGCGCAAAGGCCGACCGTTTAAGTGGACAACACCACGCAGAACCCCCCTCTAAAAGCAGCTCCCCCCTTAGCTGGTCTTATCTGGGGCTTGGACATCGGAATAAATCTAATCTTATCGCGGCCTTTTCCAAGCTAAATTGGACGTTAGGCGATGTTATTTCCCCCGATCAATTCGCACACAGAAATACACACTCGTAATATCGATTCGATTGCATTTGTAGAAGCAGAGTCCCCTCTCCTTCGCAGATCTATGACCATGACAACAAAATGGATCCAAGAAAGATAGGAAGATGAGTAAGCCGTGAGTCAGGAACCTGATTTTCGAGTGGGACGGAAAAAAACCCCTGGAATGATCCACACAATCGAGAACATTTGAAATGCCTATTAGACTACCGAAACTCCTATGATATATGTAGATCTATAACAAATGTTAAATCTACTGCTTTCTTATCGAATTAGGAATAGAAAAGGACTGACGAAGGAAAAGGTCTTTCTAGCAACAAATTCCAAATTTAGCACTACAGATATCGAGACTGGGGTTTTCCCTAGATCTATACCAATAGATATCTCAATTGGAAAGTATTATTAGCGATTACCGAAATGCAGCTATAAATATTTTCCTAAGCCACAGTAGACCTGCGATTATTGCTGGCCAAATATGACGATTCCAGACTCAAGAGGTTTCCGTAGATCTCTATCACATTATAATGGAGTGTTAATAGAAATAATAATTCGTCGATTTTCTATAATTGGCGGTGAAATTGATCTCATATAATTGTTAATCGATAAGTAAACCTTGCTTGTCATTGGCTAAATTTGTTTATAGTTTCCCACTCGACCTCGATCAGGAATAGCTTCTGGCTAGCTCTGCGTTTAATCCGAAATCTCGGGATTTTTTAGGTTTCTATCAATCCAGAGTAAATCGATAAGAAAGCCTTAGTAACAGGATAGAAATATTTCCAATTGAAAAGCCTGATCGGCCCTCCCGACTGCCCAAAGTCGGTCAATCCCTTAGCGCTAAAATCGAAGTATACCAATGGACCCTTCAAGGTCAGTTATGGAACCTTTGACCAGGGAAAAGTTTTGCAGCCAATCATGCAGTAAAGACGCCACAAAACGAGGCCGCCTATCAGGCCAAATTTATGGCCGTCACTAAATTCTATAGCCTATAGTTTCTCTCTTCTTGGAAGCCCCCATAAACCGGGTCTGGGGCTGCTCCGAATTTTGGATTAGCCATGGAAACACATTATGTTCTTGTTTATAGGAGAAAGCACTTTATGCACATGAAAAAAAAAATGTTGAAAAAAAAGCGCATCTTCATCCTATGGTGTTCTCCTGCAGATACTCGTAGTCTACTGAGCATTTGCCTCGATCCAATCGAGATAGTAGTAGATGCGAGAGGCCACGTCCGGGTAGGAGCTGCCGCAGTCCGCGAACTGGAAGCTGGTGATGCCCTGAAGCACCTTGTTGTCATCAATGACAGCGGCACCGGCATCACCGCGGCAGATGCCCTCCTTCTCGGCACTGGTCAGGCACAGGCAGGATTCGTAGCCATAGCCGGCGGCCAGCTCGCAGTAGGGAGAGCTCAGCGTATTGTAGTTGGCCTTCTGCAGCTTGTAGGGGGCCGAGCCGTCAGAGACCTCGCCCCAGCCAGCCACATAGACGGGTGTGCCGTTGGGCAGCTCCGTGGACTCCTCCTCGGCGGAGCCCTCCTCCACCTTGGTGGGCAGGGTAACGGCCGTAATGCGCTCCGTGAATACCAGGGGCTCACTTAGCGTGATGATGGCCAGATCGTGCAGGAAGTTTCCGTACGAGGGATGAATGAGGACGCTATTTACATTCACGATCTGCCCGCCGGCATACTGGTTGATGCTGCCCACGCGCACGCCCAAGGTGCTGGCAGCCACCCTGCAGAAGGAATTGATTAGAAGGAGGGTCACCACTTGGGTTGGGTCGGGGTCACCGGTCAATACTCACGGTGTTGTGCCCATATCGGACACGCAATGGGCGGCGGTCAGCAGATGGGTGTTGGAGATGATGCTGGCCATGCAGGTGTGGGCCTTGTTGTGGCGTAGTGAGGCCGACCAGGGAAAATCGAAGGCGGTGGCATCTTCGCCGCCTAGAATGCGGCCCTCGGGCGAGGACTGAGCCACCGAGAGGAGCAGGGACAGGGCTAGCAGAGCGAGCGCTAGACGTGGAACAGCCATGGCGTTGGAATATCAACTGATTCCAATGGCCAATCGATAGCCACTCCACGGCCAACCCTAGCCCCAACCAAAGCCCCAGCATTCCGCCGTCCCGCTTTCCTGGCCCGGCCTGCAGCTCTTCAGCTAATCTTGAGCACAAACAACGATAAGCGTCGGGGCGATTTACGAGCCGTCCCGCAATCGATAAGATTCGGCTATGGGTAAACCTATCCCCGGCACCATAAAAGCCTCTATAAAGGGCTCCAGACTAGGAAGCGGACTGCTCAGTTTTCTTCAAAGCCAGCATGCATTCAGTTCAGACACTCCTCGTCCTTCTCCTGGCAGTGGCCATGGGCGTGCAGGCCTCCCGGCTGCCCGCGGATGTCGGCTCCCATCCATATGCCATCTCCCTGCAGCGCAATGGAGCCCATATCGCCGGCGGTGCTCTGATCAGCCAGCGATGGGCTCTGACCGCCGCCCACTGTGTGACCGTGGGTGGGGGTCAGGAAAGGTAGAACCGCGCCCGCTCGAAAAAAGAGTCGAGTCACCCATTAATATCTGCCACTAATCTTCCCGTAGCTATCCCGCCCGCACATTCCTCGTCCGCGCTGGCAGTATTCAGCGCCTTGTTGGGGGCCAGCTGGTGGCCCTCTCTAGGATCGTGGTGCATAGCGACTACTCCAGCGGCGGCGCTGGTGCCAACGATCTGGCCCTCTTGGAGCTGGCCTCCCCATTGACCCTTAACGCCAACACCCAGCCCATTGGGCTGGCCAGCGAGCGTCCTGCCGTGGGCTCCCAGATCACCTTCGCCGGCTGGGGAGCGTCACAGCCCGACGGAGCGCTCAGTCACGGCCTGCAGGTGGCCACCAGGCAGTCGATCAGTGCCGATGCGTGCCAGGAGTCCTTGTTCCTCAGTCAGCAAGATCTTCTCTGCCTGGTACCCGAAACGGATGACGTGGAGAGCTCTGGTCTCTGCACCGGCGACGCCGGATCCCCGGCTGTCTACAACAACCAATTGGTGGGCATTGCCGCCTTCTTTGTCAGCAGCTGCGGCACCGAGCAGCCCGATGGCTACGTGGATGTGACCCAGCACCTCGACTGGATAGCCGAGAACAGTGCTTGAATAAAACCAATCAAAAACTCTCAAAATTTGTATCTTCCCAAAATGGAATGGCTTCCAAGGCCCAGTCCATGGGTCATTATCTTTTTCTTAAGCCTAGGTTCAAGTCTTCTCTCTAATATGTATCGTGAACTTCATTTCGATAGGTTTTAGTGGTAGTTTCAAGAACTGGCAGCTGCATTCCCTGAAAAGTTATAGTTTAAGTCTATCTTAATTTAAAATATCAATTTGAATGCTTAATATTTTCAAGACGGTAAGCATAAGCTGCAAAGGGTCTTCGGCTGATTCATAGCTGTATTCGTTAGCTTTTCAGAATTTTAATGTCGTTCAACACTGAGTGTAACATACTCAAGTTATGTGGAAAAACGCAAGCTTACTTCAGAAAGAAAACATTAAACAAAACTCATAATTAATGACGAATTTGTTGTGCCCCAAATCTATTCATCTGATGTTGGAATTTTATTTGGCTGTTGACTAGTGCCATCACCAATTTTATTTGAATGTGTTTCTAAGCTTTGGTTTAATAAAAATCACATGGAACTATGGATCTGCCAGGGTATCTACAACTTTGTTACCCCATGCTGGTCTTTTTAATGTACTTTTTCTACCTAATAGACGGAATTTCTATCACACAATCTAATCTAATAATCGTATATGAAGTGTGTATAACGTACATTGAAGTTTTTTCTGAATGGTGGTACCTTAGCAATAAGCCTTTTTCCTTTTTCTTGAAGGCCTTTGCTGGTTGGACTATATTTTAGAATGTAATCCAGGTGTCATTCTCTACAGAATATCGTAGAAAAACTCTTATATTCTTGAATGGGTAAGACACCGATTGGACCAAGGTCCAAAAGTCATTTCCTAAAATACGTATAAGTGTACGAAAAATGGATAGATAACCATTTTTGCCTGTTAGAAACATCCGATGGACCTTTTCGTACGTTCCATTCCCCTATCACATAATCCCTGTTGATGAACTGGGCTTCCATTTCTGTCCCGGAAACAGCATTGAGACACTCTCTTCTTGCTTGAATATGAAATAAGGTAGTTTTGAAATTTATTGGATATGCTGCTGGATCCAATCATAGTTGGCCGCAATGCTGATGAAGCGCTCTGGGAGCAGGCCACCGCATTCGCCCAGCATCTCGCCGGCCAGACCCACCAGCTGCTGCTGGTAGACGGCAGGTCCGCCAATGTCGCCTCTGCAGATGCCATTGCGACGCTCATGGCCCAGGCAGAGCACTTGGTCGTTGTCCTGGGGCTCATCCTCGCTATAGCTCAAACGGCACTCACGGGCGGGCATTACGGCGGCCTGGCCAATCTGCAGGGTGCGGTGCATGTTGACCTCCGATTCGGTGGTGCGTCCAAAGCCGGATATATCCACATGGGCGCCCACTGGTGGGTTTTCGCTGGCCAGTGCCACGGCACTCACGTTCTCGTCGAAGACAATGGGCTCCTTGAGGCGGAGCAGTGCCAGGCCGGTCTTGAGGGTGTTGTAGTTGGGATTGATCGTGATTTCCTCAACGCGAATTTCCTTGCCGCCGGTGTAGAGATCCACGGATCCAAAGGTGATGCCAAAGAGGTTAGCAGACCAACTGAAAGTATAGGATAGATGAGCCTCGTTCATCCTCTTGCTTTATTCCCTTTCCACTTACGGCGTGCTCTTGCCATCGGAGCAGACACAGGTGAGAGCTGTGAGGGCATAGCGCTCGGCGATGATCACGGCACCGCAGTTGTAGCTGCCACCGATTGAGAGGGCAGCCTGGTAGGGCAGCTGACCGAGGACGGCGTCCTCGCCACCGGCCACACGACCCTGGGGTAGGGCCTGGCTCAGACAGCAGGCCAGCAGGAGAAGTCCAGCGGATAGGGTGAGCTTCATGGTTCGTTCTTCTTTTGGTCAAGAGATGGCGTGAGATGGTGCCGGCCCTCTGCTTTTATAGGCAATCTGCCTGGAGGTGGGAGTATCTTATCGGGTCCCATGGAGCCAGATAGGGTATAGATAGTGTCATCCGGTCATAGTCGCCGAGCTGATTAGACAAGCCGAAGAAGCCTTCGGATGGGGCATGGGGTATCTGTACTGATCTATTTCTGGGAACTCGCCAGGCCAGGCCGGGCCTCTTTGCTCTGGTATCAATGAACTCTGATCGCCGATCGCTGCTCGCTGACCAGCTTGCTAGCCTGCTAGCCTGCCAGGGGAACACGTTTCAGTGTCACAGAGTCAGAGTCAGAGCCACAGCCACAGCCACAGCCACCGAGAGAGGCCAATGATCGCGTCTGGTGGCACGTAGCACATTCGATTTGGCCTCAGCCGCACAACCTGTTGCTGCCTGCTGTCCATCTCCTCATCCTCATCCGTCAGAAACTCATCTGTCCACAATGTATCTTTCATGGTCTTTAAATGGTCTGCCTGGCGGCAGCTTTGTGCATTCGCAGACTCGCCGTCGCCCCAACATGATCTTGCGAAAGAGCATCGCTGGCCAGCTGCTGCAGCTGCTCGCCCTCATCATCATCCATGCCTCCTGCCACACCCTGACCAGCGCCAAGACGGTGAACCCTGGCGGCGGAGAGCTCCAGCAGCAGCCACAACTGGAGCAGCAGCAGCCGATCCAGGGTCTGCCCGAGCCGAGAGCCTACATGCCGGATTCCCAGAACCTGGACTTTGTCTACCACGATCACGAGGAGCTCACGCGCTTCCTGAGGTGAGTCCCCTCCGCCCAGCTCTGTTTAGATGCATTTCCATTGACATCCTTCCCTTCGACAGAGCCACCAGTGCCAGGTATCCCAACCTGACGGCCCTCTACTCGATTGGCAAGTCCATCCAGGGCCGTGATCTCTGGGTGATGGTGGTCAGCTCTTCGCCGTACGAGCACATGATCGGCAAGCCGGACGTCAAGTACGTGGGCAACATCCACGGCAACGAGCCTGTGGGCCGTGAGATGCTGCTGCACCTCATCCAGTACTTTGTGACCAGCTACAGCTCGGACCAGTATGTCAAGTGGCTGTTGGACAACACTCGTATCCACATTCTGCCCACCATGAATCCGGATGGCTATGCGGTGTCCAAGGAGGGCACCTGCGATGGTGGTCAGGGCAGGTAAGAGGCTCGTTGCGAGTCATCACCACCTAAAGTCACCTTCCTCACGGATATTCCGCAGATACAATGCCCGCGGATTCGATTTGAACCGCAACTTTCCGGACTACTTCAAGCAGAACAACAAGCGCGGGCAGCCGGAGACGGATGCGGTCAAGGACTGGATATCCAAGATACAGTTCGTGCTGAGCGGCAGCCTCCATGGAGGTGCCTTGGTGGCCAGTTACCCCTACGACAACACGCCAAACTCCAGTAAGTAGTCCGAGGAGTACGCCCCTAGATATAGCCAACCATTCTACCAGTTTAAACCCTCGCAGATGTGACTTACAGCCATTACAATATATATTCTTGATCTCATCTCCCTGTCCGCTGTGTCCGCTTAGAACGAAAATATCCTTTAGCGTAGTCTTCTGCCAAAGACTATACAATTACCAAACTCTCAGCCTAAGTAGCAGTAACAAAAACAACAGTCTTTGGCAAGGTGCACAGAAGACATGTCTTTCGATCCCACGAATCCAATAAGAAAATGGATTTTGTGTCTGATATTTGGATAGTCTTTGGGTGGGATCATTGTCTATATATGTTTGTTTGAATATAATCTGCAAGGGTATCCAAGGCGCATGCACTGTCTCGCTGTAGAGATCAGATTTATAAAGCCTACTTTGTACTTTAATGCTTGCCTTCGCACCAATATGGCTGCTCAAAGGGATCTGCCGTTCGTCCGCCCTGTGCGCGAGTGAGTACACATACTGCTGCCTGAGCGACCCATCTAACCGCGAATGCCCCTCTTCTCTTTTCCCCCCACATGTCCTCTGGGTGCAGTGTTCCAGACCTATTCGGCGGCCCCCTCGCTGACCCCCGACGACGATGTGCTGAAGCATCTGTCGCTGGTCTATGCCCGGAACCATGCCAAGATGTCCCGTGGAGTGGCCTGCAAGTCGGCCACGCCGGCCTTCGAGAACGGCATCACCAATGGAGCGGCCTGGTATCCCCTGACGGGGGGAATGCAGGACTACAATTACGTGTGGTATGGCTGCATGGAGATCACGCTGGAGATCTCCTGCTGCAAGTTCCCGCCCGCCTACGAGCTGAAGAAGTACTGGGAGGACAATCAGCTGGTACGTTGCAAATACTCTCGAGTGTTTCTTTCCGATTCTCACTCGCCCCATCATGTAGTCCCTCATCAAATTCCTGGCCGAGGCGCATCGTGGTGTCCAAGGCTTCGTCTTCGATCCGGCGGGCATGCCCATTGAGCGGGCCTCCATCAAGATCAAGGGACGCGACGTTGGCTTCCAGACCACCAAGTACGGCGAGTTCTGGCGCATTCTCCTGCCCGGCTACTACAAGGCAGAGGTGAGTATTTGCATACTTTCGAACTTTCGACGATCATCCACTGATTATGGTGTGCATTCCTCTCAGGTCTTTGCCGAGGGCTTTGCCCCCCGCGAGGTGGAGTTCGTCATTGTGGAGCAGCATCCCACGCTGCTAAATGTGACGCTGCAGTCCTCAAAGGTAGGTCCATCCACTGCCCATCCACTTCCTAAGAAATTCACTTCCTGGTGCTGGCTAACCTTTACCCTCTAACCCAAGCCGTACCTGGTGGCCTCTTCAGTTGCCTCCAGCGTCACCACAGCCAAGACGCGTCGGGTGAACGACAAGCTGCAGTTGGCCGCTGACTAGATCGGAGCCCCCTCTGAACCGAGCTCCCGGTGTGAATGGCTGGCGTGTAAATACAGTCGGAAGTGCTTTAGTCTTAAGGTGTGCTAACACTACACTAACCCGATATGACCTCCGAAGCTCCTAGTAATCCTCATCCCCTTACTCATAGATATACTTATTTTCCACATTCCCACTCCAATACGCCAACAATGTTCTATCTAGTTCCGCCATTAGTTTCTTCTTTATTTGAATACTAATGCACACTTTTTAGATCCTTTAGTTCATCCTTTAGTTCCTGCCTGTAGTTCAATTCTTCCTGTAGTTCCTCCGCTTCCCAAGTAGTTTGTAGAGAATGCTCGATGGGAATACTATGTATAAATTGTAAGAGTTGTTCTGGTGTAAGAAAACCCATGCCATACGCTTAAGTGTTGCTTGTTATTGGTATTGTATAGAAAACTGAGTACAGAATCTTGGCTACGAGTGGACAATAAACGTATCTCGAGTCTACTACTATTTGCAATCCCTCCCATTTCGATTTCACAGCGCATTGAGGGCATCGGCGGTCCAATGGTTTCCGTCGGCGGCGTTGGAGTTGGCGTTGGCGTTGGCGGCTCTCCGGGCGGCATATACAGGCCCATGCAGGCGGCGCAGCACTACAGGCCCCAAATGCCGCCATATGCGGCAGCCACCTCCAACGACGGGATCTTCTCGACCATCAGCAATGGCCTGAATAGCCTCTATTCGAACATATTCGGTTGATGGGCAGCTTCTGCAATAGTCTATAAGGATTTTTTGTTTTACTCTTAGTCTTAGGATTGTGACTACTTCCGTCGTACTATTTATTGTGAGCGATGACAAAGGGACAGACAGGACAATAATAAAGCCTTCTCCCAGTGCAATCTATCATAAAAGCAACGTGTTTTCCTTCATGACACTTAAACAAATATACAAAATATCCCTTGACACTATAGTCCAAGTGTAATCCATCAACTCCATATTCAACATATTATTCTCTCACTCTGGAGGCGAAGCTTCAACAAAATTTAGTCCGGTTTTCCAATCAAACTCAAACATTTGCCCGAAAAACAAACAAAAATTCTCTTCGATTCTAAAAACCCAACAATTATTAAGCACGGACTGAGACCCCAGACCTAGAGGACCAAGGAAGTACAGAAGATGAACAGCCACGACCAGCCGATGCGCTGCCCAGCCACAGACTCGCAAGTCATCGGAATGGGAGACAGCAGATTTGAGTTTCGGGTGAGTACACGTACAGATCATCCAGCCAATCCACCTGGGATCCATCGCTAATACGTGGAGTCCCAAGCAGTTCTCTGGTCCGGACTCGATTCCGAATGCCGTGAAGCGCCACAACAAGCAGCGGGCGGCCGAGTTGGCCGAGCAGAGTCGCCTGCGGTCTGACTGTAGGTCGAACGCTCCGATCTTCTGCAAGGTACGCCATCCCGGCCGTGATGTCCTCGGCCAGTTCACGTCGCGGGACACGGATGTGGAGACACAGTTTTCGCTGAACTCATCTTGCGATAATCAAGCGGACGAGACAGGACAAGGGGACAAGGACAAGCCCCAGCAGCTGAGGGGCTTCAGGAAGCTTCCCGTGATTAGCAAGTGTCTCCACTCCCAGGACACCAGCGAGACCCAGTTCTTTTCGCTTCAATCTTTGGCCAACAGGAAGGACGAAGAGAGCGTGGAGAACGAGCGGCTTGTGTTCAAGATCACGGAGCACAAGCGTCTTTGCGCAGGATGCGACTGTAATCCCCATTGCCAAGCCCATGCCCCTTCCAGGTTGAAGAAGAAACCCGTGATTAGAAGGTGTCACTTCACCCAGGACCCCATCCATCGAAACAGCGAGCGCTTGGAGGCCCTGCACCGGGAGGTGTGCGACGAGTTGGAGTCCTTGAAATCTCTGGCCTGTTTGAGTCAGCAGGAGGACCAGGCCCCAATTGCGCAAAACCAGCAGTCTCCGCGACGGTTCAGGGTCCATAAGAGGGGCCCCGAACAGCCATCGTCCAAGCCAACGGTGCCGCCCAGGGCTCAAAGGTGGGAGCTGAAGCTACCGTCCAGGCAGAGAAAGACTCCGGCAAAGTTCCCGGTCAGTGCCGAAGATCTGATGCAGCGCCTCAAGAGCTCGATGCTAGCGACCACCGATAATGGCCATGGGGATGGCGGCTGCATGAAGGCGCATGTCCAGAAGGCCGTCAAATTGGAGTACAGGGAGCCGAAGGCCAGTTTTGTGGACATAATACCCTCGGCAATGATATCGCAGGCCATCGAGGTCAACGTCTGCCAGGCCGTGAACACCACCAACTGTGCGGCCAGGCAGTTTATGCATCAGCACCGCAGCCTGGAGCCGGAGCCGACGTCGCCCTTCTTTCGCGAGGACAGCGACCTCGATCACGAGTACGACGACCGCAGCGGCTACCTCTGCCAGCTGGAGAGCCGTCCCAGCTACAACACCAGTCAAACGGACGAGAAGCCCCTGGCGGAGGATAGACAGAACAAGCCGATCTTCTTTGAGATGGAACGCTGTCCGCACCGTCTGAGTCTGCTGCGGAGCCTGAGTCCGCTGCAATACACCTCCCAGTGGTCGGAGGAGACTCCGCGTGGGCCGACGTCCCAGGAGACGCTGGCAAGTCCAAGCCGGCGGCACGTGCTGCCGCGGCCCCGGAGCTACAAGCGGCTCCTCAAGAAGAACCCCAAGATGGCCCACAAAATGTGCACTCCTCGACCTCGTGCAACGTCCGAAACGGATAAGAGTGATGAGCTTCCCACCCCAGCTCTGGCCCACGCTCGTCAGCCCGGAGGCGGGGACTCGCGCAACAACCGCCGTCAGCCCGGTGGCCGGGACAAGGCCATCCTCTCACGGCCACCTGCAGGCCGTGAAAAGCAGAGCCTTTCGAAACCCATACCGACGACGGACACCTCCCCGCACCAGGCCCCAACCGTGACGCCTTCGCCGACGAGGCGTCGGAAGACCCGACCGTTGGTGTTCAGCCAGTCGCTGGAGGATCTGAAGTACGAGAAGCTGGGCATCTACAACAAGATCTCGCTGACCCAGGAGCGGATCATCAGCGCACTCGACCGCCTGCAGAACAGCCTCCTGAAGCTCCAAGTGCCCGACTGCAACACTTTGGAGCGAAAGAAGCGGGAGCGGAACGCCTTCGAGTTCTGTGTGCGCTTCTCGCGCAACTTCCTCTATCCCCTTAAGGGAATGATCGACGATGTGCGCCGCACCCCGGTGGGCTATTTCAACAGTGCCACCTCCAACGAGGCCTGCCAGCGGGTGGTGTGTGTGTATGGGCTGATGCACCAGTCGATCACCACGTACCAGCGCCAGCTGCGGTTCTTCCTCCTGGACAAGGTGCCGCAGAAGCTGAGCGCCCTCATGGAGATGATCTACACGCTGAGCAGCACGTGCGTGGAGAAGGGCATACTGGATAGACACGATCCGGTGGTCGAGTGCCTGCTGGAGCGCTCCACAAAGTTCCTCACCTTCATCGAGGACATGCAGGAGGAGCGGTTCAAGATGGCCCGCGAGCACTACCGCCGCTCCCAGAAGCAGGCCCATCCCGCCAATGGGAATGCGCACTCGTCCCATCCCAAGCATCCGGCTTTCCACTCGTCGTTCCACGAGAAGAAGCCCAAACATAAATACGACCTCAAGATGTGTCTCAACGATCACAAGTTGTACGAGCCGCGCCTGGTGCCCAAGAAGAAGCCCCAAGATCTGAAGCGCTCGCGCCTGGTCCGGACAAGGAACTGCGGAGCCCCCGCCCACCAACCAGGTTCGGGAGCTGCACAAAATCCCATCGATGTGCATCTTATGCGGTCGGGGCTGGAAGATGTTAAGACGCAGGTGCAACTGGACGACATCCCCTACAGTAAGTGGCTGGAACTGCGATCACCCAAAACAAAGGACGCCGAACAGAAGGCGCAGAAGACGGCCAGCCGCAAAGTACAGAAGGAAGATGAGCTCCAGCAGGCCCTGCTCGAGGCATTCCGTCATGTGTCCAGAGATCAAGTGCATCAGGTGCTCGATCCCCTGATGCGTTCACTTGGTGCCCTCCTGGACGATAAGGTGAGCGACGGACTGCCGTTTTACCTCCATGCCATCACTGACTTAGCTCACCTTCTCTTTTCCAGGTCCCAAAACGTTTAAGTTAAATTTTAATTATTGATTTGATTGAATTCCCCAAAATTTCCACAGTCTAATTTTCGGGAAGCAAAAACAAAATTGAAATCAAAATAGATAGGTTATTTACAGAGAATGAGTTTGTATGGAAAGTGGGAGAGAACGTTGCTCACGGAGCGAAACCAAATTTAAAAGTATGAATTTCAAATAAAGGAAGTTACTTTGGTTCTGCAAATGAATCCCAATGGTTTTGTGTGAATTTGGGGGCACAAATTCTATTTCAATTACTCGAGCTTTCGTTTCACCTCTGGCAAGGCCGGTCTGTAAAGGGCCCCAGAATTGCAACCCTGCACGCGCGCGCTCTGTCTAAGGAACCACGGGATAAACACCGTCGTAGAATAGCTTATGGGTGCCCCCATCTAAAATCTAGGTAATTGTAGTCTTTGGTTTCACTTGGGAAGTTTCGAAATTAATCCTATATTAAGCCTTCAAGCTACAGCCTACTTGTAAGTAGTCGCAAGAAGCATCTGTGTTCCTTCCCGTCGCTAACCTAAGGGAAACGGAACCGTAGCTTTCTATACCATTTTTAAGAGACGTTCGGATGATTCAAGATTAATGTTTATTCATATTTCATTTATCAGATACTTTTGTGCATTACGAAAACAATCAGGAGAGGGTCGAGAGGGGCTACACTCGTTTAAAGAGAGGCAGGGGAGGCCATACGAAGCCAGAGAGAGAGAGAGAAAGAGGGAGTGTGAGATAGACAACAATCGTTTGTGCATATCAACTAAACATAATTATAATAATTAATTTAAGCATTAACATCTCCTCCCCACCTCCATCCATCATCCATCATCCATCAACCAACAACTATCGTTATCTTTCTCCTCAGGCCCGAAAAAACGCACAGCTGCAGCGCCTGGCAGGTGTTTCAAATGCATTTATCGTGTTCTTGTCTAATCCAAATCCAAATCCAAATTTAAAAATCCAAAAATTGTCTCTATGGCAACAATAAAATAGTGTCTGCTCTGAATTTTGTTTTCGCTCTTTCCTCGGGCTTGTTCAACGAATTGCATGACTACAAATAGCATAATAATAGATAATATACAATAGATATCGAAGTGAATCGGGTGAACCGGTGTGGGTGCTGGTGCCGGGGCTGCTGCCGGGGCTGGTGCCGCTCCTAGCCTGAACAGGCACTGCACAGGGGCTTGTTCCCCTCCACGGCGAAGGAGCTGGCCGTGATGGGAGCGCTGCAGTTCTGAAAAAAAGGATCGAGTCGGATTGTTAGGCCAATCAATCAGTATCAATCAGAGGCAAGTATCTTGCTTACCTTGCACTTGAAGCAACTGCGATGCCATTTGGCACTGAGGGCCACGATCGCGTTGTCCGTGATCGGCTGTTCACAGCCGGCGCATCGGGCGGCGAACAGCTGCTCAAAGTCCGCCCGGCAGTAGGGATGCCCTTCCCGCTCGTAGAAGGAAGTGCCAACCAGCGGCTTTTTGCAAGGGCCATTGCACTGGAAGCACTCCTCGTGCCACGACTTCTCCATGGCATTGATGGTGCGCTGGAGGGGAAAGATCGAGTTCCTTAGCATACTTTCGGGCAAATAAAGAGAGTGGCCAGACAGAGCGACAGAAAGCAATGGTGCATACAACGTGCACATATAGTAGATGCATGTATGTGTGTGTGTGTGTGTGTGTGTTTAGTATATACATATAATCATAATCAAAGCCAATCAATCGCGCACACACCCACGATGAGCTGCGCTGACCTTGCGGCCCCGCAAACAGCAAAGGTGGGGAGGAGGCGTCACTGGAAATTACACGAACAGAATACGGAATACCCTTTCGCGGGGAATAGATCGTTATCGAATAGTCCTAGTACTGTACGTAGTATATACTCTTACAGAAACGGTGAGATACTTCCCCTTCAGAGATTATCCGCGAAGATTAACATTAATAATGTTTGGAAATATTCAAGAAAATACAACATAGCTGATGGCACTACAAAAATAGAGTCTTGATAAATATTTGTATGACCCTAAGGAACCTTTACGTTATGGAGAACTCCTAATCATTTCCGGGTAAGTGTCAATGAAATACTCCGCCAATTTGGAAGTCTGTTCGCGGAGAATAGGATTTCCAAATAGTTTCATGAGTTTTTAGGGAACTTTAAGACCGCGCCTCAATATTTCAATGGAAAGAAGGCTAAATATACACACAAATCGCAATCACTTCCCTAATTAAATAGTTGCCATATACTATACGGACACACTGCTGCTCGTACTCGTACTTGTGGATATCTAAGCATTTCTTATATGTATGTACATATGTACATATGTATCTAAGAGTCGCAAGATAAATGTTGACAATATTCATTACATCGAAGCTCGTAAAGCCGCAGAGTTTATGGCAAACAGACGACGAGAATTACGCGCTACAAATTGTTGAATGAACGGAAAGAAAGAGATGGATGGATGAACATGGATATGGACATGGGCATGGACTCACCTCCAAGATGGGCTGCTTGCAGCCAAAGCAGGTGCCCGAGTAGTTCTTCACGAAGCAATCGGAGCAGACGGGCTCCCCGCTCTGAATGTTGAAGGTGGCCTCCGTGATGGGGAGCTGGCAGTCCTTGCAGGCAAAGTGATCCGGGTGCCAGGACTTGCCCAGGGCCGTGATTATGCGCTCCGCGATGACCTCATTGCATTTGTGACAGATAGATTCCAGTTCCGACTGCGGATGCGAGAAATGAAAACAGAGGGAGGGTGGCGGTGGTAGGAGCCATATTAATTTCGAATCATTTTAAATGAAAATCACGTACTTGAAATATTTCAAAATACATAATAAATAATTCTCTTTTCGGTGCTGTGATGGGGACTGGTGCTCAGATTGGGAGACTAGGGGACGGGGGGACGGGGGGGACTGCGGATTGTGGGGCGGCTGTAAGATTCATCTTCGCATCTGTCTGTCCGTCATGTCATACGGAATCGAGTTCAAAAACCGCAGACAACAGCAGCCAGCGATTTTACGTAACCCAATACCCAAATGCCAAAGGCCTCAAAACAAAGAATATGAATATGCATATGAATACGAATACGAATACAAATACATATATTGTATATTGTATACGAATATATAGTATAATAAATGATGAGCATCAGCGTAAAATAATTTACAAAACAGCAGCAATAACATTATATTATACAATAATGAGTTGGGCCCGTCCCAGTGGGTGGCTATCAAAGTTCTGCAAAAGGAATTTTACTTCCAATCTCTACTGTTGATCTACTGAAGATTAACCCGTTTTTACACCATTCAAGGTGTTGCCCTGCCATGGCCTCACGGATCCTCCCCTTTCCAGCTTTGCCCCCTTGAGCGTGGGCTCCTTCCCATTTGGAGAACCCTTTTGTGGTCATCCCTAACTGGTCTTTGAAGCCGGCCCGCCCCTTGGCCCCAATGTACCGTCTGCACACGTTCGGGACATTATCACCTCACTATCCATCGGACACCCAAGAAGTGCCATTGGCTCCGAAATAGGAAATTGGGGGAAATTGCACCCCATTTAGAGAAACTATTTATAGTCCTCCCCCTCCTCCTCCTCCTCCTCCTCCTCCTTCTGCCCCTGCAATTATGGTACGCCAAATTATCTATTTTTATGGGCCTGTAAATGTTGAGTAATTGCTCATAAAAATGCAACAAAAATTAAATGAAACACCAGCCAATATTGCGGGTGATCTGTGGCATAGGGAAACCCCTGTTCCGATCCGATCCGATCCGATCCGAAAGGGGACTTTCTGCTGTCGAGATATTATTTACATTTGGAACCCCATCCGCGAATTGCCCAAAAATTGAATTTGCACAAATTAAACGCACATTAAGTTTTTCGAGCACCACACACACACCCCTCCCCCCCTCCCTTTCAGCACCACCCGCCTCCACTCGCCCACCATCCGCTCAAAGTTTAAACGCCAGATGTGGCAACAATATCATTTCTCTCCCTCGCTCTCTCCCGCGCTCTCTTTTTTGCTCGTTTTGTTCCTTTTGCATAGACGACGGACATCTCACTTAGATCATCGCTAGAGTTAGAATCGAATTAAACACACACACACACACACACACACACACACACACACAGGCACAGCCATGCGGATGGAGATGGCAGCAGGGGGAGTAAGTAATTTTTGGGTGTGGGGAGCGGGCGGTAGGTTGGGGTCCAAGGGCAGCACTTCCAGTAAGTTTGCTTCCATCCAGAGAACAATAACAAAAGCAACGAAAATAAAATACAAAAATTAAGAAAATTGTTCAACGCCTAATGGGCAGCAAACAAAACAAACAAAATTCAACAACGAAAACGAAAAGGAACAGGGAAAAATGAAAAGCCCAGACTAAGAGCCGAAGAGCCGATGCCCTTTCCGAACTTGAGCGAAAGATACATCCACGGGAGATGCCATTTGAGGTAGAGTGCATCGGGAGCAAGGCAAAGAACTGTGTTCTCTGATATAGAATATCTATTGAATACTCCTCAAAGCAATACTTCTGGTATTAGCTATAACGATAAATACTTCACTGTTATCTGTGCTCGCGGTAAACAGAAATACCTTTAATCTGCGGACGATTATCGAACAGGAAAACATATACAACACACCTAATAATATCTAAATATATGGCTGGTAAGTTGATATTTCTCAAAGATATTCAGACAAGCTCTTTGAACCCGAAACAAAGATACAAATTTGACCTCAAAACGTACCGTTTTGACCCCATATCAAAAGCGATTAGGAAAAGTATCCCATTACCAAACATTTTGGTACATACATACATATGTATATCGATTTGATATTGATGGGATTGCCGTTGTATTGATATTTTGGGGGATTATGGGGCTATATGGGGGGCTCAATGTTGTTCAGCCTTTGCTGATTTCCCCACTTAACTCCACTTTGGCCTTCTACGGTTTTTGGGGCATCTTCACTTCGGGCTTCCTGCCCCATTTGGCCTCCACTCAATTCAATTCCAATTCCAAGTGCATTTATTATTGCCTGTTGTTGACAATTTGCATTTCTTATCAGTGCGGTTGCAGCGCAATCGCGAAATCGCAACAAAAAATGCAATTTTCGCACCGTAGAAAAGGGAACAATTGGTGCAGCAAATGGAAATACGGAAACATAAAGGAATATAGGAACAGTAAAACATCAATGGCAGCCGCAGTAGGTCGCCAGCAATGGTACCTTACTTATTCATAAGCGATAATTAAAGCACCGAGGGACTCATGGAATCATGGCAGGAAGGGAAAACAATTGCACACCATTGTTGTGAGCCCTTGTGTCAACCATAAATAGAAAGAGGAAGCCAAGATATATGTGTATACATATGTGTATGTAGATCAGCCACAGATACGGTTAGACTGATGATGGATCACCAAGAGATACGGATCGACAGATGTGGTGGAACTAGGGAAAGATAGGGGCTGGGAAAGAGATAGAGAGATTCTCACATTGCTTCTGTTTCTGTTTCTGTCTGCTCTGCCATGCTCCGGGCATCAATCAAAGTTGTCAATCAGCGGGAAGCAATTGTGGATGATGGTTGTGGGTCAGCGAGGGGGTGGGTGTGGGGGCTACTGTTGCCTTGGATCAGATAATTTGTAGCAGACGCCTCCAACAAGCAGATCCCATCAAGCATCCCATTCCACACTCCTACACAGACACTCGGCGCACACGCGAGTACACACTGCGTATACGTAATGGCCATAAAACCATTTAAACTGTGAGTGAAATGCCGAAATGCTTTTGTAATATATGGGGGAAAATCATCTTGGAATAAGATCATCTGCGGCCAATCAGACTCAGAATCACCTACGAAAGATCGATAAGGCAGATGTGAACTGCAACGCTGAATGGGATTGCATGACGAGTTTGGAAAGCGAATGGATACCTTGATTGATTCTAGACTCAAATGGAAAATGCCAGCGGAGATGCGAAAATAATTATCCTTAGGTCACTCTCTCGACAAACTGGCCACCTCCCCCCAGAAATGAAAAATAAACACATTTGATAGGTAATCCAACCAAAGATCATCATCTAGAGACGATTTAGCCAAGCCCAACGCACCGTTAGTCAGGGCAATAAACCGTTTCCGCTTATCAAACGTTATGACTTTCATCAAACAATCACTCACTCTCTCTCTCTCCCCCCGTCTCCCCGTCTCTCTTTCACTCTTCACTCTCTATCTGCCAAATGATGATGATGTTGATCATCATGATAATTCTGCTGATGACTCTTCGAGATCTTCTTCAGGTTAAGCAGGCTCTTCAAGGCGGCTGATTTATATGGCTCATTTTATTAATCGGACAACAAATAAATCGTTTTGTAAATTGATGATATTTGTGTTTAAAATGTTGGATGACATCACCATCCCAGCCCATCACAGCCCCGCTCAGAATATTTCTGGGCTTAGTTTCATTCGATATTGTATGTACGAATGTACATGTATACGAATACATACGTACATATGTGCTCGTACATTTTATATAAGGAATGAGAGACCAGAGCCCAGAGACCAGACCAGGCCCTTGAGTCAAACTTTTGCTTTCGCCCACTGAAAGCAGTTTTTGAAATTTGAAATTTTCCCCAAAAAAACAAAAACATAAAGACTGTAACCAGACTTGGAGGACGCCCACTTGGGACGCACTTTGGTGATGGCTCTTGAAATATTTTGCCGATGAGGAGTACCTCTGCCGCTGCGTCTCGCTATTTTATTTTGTATTTTATTTTTATTTTTAGTATGGTAATTAACATAAAGTCTAATAAGGCAAGCCAGACCATATATTGGAGTGTGCGTGAGTTTTAGTTTTTTGGGTAGGCTGCCCAAAAGCCAGATGGATGACGGTGGAGCTGTCTGGGCGTCTGGGTGTCTCTTGGTGGTTAACACTCCGAAATTCCGCTCACACATGCTATTTTCGAAGTGAAAATCGGGAAAACCAAGACAGGCACAAAAATAAGACCAAAATAAAAGTAAAGCCAACGCGACGTATGAGCAATCTCCAGCAGCTCTCCAACCTGTTTCGCCTACGCCCCCGCAGAAGATCGAATCGGATCGGATCGGATCGGATAGGAGGGAGTTGGAGTGGATCGGATTGTGTGGATTGTGTGTGTGTGTGTGTGTGGGGGGGGAAATGGATTGCCAGCCAGCTGGGCGACCAGTTGGAAAGTGATTTGAATATGGAGTAACCCGCAGTACCCGGTGCGGTGCTGCCCCCAACCAACAATTCCCCAGCTTATAAGTATAGTCTGAACAATACTTGGATAGATCTTATGGGACTTACCATTTCGTTTGTTTGCTGATTGATTTCGATTTACTGAGATTTGGTCTTGTCGAAAATAACAGTAATACCCCGTACGCGTATGTATAGGTGTGTATCTGTTGAAGTATTTTTATAAGACTGATTTGAAAAACAAAAAACACAGTTTTACTAAGTAGAAAAACAGCACACACAGAAAATAATTTGTAAAATAAAGGCTAAAAAGGTAGTATATGTTCTGGCTACTGTAGGCCCCTAGTTGGGCCCATAGTAACCTATTATATTGTATTGTCGAACCACTTTGAAAGGACATTCTTCAATACTATTGGAACTCTCAAAGGTGCGCATTCTCCGGGTTACTTTAGTAAATAATTGTTTAGCTTTACTTCGAACTAGGAACCCCCAAAAAAGTTTTTCTCTTAATTATTTGCAGAGTTTTGAATAGAGTTTTCTCGATGGGACTTCCGCGGTTCATATGAACCTGCTCTCCCTACAACTCTCCGTACACCCCTCGCTGAGGCATTGTCGAAGCGAACGAACGAACGATGAACGCCTTTTGAAAAACTGTCAAAAAATAAGCCAAAAAACGGAATCAAACAATTTCGAGTAATTGCTGCCAATATTAACATTAATTAGTTTTTTTTTTTATTTGTATTTAGGTATATTTTCTTGTTGTTTATTTTGTGTACCGTTGAAATTTCAGTGGAACGCGGTATAGAAAGATAGAAGGGGTAGCGACAATAGCGGAATAGCAGAAAAGGCAGTCGCGAAAACAGCGGAGTGCGGATTGCGGATTGCGGATTGCGGAGTCGAGTCGAATCGAAACGAAGCGGGTCGAATCGAACCGAACCGAACCGGCGAGCGACGACCAAGAAACTGAAACAGAAACCGAAGCGCAGAGCAGACGCCAAGGCAGCGGCGTAGCAGCAACACAGCAGCGCAGTCAGCGACGTCGGCGAGCGTCAAATGAAGCCAGCAACAGCGGGGGCCGCTCGTCGGCAGTTCGCGCGCAGGCGCCGCGAGCAGCAACAGCAACCACAGCAACAGCAGCAACAGCAGCAGCAGCACCAGCAGCGCAGGACACGCCTGAGTCCCGTATGGAACTCCAACTGGAACAGCGAAAAGCGTGCGCCGGCGGGAAGGTCCTCCAACATAGCCGTCGTGCGACCCAGCAGGAGCTCCACCCACGCCCCGAAGACCCCCCGCCCAGCCAGAACATGTCTGCATCCCAGGGGGATGCACTCCTCCAACCCCCACCTGGCGCTGCCGCACGGCAAGGAACAGGCGGATGCCGGCTTTGGGAAGAGCAGGAACCGCATGCCGGTGGCCTTATCCCGAACGGTCTTCGGACGGTCCTACACGCCTCCGTCTGCTACCGGCAGCCAGCGGGCCAAAGGGTGGCCGCGGCCGATGATCGGTGTAATCCCTAAGGCAGCCAAGGCCAATGGTCAAGGATCGCACCTGTGCTCCAGCTCGGACCACGTGACGCTGCCATTGCTATCGTCCCGTGTGCCGGGGAACAAGGCCTTGGCCGAGTCCCACCAGCAGCTGGAGATGCTGCTCTCCGGGATCGAGCGGGAGAGTTACGTAGCACCTCCCCCGCATCCGCCCGCGTGCGCCCGCCGATCCGGAGCGGTCCGAGTTCGAAACGGATCGAGGATCTCGAAGGGTGTTCGCCGCCAGTTGGGTAGACACCCGCCAGCGCCGGCCGTATCGCCCATGCTCAGTGCCCGTTACAAGGAGAATGATTCAGAGGAGGCGGATCATATCCGACACCTGGTACCATTGGCCTGCAATCCGCAGCTGCTGCCGCCGGCCAAGCGGGGAGCGTTGCTGGAGCTGATATCGCGGGCCGAGCAGCACGACAATGGCATAGTGGAATTGCTGCGGCCTTCCACCGGGAATTCCTCCATGGAGCCCAGGCTGTCGATGTTCCAGATGCTGTGAGTATTACTTTCGCTCTCTCTTTCTCTCAGCACTATATTAAGGGGTCGGGCAGGGACGGAAACACACGGCAGCAGAGGTAGCGGCAGCGACGGCGACGGCAAACTGTGAATCCAAAATGATGTCATCGTCGACCGTCAGCTGAGGCGCGAAGAGAGTGCGAGTGAGGCGGCGAGGGAGAGAGGGCCGGCCGCACTCTGTTCTCCACTCTCCAGTTCGTCAGCTGGCAATGCTGCGCTGACGCCATCGTAGCCGCAGCCCCGCTGCTTTGGAGTTACTCACTCACCTCTGCCGATGCCAGGCGCTGGCGTTGGCGTTGGCTTTGGCAAAAAAAAGCACTGCTGCTTCTGCTTCTGCTGCTGCTGGAAATACCCTTGCAGAGGGTATCATAGTTTAAGCGAATCTCTTCCGATTTTATAGGGTGTACTCCGAGGGCAGCCTCAACCGACGAGTGGATATTTCTCGATTTATTCTTGAAGCCGATCCATATAATAGCAGAGCTACATTTAAGAGTTACAGCATTGTGTTATATATGCCTTTCGGAGGACTTATAGGTCGAAGAGAACTATTTCAGATATCAATAATACCCTGCCATCCATAGGTGCGTTGATTCCGCCAAGTGTATCAAAAGCTTCGGCCCCGGGAGCTACCATTCCTCTGTTGTTTTGGTTTTGTTTTCCCTTTTCTTGCTCTTCGTTTTTGTTTGTCGCCCTTTTTGGCGGCGATTAGAAATATTTACTACCAATTGGGGGCTCTCTCTCTAACCGGCACTCTATCTCTCCCCGCTCCCCCTTTCTGGCAACTGCAGGTTAGGGTTGTCCGGACAGCTGACATGCCCTGCCTCGAGGCTTAGGCCACTATCTAACTGTTGCCGGCTAGGCGGCGGCGGCGCTGACTAACAGGTTCAGGGTCGCTTCTGCGTGCATGCCCCATATGGGGGACGGAGCTTAGGTCATCGCCGGGTTCGCTGAGGCCGAACCCAAACGCTGTGGCGTGCCCTGCCTGCAACTGTTCCTCTTGTTTCTGTACTTTTTGCAGTTTGGTCTTTTCGCTGATACGAAGAACTTTCGTAATCAAATACTACGATCGTCGTGTGCTAATCGACAACTGTTTTCAATTGGAATTTGCATTATACATACGAGTATAAATACATACATATGTACCAATGTATGGATATTGTACCTGTATATACCACCGTTCTACGCATATAGGGGACGCATATATTTTTTTTGCCAGTTTTTGTTGTGCTTTTGCCACAACCAAACAACCCAACTTATTGGAGTTTCTAAAAAGGAAGGAGAAACGTCTACATTTTCATATATGTACATATATGTTAGGGAGTATCTGAAGCAGTGTCTGTCGGAAATACTGGGAAATAGGGCTCAAAGAAGACTGATCTAAGTTTCTTCAAAAATTTGGCAGCAGCAACAGAGTGAAACAAAAATGCCAACATCATTTTGATATCAACACGTCAAAATGTCTTCCGATAAAATTTGATACTTTTCATTAAGCTTGGGTAATAAATAATATAATACCACTTGCTTATTAATATTATCAATTATCAATTTTCCATAAAAATGGTATTGCGATATGCTAGAAAACTACATGTATGTCTCATTGAAATTTGCCCACTTGCACGAATCACTTTTTTTGTATAATAAGAGAAAAGTATCTAACTTTTCCCAGTCTAGTGCTTAACATCAATATCTTTTCAAAATCAAGTGCTTCTTAGATAAATGCCATGCTTAATCTACAACTCCTTATACCAAGCAATCGAAAGGGTAAAAGGGGTATATTAGATTCGTGTAGAAGAAAGCGATTTAGACCCCATAAAGTATGTATATATGTTCTTGATCAGCGTCAATAGTTGAGTAGATATAGCCATGTCTGTCTGTCCGTCCTGAAGACCGCCTCAGAACTCAGAGACTGTAATTGAACAGTCCTGCGGTTTCGCTTTGTATAAAATGTATTTAAAGCTTATTCCACGCCCCCTTGTGGCCCTTTAAAAATGCTATCCAACATATTAAACATGTCAGAATCATTAAGAGTAAACATTTTTATTGAACAGTAGAAACACGTTACGATCGGTTTATTATTATATGACTCCATTGCGCCGAATACTCTGTCTCTTCCCATCTCACGCAAAGAGTAGCTAATGAGTAAAGGGTAGTTTTTCATTTATGAAGCGCACCTTTCGCTCTCTCTTTAACTCTCTTTACCGCTAGCTCTTTCCTAATATGATCGAGCGGCAAAGGCCGCGGCTCTACTTTTATAAACTCTACTCAGTCGGTATACGAGCTCGTATACATAGATACTTACATTATGATTTATGTAATTTATACAATATATTTTATATGTCGTTGGGCATCGGTGACCTTTAGTTTTGAATATCTTTGAACATAAATCAGTCAAATTTGATCAAAATCTGATTGGCTTCGACTACGTCTGTTCAATAAATTCGAAGCTTATATAATCCATTAATCCTTGTACACCTTTGACAGTAGAACTCGCAGTAAAATGTCATATGGGAATCAGACTCACCTTAACCCTTCCTCCGTCTCTGGCTCTGGCTTTGGCTGTGCCCTTTCGATAACCTATAAATCGGCAAGCTCTGCGATACCCCCTCCTCCCGCTAAGCACCACTTCCTCGCACTCAGTTTTGGATGACTTTACTTCGTCATTTGTGGGTTCTTTTCTTTTATTTTCGTTTCTTTTTTTTAGACACGTTTTTTGTTGCTGATGCGCTTTATTTGTTTGATCAATAAATTTTAGCGCTGCCATTTAGCGGGCTGCGAACGAACCGCCGCTGCCCCGCAAGCCCTCTTGCCATATCTCTCTCTCTCTATCCATATCTATATACATCCCACTCTGTGCCTCTAGAGGTTGCCTCATCACGGCTTTTTCGGCGGTGTTTATTAATTAATTCTTCTACGGCTTTTGGCTTCTCCATTTCCCAATTTGATTGTGTCATATTATTTACGTTCCCTATCACTGCGATTGGAGGGGTCGGATAAGGGTGGAGAAGGAGTGTAGTTGCGAACAGAGTCGAGAACAGAACAGGCACAACCTTAACCTCAGTGACCCAGACCCCAACCGCAGCCCCCAGGCAGCTTAATACATAAGAAATGAATGAATGAATCGCGTTATCATACACTTTCTGGCAGAAGTGTCTCATAAGCTAACCCATGAAGGTTGCGACGGTGCAGAGGGTAGGATATAGACATAAATTTTGATATATTCTATTCTACTTTGATATATTCGAATCACTATTTGAATTGTAAAACCACATTTAAGTGTTATTAGAATTTAGAAAAATTCATTGCACATATAATCTATAATCTATCTATATAATCTATATACTCGTATATACATACATCTACCTATATTTATTTTAGATTGATCAAAGATAGGGAAATTGAATTCCTTCGATTTTTTTTACCGATAATGCAAATATCAAGGGTAGCCAATAAAACTGTTTGAAAACACCATTAAGGTGCTCTAACGTATTAAGAATTTTCATATGAAATTTTTTAATTAATTTTATTTTATAATGGCAAAAAATTGTGATTTTTTTCCATAGTCTCTGGTGCCTCTAGGTCTACTCTCTGAAATCCGGATGACGAAGAGCTTAGACATATTTGGTTTGTCCCCTGTCCGGGGTATTCAAAATAGCTGATGACTCTTTCCCACGATTTGTTACCATTTTCCTATTTCTGGCATTGGCCTTGGGGCTTCTGCTTTCCCCGCTATCATGGTAGGGGATGAGACGAAGTTCTGGGGGGCTGTGCGTGGGCCGCGTGTGCAATTCTCTGGGGGGCAAGAAAGGTTGCGTGTCGGCAGTCCATATGAAACTTAACAGGAACTGGAATCCCAGGCTGATGCAATTACTCAACTCTATAAATGTATCTACCCCTTCTGTGTCTCCGTCTCCACCTGCTAGACCCCTAAGCCTGAACGAGTCGCCGTATAGCGAAAAGATCTATACAGGAGGCAGCCAGGAGCAGCCTCAGCAGCTTCGAACCGAGGATGAGCGCCTAAAGGTGGCAAAGATCCTCCGCAGTCCCAATGGACAGATGCTCCTATCGCGCACCTTGGAGGAGGAGCTCAAGGACGAGAGGATGGTGCTAAACTACATGGAGGCGGAACTCAAGCGGCGGCAGCAGCCAGAAGCTCCTGATCCGGAGCCGCTCAACGAGCGCCAGCAGCAGGCCATGCGGGAGCGGGCCGAGCTGGACCAGCATAAGCAGCTGGTGAGCGAATGCCGGGAGAGACGGCGCCAGTCCCATCTCAAGAAGGAGCTGGCCGGAAACCTCAAGAAGCAGCGGCAAGAGAAAGCCGCTCCCCGCAGGAAGTTGCCCAAAGTGGTTCCTGAAAGCGACTATGAAGAAGAGGACGTTCCGCTCTGGTCCGTTCCTCATAGGGATAGTCAAGCGTCACTCAGCGTCCAACGAGCCATGGCCGAGGCAGATGTTGACCCCCTGAATGAGCTCCTCGAACGTCGGAATGAATTTCAGCCACATTCTCAAGCTATGATCTTTCCTGAGAGCGAGGATGAAGAAAAGGATGCTCCGTCGCCATCCATTCTCCGGAGGAGCAATCAACCCTCACACTCACACTCACCCCAGCGATCCGAAGCCAACGCAGATGTCGACGACCTGAATGAGCTGCTCGAGCGGCGGCATCAGTTCCAGGTACATTCCCAAGCCATGGTTGTTCCTGAAAGCGAGTATGAAGAAGAGGACGTTCTGCCCTGGTCCGTTCCGGATAGCGATAGTCAATCCTCACCCACTGTCCAACGATCCGTGGCCTCGGTAGATGCTGACCTCCTGAATGAGCTCTTCGAAGAGCGGAATCAATTTCAGATACATTCTCAAGCCGTGGTCTTTCCTGAGAGCGAAGATGAAAGTAACGACACTTCCCCCTCATACATTCTCCGGGGGCTCCAGCGATCCGTTGCCAAGTCAGATATTGACCCCCTGAACGAGCTCCACAAATGGCGGTATCAGTTCCAGTTGAATTCTCTGGCCTGTTGCCTCTACAAAAATCGTCGAAGCTCAACACCCTGGGTGAACATTGCAAGGTATGATATCTGGGATTACTTCTACCTCAATCTACCTCTCTATTCGAACTGCCTTTTGGTTTCTCTTTCCAGTGTGGCCACGAAATGTAGCTTGGAGTTGTTGGACGATGTGCTGGCCGCATTGAATCGCCGTGGGTCCAGCGACAGAGACGATTCTGAGGACAGCGAAATGTCCGTATAGAGAAATCTGCCACTGATTGTTGTCTCCCAACATTTTCCAAACAATGGACCCCCCGATTATACACCAAAGTATGAGCAAATCCTGAGCTCTCGTTGGGACTAATCTTAGCATTAGTTGCAAGTAAATTGAAAGTGATTCGAAATTCAGATTCACCCAAAATAACAATCGTGTATCTTCAAATTTGGTTCTTGAAATGTAATTAAATTCCCTAAAGGTTCCAAATACTAGATACTCGGATTCTTCTTCTTTGATTCCATTTTCGCGTAAAGCCTAAAAGCAGGCAACACTTTTTTGAGCTCTCCGAAGTACGGAAGCATTGATTTAGGGAAGTTGGATCAAACGTATCCAACGATTTTTGTCAACCTTAAACTGGTTTAACTCGACTTGTCCTGAGATCCTGAGTTTTCAAAATCGAAATTTCGATTGCAGCCGACTACGAGCTTCATACAACAAAGAATTAATTACGAATTTATGGAGCCCTCTAGTCCGTCACAAAAAGTGGTATCAAGTCAGCGTTTTGTTGTTTTTCGGCTGCTGCATAGTGTTATCTGCAAACTCAGTTCGTAGACCAGCTCCATTGATTGTGGGGGTACATAAATAGGACATGTTTTATGGTATGCTTATCAAGTCTCTAAATACTTTCATTTAAAGTACTTTGAAAAGTCATTCTCGCTTTAATAGTTCTCAAGAAGCACGTATCAAATTAAATTCATCAATCTATACAGGGGGCTATGGGGTGTGCATGCGGAATGCGCTTAGCAACTAACTATGCTTAGTTTACGCCCTAGACTAAATTATCCAATAGGTTCGTACTTAAACCAAATTACTCTGAGCGGGAAAAACATTGCGTTTTCCCGTTGTTACGAGTACAGTAAGTGGACTCAAGGCTGGTCGCTTGAAGAGTGTACATACGTACGTATGTGAGTTTGGATGTGGGAGGGGGGTCTCTGGAGGTGATGTCAACAGTGGCTAGTCAATGTTAAGTCTAATCCTTCGTAGTTAAAACTAGTTAGCTTACACTCTAGTCTAGATCTAAGCCGATTCTCTGTGTAAGTGTTTGTGTGTGTGTTCGTGTGTGTGTGTGTGTGTGTGTGGTTGTGTGGTTGTGAGTGTGTCTCTGGCAATGTGCGGGAGTATAAAAAAAGTACAATAAATAGTTGTTTTTTGTTGGAGCTAGGGAATTGTACAAAGTCATCCACAGTCGCTGGGTGCCTGGGGATGATCGAATGGATTTCAGAGCAGGTTCGAACAGCTCGGCTCTGACACGGCGCAATTGGTGGATCGCGGCAGGAACTGTATGTGCTGCCAGGTGGCATTGAATCTGGAAGACAAAGCAAACGGCTCATAAGCGACTAGGAAAGAGAGAAAGGAGAGAATAGAGGCGTTCGTCACGTACAGATATCTTTCGGCCAGCTGGCTTTCCACATGCGGTTTTATCCTGGCATAGTCCTTGTCTGCTATGGTTGTGCTGCAATGCTGCTGCATGTAGGCCAGAGTGAAGAGCTCGTTCTCATTGAACGACCGCAGACCGGGCACTCTCAGACGCCGTGTCAGCCCCAGGGCCTCGTAGGTGTTCACCTGATCGATGCCCGACCCCTGGATGGCGCTGCCCGCATCGATGGCCGTCACGAAGCTGCTGAGGGCCCTCGCTGCCGTCCTGGCCGCACTCAAGGTCACATGGAAGCTCTTGAGGGCAGTGCTGGACAGCTCGTTGAGCTCATGGGTGAGGCGCGGCGGCTGTCCGGCGGCCAGGCAATTGACATCCGGCTGAGCGTAGTGGATCTCGGGCACAGCGTCGCTCAGGTCCGAGCTCTGCGCATTAAACTGCAGCAGGAATGTGGAGAAGTTCTCAATCAAAGCCTCCAAAATGTCCGTCCCGATGCGGGCAAAATTGACAGAACTGCAGGAAAAAGAAAGGGACAGAGAGAGACACCATGAGAACGAGCTGCATAGAGGAGGTAGAGGCGGATGTGAAGGTGGAGGCACACTTACACTGGATAGCGATAGTCGTAGTAGCTGGAGCTGATCAGAACCCTCGACACCAGCAGCATGTTCAACTTGTTCGAGTAGGCAATGGCCTGCGGATTGTTCCTTGTGTACATCTCGGAAACAATGCTGCACGCGGGGAGAGAGATCGAGGAGAAAGTGTTAGAAAGTTAGAAAGCCCCTGCTCCGCTCCAGTTATGAAACACATACACATCCAGCATGCCAAGCGGCTTCAGTTTCTTCTCGAGGCGCGTGCGCCGGAACGTCCAGATGGACTCCAGATGCTCCACAAAGTACAGGTTGTTCAGCATCAGGTCGTTGTAGTAGTCCTTGAGGTAGTTGGGCTGGTCCAGCACCTCGCCGGGTATCCCAAACTGTAGCCGCATCTCGTCCAGCTTCTTCTTGAGGAACTGCCTCGCGGCGCTCTCCAGCCAGCTGGCCTGCTCCAGCGAGTCCTTCAGCTGGTTGCGCAGGCTGTAGAACATCAGGCGCAAGTACTCCTCGTTGGCGTGCGTTTTGTTCAGGCTTGAGGCCTGTGGGGTGGATGTCCTTTCGAACTGCTGCTGGGCCGGCTGCTGCTGCAGTGCTTCCACAGCAAAGGGCAACCAGTCACGCACCACCCGGCTGCAGATGAGCCACCGGGGATAGCTGGCCGTCCGCCCGTAGATGGCATGGTCAAAGTGCTCCGCCAGCGTGCGATACTCCTTGGACAGATGTGGCAGCATTTGTCGGGCCAGCGACCAAATGATAAAGTTGTTGATGGGTCTGCCAGAATACAGATTCGTCTCAATTCTCGAAGACTTTCCCCCACCCCCCAAAAAACTCACTTTTTATCCGAGGTAGAGAGCAGTTCGGAGAGGGAATGCAAGACCTCTACATCTCGCACCAAGACCTCAGTGTCTTCGGTGATTTTGGTATTCGGAAAAATGGCCTGAAGCGACTCGAAAATTGGTAGCTGAAAGGGGTACACAGGAATAGCTGCGGATTAGCAAGGAGTGGCATCAATCGAAGGAGGATGAGCTTACAGACGGAGCCTTGGTCTTCAGATCAGCCAGACGCATCAGTCTGTTCAACTGGCGATCCCCACCAGCCTTGGCGTCCTCAATATGATTGACAATCCGGCGCTCGTAGTGGAAAATATCATCGGCAAACAGATCCGCCTCGCGGGAAACAATCCCTATGAAACATTAAACATTAAGAAACGGTTTACAGAAGTTTTAGCCAATTAAATCTCACCCATATTGATGGCAAAGTCCCTGAGAAGCAGCTTGTAGCCTTTGACGACTTCCTCATCGGCATCGGGGCCATAGAAATACTTGTCCGGCAATCCAATCTGACCCTCGTCGATCGCAATCACATAATCATGGGGATTGCTATAGCCATTCTCCACACTGATGCGATAGTACGGGAAGATGCCGTACTTTGCCTGGAGATGCACCAGGGCCCGCTTGTGCTCCCAGTACTGCAAGCGATTCGAGTCCCGAAATAGCTGCCAGCCATCTGTATGGGTAGAGGGGTGGGGAGTTGAGAAAGGGAAGAGTATCAATTAGTGTCATGCGCCCAGTTCGGGTTAGTCGGGTCAATTAGTTAGTAGCGGTGCTGCTACTATTATATGTGTGGATGGAAACACCCGGGACACGGCGCTACGCTAATCGAAAATTCCCAAAACCCAACCAAACATGAAATTCACCAATAGAAAAGAGTTAGTTGCATATACTATGTATGTACATGTATGTCTGTATGATATATTGTATATTTTATAGCATATATATATATGTATATACATATATACATATGTAGTATGTGTGAACCGATATCTGTATCGGTTTATGGCTATTAAAAGCGCTAAAATGTTTGGCTGCTTGAAAATTTCAGGGCGCTCAGTCCCGTCTTCTCTTGCAGTCATAAAATATAAAAAAAAATAAATAATAATAAAACAATACAAGTGGTAAAATTTTCCAGGTGAAACGCTACCTAGGAAATACTCTCTAGTAGTATATATATTCCAGATCTTTTCGGAAAGAAGTTGTGAGGAGTGTCCATCCATGAAAGGATTCAAGCAGAAAAAGTCCCAGTGGAATGCTTTTATTCTTCACAAACAATATTCTTAAAGATAGATATATAGAATCGCCAACACTCTTCATATCAGGCATGTTTCCAACTTATCGAAACACGAAACTGATAAAAAGGCAGACTGTTGCAAAAGATATTCCCCAGATTCAAGACACACAACGGTAAATATTATAGCACTCTATTCAATTCTAAAATATCCAACAGTTTGATATAGTATCTGTCATTTATTTTGCACTCATCAAGAACCCTGAGCAGCCCCTAATCGTATCTATAAAATATGTAGATATCATTTGTATCTTGGCTACCGGATTCCTCGCTGCTTCGCTTCCTCACAAGTTTCATCATCCAGCTGATGACATCGCAGCGCCGTCAGACCCGTCAAAGACATAGAAATTGATTGTGTCTTGGTCTGCTGTCTGTTTACATCAGCAATTAGCACTTCGGGACGATCGATCGATCGATCCATCGACTTTGTGGGGGAACAAAAAAACCCAGAAAACAAGAAAACTGAAGAAGCTAGCGGTGCCAGCGCTGCCTGCGGTGCTAGCCGGATTTGTAGTTATATTGATTATATTGATGCTTGGATTTGGGCATTTTTGAGGCTGGACTTGGCGGCTGGTGATCGCTGGGTGTTATAGTTTTTTAACGATTTATTGCAAACCACTTTAATTAACTTCAATTAAAGGCCCCGTTGGCCCCCGGCTGGTATAAAAGGTGACAGTTTGATACGGAGAACGCATCAATCCAGTGCAACAGCTCCAGAGCAACAGTTGTCCGTGTTGTCTCCCATCTCTCACTCCCATCCTCCAGTCGAAAGTATGAATCAGTTTGTGGTGAGTACTCTGGCATCCCAAAAAGGGATCCAAAACCATATCCATCCAGCGGGAGCAGCAGCACTCATCCCATGGCATCCTGATTGCAGGTCTTGGCCTGCCTGGCGGTTATCGGCGGTTCGCTGGCCGCTCCCCGTCCGGACGTGTCCCATCTGGGCTACCGCTACCAGGCAGGTGGCTACAACGGCAACCTGCCCAGCTCTGTGGTGAGCACCCCCCTGGTTGTGGGCACCTCCTACCAGCCGACGGCCGCCGGCTCCAACTACTTCAGCTCGGCGCCCTCCATTGGCCAGCTGAATTCGGGCAGTGTTTCGACTGGTTTCGTTCCCTCCTCCTCCTCCTCCTCCTCCTCCGCCATTGGCTACCAGGTCGGCGGAGCCGAGTCCTCCTCGGTGACAGTCGGTGACAGCATCGGACTGCAGGGTCTCCAGCCCGGCCCCACCATCAACTACAACGAGCAGGAGTCGTACATCAGCCACCTGGCCAACTTCCAGCCTGCGCAGGTCAGCAAGCACTTCTACATCCACTCCGCCCCCGAGGACCATGACGAGCAGCAGATCGTACGCTACGTGAATGTGGGCAGGCCCCAGAAGAACTACCGTGTGGTGTTCATCAACGCCCCCACTTCGACCACCAGCAAGGCCAAGATCATTGCCAACGTCGCACCCGTCGAGGAGAAGACCGCCATCTACGTGCTGTCCAAGAAATCGAATGCTCTGGATGTCAGTGCCGAGGTGGTCACACAGCGTCCAGTGGCCAACAAGCCCGAGGTCTTCTTTGTCAAGTACAAGACGCCCCAGGAGGCGGCCCATGCCCAGCAGACCATTCAGGGTGAGTGTGCCAAGGACATCTGCCTCCAAAGGGTTCATATCCCTAACCAAAATCCCTCTCTCTCGCTCCCTCTACAGCCAACTATGATGCTTTGGGTGGCGCCTCTGAGACCAGCAACGAGGGCATCATCCCCGTCTCATCGGTGATTGGTAGCCTGGGCGACAATGGTGCCTCTGGCGTGGTCACCGATGCCAGTGGCAGCCTCAACATTGTCGGCACTGGCGGTGTACCCAACGCGGATGTCAGCTACAACAATGTGGGCTTCGATGCCGAGGGCAGCCAGCGTCAGGTGATCAGCACCTTCAACGGCTCCAATGCCCAGGCCACCTATCTGCCCGCGAGGCCAGTGCGCAAGTAGATATCCCCACCATTCCATCCATCAACACACACACACGCACATAAACACTGCCAGGACACCTACCCCCAATGGACACCTAATCCTCAATGGACACCTACTCCTCAGGATTCTAGCCAGCTTTGGATTTGTCTAGAACTCGGTTGAGGAAACTTTTGCGATTTTCGATTTAGATTCTCCTTTCGGCATTAATTCTGTATAATTTTGTATATTTTATTATTTTTTTTTTTTAATAAAACCTAAGCGTTCTTATAGGCATTCAAAAAATGTAAAAAAAAAAAAAAATGGATTTTCAATATAGCCATAAAGGCATAAGAGGCAGGAAAAGGGATTCCAAAAGGAAAAACTCTACATTGTACAAAGATCTTGTGATCCACAAAATTGTAGGCCCGCTAAGCCACCTGCAACTTGCATAATCGGAAAGCCCACAGAGTCCCCAAGCGACTATTTGGCAAGCCACTCATAATCGTTGAAGTCCGACCAGAGACCCGACACCCGACTGACCAACCGCAGCAGGCCAATATCACTCGGAACGGAACCACGCGATGGATGGGCAGGCACAGACAGGCACAGGCACAGTCAGAGTCAGAGTCAGAGTCAGAGTCACGGGTAAATAAATTAGCGACTTAGACTTAAAGAAACTCCGACTCGGAATTGATATGCAAGCCCGCCAAGGTCGGCCAATGCCAATGCAAGTCGCGGGCATTGAAATACCTCAGAGTATTAAATAAAAAATTAGTTAAATATACCCGTATAGTATATATATTAATGAATTTTGGGACTTTGGCTGGCGGTGACTGTGGCCACGCCCCGGAGACAGAGTGCCTGGCGCCAACAAATTTATTATCAATTACAACGCCCGATGGATGTGCCTATCTGGTATCTGGTATCTGGTATCTGGTAGTGTGTATCGTATCTTTTCCCCGTTGCGTATCGTGCTGGCCATCTCGAGATCTGAATATCAATGGGGCGGCTCTTCTTTAGCATAAAGATAATCACACCTACTAAATAAAACGTTGCGACGGACGGTAGCCGAACGAACTCAAGTTTTTGAGTTGAAACTGAAACTGAAACAGGTACAGATACAGATGCAGATACAGATACAGATATCCAGATACTGGATACTGATTCGGTGTGGTAGATCTTCTGATTCGAGCGAACCGATTTGTCCCTCGATTCGATTTCTATTACTGTCATCATCAATAAAATGTTACATAAATTTTCAGCACAGCAAGCGATCGATTCGGATCGCAGAGGGAGAGATGCCAAGTTATAAATATGGAATGCCTAATTGATAATTATCATTTTGTTCAGTTTTCCATAATCCATATGCGATATACGATACACGATATGCGATCTGCGATCTGCTAATAGCTAAATTAGTGAAGCTCGAAAATCTCAGCTGAGAATGCATTACCATCCGACGATCCATTTCGTCTCTCTCTCTCTCTCTCTCTACTCGTAGGGGGGCATTCAGCATTCATCGACATCGTGTTTATCATTGATGATCCGTATTGTTGCCGAAATTGTCAATCAGTTTTATTCGTTTATGTTCTGTCATCGATCTCCAGCCCATAAATCCATTCAAAGGCATTACGTATTCAAATTCACAATCTTGAGCTCTTGCCTGCTTCTACATTTGCCAGTCGAGTCGAATTATGTTTTATGGGTTTATTTGCCAATATTTACGATTTTCGTATGTATATGCATGCCCGCCTATCCAACTCTGTCCAACCAAGGCGACCCGACCTCTAAAGCAGCCGCCGGTGAATGTCTGTTTCTCTTTGGCTCTATGGGGCACTCTGAGTCATCGATTGGTTCGCTTGGGGTCACCATTTATGGTGACCAACTTCGCTGGGAAATTCCGCCAATCGAACAACAAGGAAGCCAAATTGGCCCAGAAAAAAAACAAATCTGAAGGCAGATTTATCTGTACTTATTAGAAGAAAACCAAAGAAATTTGATTTCAGCTAAAGCCAAATTAAAATAAAGAAATAAAACAAAAATTAAAATATAATTAATAATAAATTATTTAAAAATAAATAAAGGTTTGAAGAAATCACATGAAAACTCGAAAAGCATAGAAAGCCAATTGATGCAAAAGAATAAACCATTTCTAGCAAGGAAATACAAATATTTTATGTCTAAAGGAATCTATGTAGGCAACTAAGAAATGGAATGAGTTTTATATAATTTATAGTATATTGAAACTATCTGCCGGTCAGACATTTCATTTTCGCCCAAATATGAATTTGAATTGAAAATACCGAACGATTACGGATACGTATTTGGCTTATATCTATATCCTATATCATATATATGTCCTATATCATATCATATCATATATCTTTGCATAATCTAGGGGCTGTTCTTAGCACTGAAAGGGTACAGAATATTGCACTCGTTTTTCTTTAATTGAGAAACGATTAAATATGTATGTACATACATATATAAAAAAGTATTCCCATAAATGCATATATAATATAAGCATATAAAATTAGCACTATTATATTATATTATATATTTCAATGTGTATACACCTCATTCCTTCCAATCCAGGCCGTGCAAGAAATAGATATTTCGAATGTCCTATCATATCTTTTAAGTCTAATATTCATAGATATTCAACATGAAAAATGCACCACTAATTTTCCCGCAATGATTTCTTAATGTCAAAACATTTATAATTTCTGGAAATCAATATTCATTGAATTCATGTTCCAACTGTTATAGATATTTGCCATTTGCCATGATGAGCGAATGGGCCAGCAAAAAATCAGAAGAAAAAAACCCAGTGAACTTGTTTTGAGGCCCAAAGATTGATGCCGCCTCTGAAGCATCATCGTCATCGCTTCAGGTGCCGTTTAATGAGATTCATTCCCGGCAAAAGACGGGCCTACAGATACATAACTAAGTATTTAGATGCGAATATGAAGATATACTAAATATATATAGATATTTGCTAATCCATTGTGAGTTTTCCCAAGGCGAACGCGAAGTCAAGTTCAATGCCAGAGCCAGATGGCAAAAATAAATACCAAAAGAAGACTTTTGTTGAGAGATGGTAGTGGAGTGGTGTCCAGCGAATGTAAACCATGGCTAACTTAGATTCAGACCCCGAATAAAGCGCATCTCTGAGCTACAAGACCCACCAAGCGATCGTTCTAATTTGAATAAATTTTAGGTCACACTAAAGACTGAACACTTAACACTGAACACTCCGCTCAAATCCGAGTCTGAAACTGAAACTGAGAGCATAGGCTCTGGCATGGAGCATTGAGAGATGCCATCAAATTTGCATAAACTGACGTTGACGACGGCAGAGCAGAGCACCAGCCCAAGCCCCAAGACCCAAGCATGGGGCAGTCGGAGCATATATAACCCAAGTGGAGCGGCCTCAAATGCAACCATTGCCTCGAAGCAATTCGTCAACGAAGCACCAAGCACAACGATCACTAGTCAGTCAGTCAGTCAGTCAGTCACTCAGTCGCCCCGAGGATCACTAAGGATCACTAAGGATTACCCACTAGAAGCTGAAACAGAAGCTCAGTCATGTTCGTTCGTCCACTTTTCATCAGCTGCCTGGCCCTGCTGGCTCTGGCCCAGGCCCGTCCCCAGTACGGTTATGAGCAGCCCGGTTCCGGCCCCTCGGACATCTTCATTGGAGGCAGCGGCGGCGGTGGCAGCATCGGCGGCATTGGCGGCATTGGCGGCGGCCTGGTGGCCATCCAGCCGCATCGCGGTGGCGACAAGTACCTGCCACCGGCCAGCACCACACAGGCGCCCATCATCAACAAGAAATTCTATCTGGTTTCGGCGCCCGAGGACCACAGCAACGATGGCAAGGTGAAGCACCTGGTTCTGGGACGCCCTCAGAAGAACTATCGCGTGGTGTTCATCAAGGCCCCAGCCGGCGATAATGCGAATGTCAAGTATTCGGCCGAGTTTGCTCCGCAGGAGGAGAAGACCGTCATCTATGTGCTGTCCAAGAAGGACAATGATCTGGATGCCACCGATATTGCCACACCGGCGCCCACACAGCCCAGCAAACCGGAGGTGTTCTTCATCAAGTACAAGACCGACGACGAGGCGAAGCAGGCCCAGCACGAGATCCAGGGACAGTACGACAAGCTGGGCGGCACCAACGAGTACCAGGAGGACAACAATGCGCCCATTACCTCGGTGATCGGCAGCCTGGATGGCCTCAATCCCGATGGCAGCTACAACTACCGCCAGATCGGCAACCGGCCATCGAGCGGACCCAACAGCAGCCTGTCGCCCAGTGCCCAGTATCTGCCCAGTCTGCTCAAGCATTAATCGCACAATCACCCGACCAGCCCCCAGCCACCAGCCACCAGACACCAGCCACCCGCATACGTACCACCCGCACCCGCACCCGCACATGCACCGCCTCTCCCCCACAAATCCCACTCATTTTTCAGTGTTGCATAATTTTAAGAGAAAAATCAACGTTTTTTTTGTATTTTTTGTTTTTGTTGTCAATAAAGCTTATATTTAAAGAAGAAATGTCTAGAAAGCTCTGGGTTGCCCAAGAAATTGGGCCACTTGGAAAAATTCATAAAAAAATCATATAAATAAATTGGCCAAACGCCGCGCCGCACCGCTCCATGAAATCGATCTCAGAGTCAAAGTCAAAGTACAAAAACAGAAACAGTAACATTTCGGCTTTGTTTTGTTTTTTCACGATATTCAAATCAGAGAGGCCAAAAGCCCAAGCATAGTCGTAACCTGTCCGAGTCAAAATCCAAATCGAAATCCAAATCGGAATCTAAATCAAAATCGAACAGAAACCAACGATGAAACCACAATGACAATGACCGGACCCCAGAGCTGCTGTCAAAACTTCCAACAGAAATTAGCTTAAATGAAGTGAGAAATCAAAATAAGCTCATCAAATTTAATTAAATAGTAAAATTTTATATACTTTACTCGCATAAGTATCTCATTTGGCCAGGGCTCTTTTCTACCCCTTTTTTCTTGCCGTGGGTTTGATTGGGCCATTAAACTGACGCTGAATAAACTCAACGCGTGGATGGGGCGATTCGGAGGAGCAGGACCGAACGAACGCCCTATCGCATCGCATCAGATCGGATCTGATCGGATCGGATCGGGGCAAATGAAAATATTCCTTGGTTGAATGTCAGTTCTTTAAATAAAGGAATTTTTTATTCATTTTTACTTTTAACATCTCATTCATCAAAGAATGAAAGTACAGATTTTCATTTTATTTTTTAATATTTTAAATGGTATCATTATTTTGTATTATTATTATTTTTTTTTTTTTGTGACTAACTAAATTTCCTATCCTCGTTCACCAAAAAAACCCAAAAAAACGAAACGTAATAAATTAAATTTACTACTAATGAAAGGCCATACATTTACCTTTTAAATCCATAAAATTTTTTGGATGCCGAGTGGAAAGTATTAAAATCGGCAAAGTGCGAATTCTACCAGGCCCAACAGCTTTTATTTGTAAATTGCCTCGAATCTGGTCTAGGTCAAAATGTGTTTTCGAAGACCAGGCTATTTCTGCGAAAACATATAATCGTCCAGTAGTTCCCATCATTCCATAAACGCAATCAATTTGGTTTGATATTCTTTTAAAATGTGAGGAGGTTGGAAATACATTCAGATGTGTTGTTCGAATGTATAACTTTTAAACAAGAGCAACTTTTTTCGAAGACAACCTTCACACGCACAACCAGACTAAGTGGAGAGGCTGCTGGCAACATCTTCATATTGTAGATTGTAGAGGAGCCGCTCTTGGCTCGTATATGGGCATATCTCTCGGTATGGCCACAATTTTTCTTAATAAAACGGGACATAAATCAAATTAGCTGTACCATTTTGCTTAAATGCGACATGAAAGTGTGGGAATTACGCGTCAATTTATGCAAATCGGATGCAGACACAAGCGAACCAAATCGAACCAGTTCCAAAGACAGAGCACAGTCCGAGTCCGAGTCCGAGTCCGAGTCGGAGGAAGGCATGGCCTACCACTCTTTCGATCCATTGTTGATATTTTAATTGTCTCGAGCTGTTGACAACACCGAGGCAAAAAATACAAATAAAGCTCACAAAAAGAAACCCAAGAAATACTGAGATTAATCTACTAATCTGCATCGAGGCTGCCAGCCAGCCAGCCAGCCAGCCAGCCAGCCATCGAGCGAGCCAAATAACTGACATCGAAATGAGCCAACATGCATATGGTAACAGAGGGAGACAGACTTGGCCGAGAGATCATTAGATCATTAGTCAAAAGCGCGGGCGTTGAGTGCTGCCCCTGTGGGTAGGCAATGCTCTGTGTTGTATTCTCCATCGATCAGATGATAAATGATCTGCAAATCAGCAGCGAAATGTGTGCAGAGCATAACGAAATGATATATCAAAATTATCTGTATTTGTATCCCATTTGCTATACACACTATTCTCTAGATTAGATTATAATTAATTATTTCTTCTATTTAATAAAGTTTTCCAATGATTAGTCAAGGTAGCTGTTGCGAGCATTCAAGTCAATTAATTCGAAATGAATAAGTGAAATAAAAGATGCCCTTAAAGAAGATTTAAGAGCACTCAGAAAGTTGCACCAACTCTTAACGAATTAATCATCTATTAATCACTCATAATAAATAAATGTGTATTCTAGAAATCGTGTAAATTTCGACACATAATGACCCTGAATCAGATCTTACAACACGCTGGACTGGCCTGTCTCCCAGCTCCCATATAATTCGACTCCTGGCCTGGTACTTCAAGCATTTTTACGCACAATTAATTTTGGGATTCCGACTCGAGTTTGTTGCCCAAGTCTTTTGTTTTTGCCCATCTCCTAATTGGACTGAGATGTTCACAGATTCGTTTTTTGGCAAATCTCGCGTTTAGATCTTGGAAAATTTCTCTTAAAAGTCAACCGCTTTGGCAGTGGGTGGAACAGTTTCACTTTCGAAGCCGCGAAATGCTCAACCTGTGGTATCTGCTTTTAGTCTCGTGTCTTGGTCTGATCGCGGCCCAGGGATCGCGCTCCTATCTGCCGCCACCAGCCACCGCCGTGGAGCCCATCATAACCAAGCAGTTCTACAGCATATCCCCGGCCGAGGATCCCGAGGAGCTGCAGCCCCGTGCCAAGCACCTGGTGATAGGCCAGCCACGGCGGAACTATCGCGTCATCTTCATACGCGCCCCCACTCCCAGCAGCGACCAGGTGAAGTACACGGCCGAGCTGGCGCCCCAGGAGGAGCGCACTGTGATCTATGTGCTCACCAGGAAGCAGCAGGAGCTGCAGGCCCAGGACATTGTGGCCCCCCAGCAGCAGGCGGCGGAGCAGAAGCCCGACATCTTCTTCATCAAGTACAAGACGAACGAGGAGGCTGCCGCCGCCCAGCGCGAGATTCAGACGCAGTACGACCAGCTGGGCGGCAACACCGAGATAGCGGCCCCCTATGTGGCCCCCGTCCAGTCCGTGATCGGAGCCCTTAGCGCCGCCACCCAGCAGTCCTCCCAATCGCAATCGACTCCACCGGGACCTGATGGCGACGGGGGCTATCACTATCGGAGGCCCCAGCCCATGCCCATGCCCCTGTCCATGCCTCTGTCCATGCTCGTGGCGCCAGTGAATCGTCTCTACTGAGTCCAAATCGTTGAATATTCCGCGTAATTTGCATATAGTCGATAAGCCATTTCCACAAATCCGCAGCAAACCCACAAATTTATCATAAAACTCTTGGCGAACGCGTAAATAAAAAAAAGCTCTCTTAATTATTTTTTGTTGTATAATTTTTGCACAGTTTGTGGTTTTTTTTTTTTTTTTTTTTTTTTTTTGTTTCGTGATATCTGATTTGCGAATTCTTTTTTGGTTTTGTTTTGATTTCATATACGAATACATATGTATACATACCTATATATGTATGTATGTATGTATGTATCTGCAAAAGTGCTTTGACCCTGTGCCAAAGGAGATGCCTTCGATTGGGCTTATTGGTCTTTGGTTACAAATCAGTAAAATATGAGTGAAAGTGCATAAAAATGAATGGAAAAGCTCCAATAAAAGTTCTTTGAAAGAGTATTGCAGGGTGTCACGTGGCCAACAATATCTGCCAAATAAACAGAACTGAGAGTCGGCATTCAGTTTGCATATGGGAGAAAGAGAGTCTTAGAGATTATTAATAAATGGACATTTTTTCGAGAGATAATACAAATTTTTCAATCATATTAAAGTTTGTTCCACACAAAAATTGATTCATTCAAAATTGATTTTTATGCCTTCCAAAAGCATTTTATTTTTTTTTTTAATACTGCAATTATTTTTAAAACGTTTTTGGCTTTGTTTCAGGGGCTTCCAAGTATCGTCTAAATTGGATTTGAGAGCAAAAACTAAAAAGCAGAAATTTGCATAAATTTTTGCAAGTCGCAACCGAAACAGAAACGGCAATGCATTTTTTATATGATTTGTCTGATTTTTCGCGAAGCCAGTTTATCAGCTCTTTGGATTTATTTGCATTTGCATTTAATTAATAGGATTTTTTAGAGCCAAGAGCCAGACCCGAGACGGAGACCAGAGACCGGGCCATGTTTGGGCATCAACTGGACGACCTTTCTTTTGATTGGCATCAGCAACAATTTGGCAGCAATTAATCTTTGCAGGCGGCCAAAACCAAACAAAGCCAATCCACGCGAATTAAGAAGAAATTTTATGCAAACACTGTCCATCCCCAAGGTCGAACCTGCGAACGTGGCTTCGTGCGGGTTCTAGGCCGCCCGCCTGTTCGCGCCTGGTAGGGAAATCCAAGCCTATCCATCGCTAAAGGTGGCCAAAGAGGTCGCAAACACAAAGGCCGTCATAACGGCCGATGCCCAACCCAAAACGCATTCAAATTATGGCAATCATATTGATACATTTGTTTGATCCCATCCACAGAGAGCTCCGATCGACCGTCGATTGGAACTTCGTTTTGGTTGTTTTTTCTGTTGGTGTAGTCTTTGGATTTGTATTGGAATTTCTGCTTTTAGCCCGTCCAACTAAAAATAGACCATGACACAAGGTAACCAAAGAGGCACGCATCTTTTTGGGCTACCCTTTGGGAAGGGGGTATCAAGATATCAGCGGAACAGTTGCCCCGGAGCGAAAATGGCTCGTAGAAAAACTGGAAAACTGAATCAACATAGTATTACTATAGTATATACTAGTACATAGTACTCGTAACATAGTAGGGCACTGATCTTTCGGATGGACGTGTCTTTGCTCTTTGGCCCATTCTGACGCAGGCACTTCCTTCCTTCTTCCATCCTTCCGTCTTTGTTCCTCTGCAAGCCATACTGTAGGGAGCTCCAGCGATCTAGGGATTCTTATGACAGACCCAAAGAAAACTATGCAACTGCTCCTCATCCCTTTGCTCGCTTATTCCCAATTCCTTTGTCTCTGAAAAGTCATTTCTAATCAAGCTTATATACATATACATACATATATGGAAACGCCTGAATTGTTGGGATCCTCAAACGATTTGTCACACACAAAAACAAAAACTCAAAACTGTTCGAAGCGGAAGCCAAAGCCGAAGAAAATTGAAGTTTGATCAAGAGCGGGGGATAGATTGGAGCTATTGAAAACAGCATTAATCCAATTAAATATATAATGGGGACTGGGCAATTAACAGAATTAACCAAAGAGCATACAAAATTCATACTTCAAATCATATTCGATGAATTTCGATTTATAAAAGCGAAGCCAATGCCAATAGATCGCTGCGCCTTCGGCAAGCTCACAAATAATACTATAATAACCCCAATGCTCTTCTCTGTCTTAGTGATTCCGCCTAATGCTTCCAAAACATAATTAAATTCTGGCTAACAATGGCAGCTTAGTACGTCAAACCCGGCAAGGTCCCCTGGCGGCCTCCTGGCGGAAGCAGGTTCTGTTCTTAAAATGTTCTTAAACCAAAACCCCCGAAAAAAAATCACCGAAGAAAAGAGCTACAAATATTGTTCGAGTGTTTCTTTGTGGGCAACGCAGACAGCAAATATATTGGGGGTTCATCAATCAAGATGTGTGTGTGAAATAAATCACTTGAGAAATACTGATTATGGAAAAGTAGGAATGTCTATAGGTACATATGTATGTTTCTTTCTGAGTAATGATGAATGATATATTTAAGGAAGATAATCCGGAAAAGAAAAGTATTGGCAGCGAAAGTGCTGTTTGAGCATGATCAAATGGTAAAAATGAATACCCATGATATACGTATTTCCATCCCTGTTCCACTAGTGCACATTCGGGCTCAAAGAGCCCATAAGCAAACGGACACATGGCGATTGAAAATGCTTACAAAGCTACGCATTTCAGTTTTAGATAAAGAAAGATTGGATATACATATACCAATAATCGAATATTGTAGTGCAAGCAACTCTAATATATCGTAGTGATGATATTCCAGGATATACATACATATGTAGATATGCAGTTCCAAGTTCCGACTTGGATATGCTATTTTAAAAGCCTTCAGATTGATTTCCAGCCCCGAGCTTGTTTGTTCTTCACTGCTGACTAAATTAAGTTATGAGTATGCTTCTGCATATAACAATATATACTGTACATATAGTATAGGTATTATACAATAGATATCAATCAATCGGATGACATTTCTATGCAAAAATTTGCATGCCACTGACAAAAAATGCAGCCGAATTTCGTCTGGAAACTGATCCATTGACGGAATGTCGGAATATTCGCTATCGGAGCCGATATGATTTATGGCCAGAAGAAACCCACGGAAAACCAGAGTCAAAGCCAAGACCGACAGACAACAGGTCACATTAAAGGAGGCGTGAAAGAGACGGTCGAACAAGAGGAGGGGTGGCGAAAACGAGAGGCAAACAAACAAGTCAAATGTCAGAGGTTCGATTCGAGACATAGTCAAATAATTGAGCAATTAATTAAACAGCCAGCGAGGAGAAGAAAGAAATAGAAAAAAAAAGTATAGAAGCAGTGGAGGAAGAGGAGGAAAACAGAGGTATTACTCGCATGCTAGGGGTTAAGCGGTTGGTTACTCGAACGTTTCGGGGTTTCGGAGTATAAAAGGCCACAAATCATTGACGGGCAGCATCATTAGCCCGACAACTGAAAAGCACTCAAGATGCGTCTATTTTTGGTAAGAGCCTCCAACGGATTACCCAAAGGATTACCCACAGGATCGATCGATCGTCTCTTCTTGCACCCTTTCAGACCCTTTGCACTCTGATGGCCCTCGGCCTGGCCAAGCCCCAGCAGGGCTACAACTATGGCAGCGGACTCTCTGGCACTCTGACCCATAGTCAGAGCTCCCAGGGAGGCGGCTTCCTGAGTGCCCCCAGCAACACCCAGAGCTCTGTGGCCTATGGGCCCCTGGGCGCCTTCCAGAGCGCCAGCGTTGGCTCTCTTGTCGGCAGCTCCGGCGGTGTGGCAGCCGCTCCTCAGGTTAGCGGACACTTTGGCGGCGGCGGCGGCGGCGGCTACAGCAGTGGCTCCTCTTCCTCGAACTTTGGGGGCGTCCGAACAGCCTCCTCCAACTATGGCGGCTCCTCGGGCGGCTTCACCGGCTTTGGCCCCACCCCGAACATCGGCTTTGGCGCCCTCTCGGGCTACCAGGCACCGTCCTACCAGCAGCAGCAGGAGCAGGAGGTTCAGCGTGGCTTCCAGGAGCCCATCATCCACAAGCAGTTCTTCACCGTCGCCGCACCCGAGGAGCACGAGAATCTGGAGCGGGCCAAGCATCTGGTGATCGGTCGCCCGCAGAAGAACTACCGCGTGGTGTTCATCAAGGCCCCATCTTCGAGCAATGCCAATGTGAAGCTCTCGGCCGAGTACGCACCCAAGGAGGAGAAGACGGTCATCTATGTGCTGTCCAAGAAGGATAACCAGCTGGAGGTCAACGACATTGCCACACCCGCACCCACAGTGCCCAGCAAGCCGGAGGTCTTCTTCATCAAGTACAAGACGGAGGCGGAGGCGTCTCATGCCCAGCAGCAGATTCAGGGTACGACACACAGCCAGATAGATGCCTCTTCCTTCCATTATGGATTTATACCTTAAGGTCTTCTAACGTTTCCTTTCTTCTATTTAGCCGAATACGACAGGATCGAGGGCACTTCGGAGCATTCCGATGGCGGCGTGGCTCCTGCCCAGTCTGTGGTCGGCATCCTGGATGGCGGTGCCCTTGGCTCTGCCAGCAGTGGCAGCTCCCAGTATGCTGCTGGTGGCGGCTCTTCCTCCGGCGGCTCTGCTGGTGGGTACACCTCCTCCACTGGCGGCTCAGCTGTCGGCTCAATTGGTGGCTACACCTCCACTGTGTCGGGTGGCAGCTCTGGCGGCCACAAAAATGCCCAAAGTGCCACCTATCTGCCGCCCAATGGCAAATAGGAAGCCAAATCGAACCAATATAATGATAAACTCCCTTCTTTTTTTTTTGTACACAAAGTCCCCAAAATAAACGTCAACACAGAGAAGAATCCAACCCAAAATAGCTGTACCAAACCCATAGCTGTACTAAATGCAAGGATCTATCCGGCCCTTGGGACTCACCCACGGATTTAATGGCTCGCTTCAGCAGTAGATCCGACTGGCTCTTGTCGAGCGAATCGATCTCCCGGCAACTGCGGTACAGACTGCTGATGGTGGACTCCACGGAGTAGGAGCCTTCGGCAGAGTTGGGCAGCATCGAAATGAAGCGATTCAGTTCATTGAGTTCTGCGGGGGGGGGGAGGAGAGAACAGAATAGAACATCAGAATGAATGATTGAAGGGGGGTTGAAGAGTCTGAAGCCTCACCCTGATACTCATTGTAAGTCTTGTAGTTCCATTCGCCACGCTTGATCACGAAATAATCGTTGTCGGCATAGTCGCTGGCAAAGTTGCCGCACGCCCACTCGTACGTCTGGTGGCACGGACTCTTCGAGGTGTTGGCCCACAGGAGCAGCTGCCGGCTGCTCTCCACGCACTCCCGCTCCAGGCAGAGCGGGGCACGCAGATAGAAGGGCACGTCCGGCCAGAAGGCCAGCAGCATGATGATGATGATCAGCAGCAGGGCGCACAGGCAGGCGGTGGTCACATACAGGATCCTTCGTTTCCTCGACAAGCTCATCAGTGCATCAAAGGAGCGGCGTCCTGGAAGCAGCAAGGCTTTATACCACACGAAAGAGATGGGAGATGGACAGAAATGTGTGATGAAATGAGTGATTCAATGATATGAGATGATTGCCCACTCACCTCTCAGGCCATTCGCCGAAGGATGCGTCGAGTTGGGTGTATTCGCTGTGGGTGTTCTGCCGCCGCCGCCGCCGCCGCCGCCGCCGCCGCCGCCGCCGCCTCCCACTCCCCCGCTGACCTCGTTGAGCGCCTCTTGTCGTGCCGCCTCCAAGTCCTTGGGCGTCAGTCCCGCCTCATCCATGTGCAGCTTCTGTTGATTCGTCGTCAGTGGGGCCGTTTCGCTGCCCTCGATCTGCTGCAGCTGCTGCTGCTTCTTGCCACGGATCTCGTCCTGGCTGTTGTGCAGCTTATAGCTGCGATCGTCCACCTCATCGATGGCACAGATTGTGGGCTTGTACTTGCCCTGATTGATGGCCATTACACCGAATCTTTGCACTGGCTCTGGCTCTGGCTCTGACTGTGAATCGCTTTCTCTTTCTGGGTTTCTGTTCCGCTTCCTCAATGCAAATATCCAGGCATTTTCAGATCTGTTGAAGATAAGTAGAAGAATTTATTCACAAAAGCTCTCGTCCATTGCCTTTGATCAGTCTTAACGGACCTGATAATCAAAAGATTACCTTGAGACATGATAAACGATGCCCATGTCCCGCCCCCGCCCTGTCCTGATAGTCAGGTGTACACCTCTCGCTATCCACCAAGTAGAGCCAAGTAGAGCAGCCATAAAGACAGAGACCTTTTTGACGTTATGTAGAGCATCAGCGATAAGTGAAAATTGCCCCGTAGAGGGAGATAGCAGCCACTTGATGGCCACTGATATAAGTACATTGTACATTCACTGTACATATGTATAAGAGCATGTTGTGCATACATATAGGAACACATGAGTATGAATGCTATATGTGGAACAGATCAGCGGCTATACTCGCATGTGGATATTGCATGCATTCTTCTGCCCAACATTTGACTTCTTTTCAATTTTAAATTGACAACAATTGCTGGCAATTTGCACTGCGAAAAATGTCTTCGAATGCCTGGCTCTGGTCTCTCGGTCTTGGTCTCGGTCTCGGTCTCTCGGTTCATGCATAAATTTTAATTGAGATCCGTGCAAGTACAATAATTAAAAATGCAACAGAAAGTCCAGCGAATTAAACCAGGCTAATTGATAATTACAATCAAAATCTGTTCTATTTTTTTGGCGGGAATATGGGACATTTGTACAGGTCATTTTCCAAAATTAATACAACATATATGTATGTATGTATGTGCATACGATATTCCAGTTAAATAGAGATCTGTTCTGCCTCGCCTCGCTGAACACCCAGCGGAGGCGTCACTAGTCTTTGTTGTGTCTGTGGTTATGTTCGGTTTAAAATAGTTATAGTTTTTTTCCCCTATATCTGCTTTCAACTCTCGGACGGGTACGACTACGAGTAGGAGTACTCGTTTGTGAAATTTTATAGCATGTTTGTCATTCAATCTGTGAGAAGAGCAGCACCCACACAGCCGCCCATCGGATCGGATCGACAAGGCCAGGTTAATTACAATAGAAAACTGGAATGCACGCGACTACGAGAGAGAGAGAGAGTGAGAGCATCATCATCAGCCAACAGAGTGTCTTATCGGTACTACCACTTGGTCGCTGACTTGTACGTGAATCATAATTACATTTATAAGAACTGCACCTTTAACGCTCTGGTATTTCCTAATTTTTGTACACTTTAATCAAGATTCTCCCACCATTTTGAAGCCATGGCAAATCTCCTTTAGAGCCCCTCAGCAGGCGATAAGTTCTGGTCAGTCGGTCGGGTCGGATCGTCTGGCGGGCTGGGGGACTTAAACCAGAACCCAGCAATGGGAACTGGCATTTTTTTTTTTTTATCTTATCGCTTTGAGATTATTGCCTAATACATTGCTCATTTTTAGGCACTGCCACTAAGGCCCATAAAGAGTCTACCCTCTCTGTACATGAGATAACTTTCGGGTTTTCGAACAATATTTCATGGCCAGCATAAATCAATTTTTATGTAACATTTAGCTTGATTTAATTAAAGAAAACCTTACGCATACAAACAAATTGAAGATGTATTTGAAGTGGCTTACTTAAGGCTATCTGAAATGGGAATGGCAATGGCCTATCTATCTACCGAGAGTTGAGTAATGATGAAAGCGTGTGTTCTTTCCAGTGGAACCGTATTAAAAGATAAGATCATCAGAGGACTCACATAAAGATAAACTGATGATAATGGAGGATGATGACACACTCGGCTGCAACACATATGTACATATGTACGTGTACACACACCCAAAAACCTTATAGTAGGTATTGCTACTTTTAGATCTTATGGCTGCCAGCTATCCTGTAGCTCTACTGTGTACAAATAAATAAATAACTCATAGAACTGTCATACTCACAAGTCCTTTGGGATACAAATACAAATACTCTCAAGAAAAAAGAAACTCTAAAAAAGTGTAAATATTTGTATTCACAAATGATACCACAGTACCCCTAAATCCACTTGTGCAGCAAGTACTTTCTATGGAATGGAAATTTCTGATTTATCCTTTTAGCTAACACCTTCCCCAACATTTCTATATTTGTTGAGATTTCATTGTGAATTTATTAATTTATTAAATTTCTTTTCTTGCCATTTGGGTAATTTTCGTTGGCCCCCAGTCCTCTAGTTTTCTATAATTTGGGCTTTACAGATTGAAATACAATATAGCACTAGTAGAATCAATTGAAGAACCATTCAGTTAATACTGCTCGTAGGTTTCAGGTTTCGGTAAGACCTTTCTTTCCATTCAACGATCTACCCTATCCATGATTTCCGCATTACAAAATCGGTTTTTCCTTCCACTGTTAGTGGAATATATTTTTTGCGCAATTAAATAGGTCGATTTTGAGCAGTTCAAAGTAGATTAATGCCGCGGCGGCAGTTTCCCCAAAATGGGGACACCCGATCCAAGTCTGTGTATGTGTGTAAGTAAGCTGCACTTGGAGCACAATGTGGAAGAAGAATAAAAGCCAAGTGGTGGCTCCATTTCAGCTTTCCTTATCAAGTTTCAATTGCTTTGATTCCAGATTTTTCCCCGATTTTTCGCTTATTTGGCATGATTCCTCCTCTCATCGCGAGAGATAGTGGAGGGATGGATGGATGGGTGGATGGGTGGATGGGTAGATGGATGGGGATGTGGTATGTACATATCTCTGGCACTTGCAAAAGATGTGGCTGCTGCTGCGTCATTTAGTTGGGGTGGATTGTTGGGCTGTTGTCCACGCTGTTCTGAGTTGTGCGAAGCGCAATTCCCATTCCCATTACCATTCCCCGTTGTGACGCAGTTTCATACAAGTTTTGCTCTAGGGAGGAGGTGTTACAATGTAAAGGGGTCTCCTAAGAGTCTTAGCTACAGTTGGTACAGCGGTTTATTGCTTAAGGTAGATCTGAGATCTCTTTTGGGCAGAGAAAACTACTTTCAATGTGAAATGATTGAGCGGGGAGATTAGTTTATTCAATCCCTCTAGCCCTTACTCTTTCAAATCAAAACATTATTCATTCCCAGTAGAGGTGTATTCATTATACTCTTTCACCGTTTCACCACCCACACGGGCACTCTCAAAGCGGTCTTTCTTTTTCCGACCATATTCAGACGACTTCCAAGGAACCCCCGGATACCGCACCGCACCTTTCTTCGGGCTTCGGGCTTCGGGCTGCCACTTACCATATTTGAACAAGAGGCCCCACCGCACATAAATCATCATCCACTGCCATACACATAAATCTCAGCAGATAAGAGCACCGCACCAAGGTATAGAAATAGTGGTAATAAATATGCTGACCGTATTTTGACAGGCATTAAACAACTATTAGCCATACCAAAAAATACTCGGCTGGTTGTCGGGGGTGAGCGAGGGGGTGAGCAAACAGCAAATAGACGTATTAGAGACCCATCAAATTGACAGTCCCCTTCCGTTGGTAATTGAGTGTTACCGGGCTTACACATTTTGACAACCGATTCGCGCGAGCACCTGTCAATGAGAGGGGGCTAGTGCTAGTCCCCATCCCGCCCCTCTCTCGGGGAGCTTGTAGCTTTAAATTTCATTTGTTTGCCGCACTCTCTCCCCCTCTCTGGGCGCAGCCCTCTCGTTTGTTCTTGTCGCTTGTTGGGAGGTGCTATTGACATTTAATTTGAGTTAATGGCACGCCAAACGACATCGCTGTCGGCGACAGACAGCTCGGGGCTGCAGTCGTATTATCAGATGTGTTGATTTCGGGACAGCCGAGTATACAGTTGACCGACTTGGGGATATCCTATACGAAGGTTTTCTCTGGGTTGGGATCATTTATCAACATTCATACGTAGTGTAATGTACTTCCCATGGGGATGGTGGGGGGGACACCCCAGCTAGAAAAGGATTTTTCCATTCCATTAAAGTTGAAAGCAATCTTAGCATGGCACATACCCCTTCGGCTACAGGGTATGAGAAACGAATAGATTGTAGTTTTTGTTGGGCAGAAATGATAACCTTGTCTTGGCCCTCCCCTCCCTCCTCTCCCGCCACCTTTCTGAGAACACCAGAGAAACGGGGATTGCACAATCAGCTCATTTGCTTGGTGATGTTTTTGTTGTTTGTTGAACAATAAATCTATCAACAACAATTTGTCCGCTAGTAGAAGTCACTTTAACGTTAACAAAGTGCAAATTGCAAACTTGCGAAACTGTAATCCAAGGAAAGTGTGTAAACGTTTCTTATGCAACTCCTCCTCCATTCCGACGATTCGGGCCCGCAAACACTCCATCAAACATAAAAGAGTAAATGTTTGAGCTGGGAACATGCGGCGGAGTTTGTTCTTCCAAAACTCCCGCAGGCAGAAGACAAAATGTTTTCTCACTCATACTCCGTCATCCAAAAGCAGTCGAGCGGAAAGTTAAAGCCGTAAAACGTTTAACGGAAAAAGGCGCGGTTAAGGTTAGCTTTTCGAGTGTTTTTTTTTTGTTGTTGTTGTTTTTATATACCCTGTACTCGTTGAGGAAGGGTCACTTGATTTTACCAGAGAGCACTGTCTGAGCTCTGTGAAATCGAAAATAAGCATGGAAACTATTTAGGAATTGTTTTCTTATCCATAAGAAATGATTTCTATTGCATTATAATTACACCCAATATCAAAATAATATCTCCTTGAGATCTGAGTGTATTTAATGGCATCTGCTTAGGAGGTATTTCCAAGTCGACTTCTCATAAATGGCATATGTATTTTTTGTTGCTAAGCTTGGAAACAATGCAAAAAGCAGTAACAAAAATGCGTAGCGAACAAAAGACAACCGTGGATGCGGGCGAACGGATAGCGGTAAAAGGGGGGTCGGGGGGTCCCTTCCCGTGCGTGAGAATTACAATGCGCAAATGCAAAAGGGTTTAGAGCAGGCAGCGCTGCCAGCCAAAAAAACAACAGTGGGGCCGGCCCACTTGCACATGCCCACGAACAACGGTATGCCAAAAGCAGGAGAGAGAGAGAGAAGGAGGGAGAGAGAAACAGTAGAAACGGAAGTATGGAGGATGCAGCTTCCATATGGATGAAGCACGGCAAGAAAAGAAGAGAAAGAGCAAGAGGGAGGCTGATGCACAGGCGGAGCAGCCAAATGAAATAGTGTCAAGAAAGACAAAGAGGAAGAGGAGAGAAGAGAGACAGAATGCAATATTAGCAAAACACTGGATATTCGATTAAATCGAAGCCATTCGAATGGCATTCCTAAAATTATGTATTTTGATTTGAAAACGTAGTATTGTCATAAAATTGATTTTCTTTCATAGCTAAAACCATTAAGATATGTCTGAAGGAGCTTGACCTGTGTATTTTGTAACCTCTGGTGAAAGAACAAACTAAGCATTGCACTGTTTAGTGACAACCTTAATTTTCGGACCTTACCAGCTGATCCTCAGCACTGAACTCCAAACGTAATTATAATTGCCACTAGAATTTATTAGCTGTCAGTTTTCCCATTGATCTTTACACCTTTGCCGGGGTCATAGTGTCAGCGGCAGGGTATCTGCAAATATTGGAAAGTGCTCGTACATTTCCAGTCGAATGTGACAGATTCCAGTGATCATGAACAGGTCGACGTAAAAACGAAGTACCTGGTGAGGAGGAGGTGGAGAGCCACGAGCAGGAGAGGGAGCGGGAGCGGGAGTAGGAACGGTCCCAAGAGCTGAGGTTTTTGCTTTGGTCACTTGCTGAACCGGTTCTGCCGGCATTTCACACACACACAGAAACACACACTGTAACACACATGCACACCCTCTCTCTCACTTTTCCACTTTTTCAACTACGGCTTGAAAGTGCGGCTGCGGCTGCGGCTGCGACTGCGGCTGTGGCTGGGCCACTGCTCGCCTAAGGTGTACTACTCGTTCTACATTATCTTTCTCTTTTTTTCATGTTCTGCGCACACACACAGGCACACACACTCGATCAGACACATTCCTGCTGCAGCAAAATAACATCTCTTGAGAGATGTATTACCTTTTTTGTTTATAGCTCGATTAGCAACAATTTACACATTTTAAATGCACGCTTCTCGCATTGCGCCTCGCACAGCGATTCTACACAAAGTACAATACAACCGAAAAAAATACACACCACGCGCACAATCTCAATATAACTAAATCGAACAACAGTTGAATTTTACGCGCTCAGGCCACGACGATGTGCCTATCTGTTTGAACTTCCCGCTTTGCTTTCTCAATGATTACTGTTCTTTGCTTTCCCAACAGTGGTGCGGCAAGAGGAAGAGAGCAAGAGAAGTGAGGAGAGCGTGTGTTGTAGCCCTAGTACAGTGCAACCATTTTCCGATATCCGATATCTTTGGATTTCGGTATTTTTCGTTGCAGTATCGATATATCGATAGATTTATAATCATCGGTGTAAACCATCGATATAAAACCAACGCAATCGATATTGAGAAACTGCCACCACCAGCGATCAGCTGTCGCGACTTATCGAAGCAGTGCCATCTCAATTGGATTTGTGGGGGGAGATTTTCCCGTGGACGGCCAGCGGCGCCCGTTGGCGCTTTTGTGGCCCCCAGACCACCCCGGAGCAACAGTCCGACCACAGAGAAGACCCACACTGGCTACCGGCAACACCATCTTCCTAAAGCCAGCTGAGCAGTCAATGTGGCTCATCCAACTGGCATCCGGCCACACGAACCTGAAGCGCGTGACCCTGGAGTTGGGCGGAAAGTCCCCCAACAATATCCTTTCTGACTCTATTCGTAGAGACGGCCCAATTCGGCCTCTTCTTCAACATGGGCCAGTGCTGCTGTGCCGGCTCTCGCACCTTTGTGGAGGATAAGATCTACGACGAATTCGTGGAGCGCAGTGCAGAGCGCGCCAAGAAGAGGACCGTGGGCAATCCCTTCGATCTGAAAACCGAGCAGGGTCCCCAGGTCAACGAGGAGCAGATGGATAAGATTCTTGGCATGATCCAGCAGGGCAAGCAGCAGGGCGCCAAGCTGGTGGCCGGCGGTAGCCGTCCCGATGGCCTTCCCGGCTACTTTGTCCAGCCAACGGTGTTCGCCGATGTCCGAGACAACATGCCCATTGCCCGCGAGAAGATATTCGGGCCCGTCCAGCAGCTGATTCGATTCAAGAAGCTCGACGGGGTCATCGAACGTGCCAACAACTCGGAGTACGACCTTGCCGCCGCTCTCTTCACCAAGGATCTGGACTATGCCAACTAAATTGTCGGTTGCCTGCGTGCCGGCACTACAATGCCCTCGCTGGCCAGGCTTCCTTCGGACGAGAACCGGGAGTATACACTCTCCAACTACACGGAGGTCACAGAAGAACTCCTAAGAAGGGACTGTCCTGGACAGGGACATTAGCCTTAAGATTCGGATAGTCCGCCCATCATTAGTATTTAAAATCACCTGATTTATATATATATGTATATATGTACGTATATTTTACTCTATCTAATTATATGTAAAGGTTACAATGCCTACCACGCGGGAAAAATATTGTATTGCAGCCCGTATGTCGGTGAATTTATCCGCATCTGTAACGTGGATAAATTTAAGAATATCGTACACATGGGAGGTGAGGATGAATCCACGCAGCTCGAGATCGGAGCTATTGACTCTGCTCAAGTTAAGAGGTGTAGACGATTTCGCGAAGTTCAGCGCCAATAGCTTTTTTAAGTTTAAAACTTCGTTTGAATTAAACTCCTCTAGTTCATTGGGCGTGCTGCTGGTTATTTCTGAAAACTTCTGTTTCCATTCACATTCACATAATTGTTATAAATTAAAAAAAAAATATTAAAACAGTTTGAATGAATTTGGTTCGTGCACTAGCACTTGAGCTTATGTAATCGAAGCAGGCTTGGGAAACAAAGCAAACAGTGTCAAATTTTCTGTAATAAACTAAACCAAAGTTTGAGAAATTATATAAAATGTCGCTGGAGGACTCCTTAAACAACATTGGCCTCGGCAATCCTGTGATGCAAGCGGCTAGGTCTTACGGATCGGCACTAATTCACGCCATTGGGATAACGCCGGAACAAGGAAAGATGATTCTGAAGGAGACGCAGACGCTGGGCTCGGTCGTTTCTAAATACGTCTGGCCGGATATCTCGCTGAACACTATAGTCGGCAGTAATTACCACTTTGTGCGTTTTGCCGGCCTGAGTGGCACATCGGCCATTTTAATGGGCGCCTACAGCAGCTACGTGCTGGAAGATATAAAGGACCCGTTGGAGCAGATGCGCTCGGAGGCCTATGCTGATGGGGCCATTCGCATGCACCTCTGGCATGCGTTCGCCATGATGGCCATGCCACTGGTCCACTACCCCGTACTAACCGGAACCCTGATGACCACAGGCGCCCTCATCTACAGCGGCTCCTTCTACTATTACGCCCTAACGGGTAAACAACGTATCCGGACTTATCCGACCATTGGAGTGTTCTTCCTGATAGCAGCTTGGATGTCTCTGATCATGTAGGATCATGGTGCTCTATGGCTGGTGTTACCAATGACGAGCTGAAAACACAGACGGCTCAGATGGCTCAGATGGCACAGATTGACTTGCAGTGGTATCCCAGCAGCGATACTATCGATACGAGGATTCCATTGAAAACAGTGGGAACATTACAGAGTGAGAAGACATTAACCACTTTGATGGATCGGAGGGACTGCATCTTAACAATACATTCCAATAAATACGCTCTAGCTCTTCCAGCCCTTATCCTGGAAGGTAAATACGTTCGGAACCCCCCAATAGCGACTTAAGGATGATCTGTCGGTTGACTAAGGGCTCTACCGGAGTAAGAACTACCTCCACCGCCTCATTTGCAATGATATCCATGCGAATTTACACCTGATAACAGCACAAAGGTGTCGTGTCAATTATGTTGTCAGTGGGGTAATGAAACAATTACCTTCTTCCTCCGGAATAGCCGTCAATCAGCCATCCGCATCATCAGTAATCATCAGGCCACTGCAGCGTTCCGAACGTATCTTGCCACCGATTTTATTTAAAGTTTCCTTTAGTACGAAATGAAAACATCACACACATGAGCTTCATGAGCATGGAATTTATTTGATTCAAATTTATGTATACATGTAAAGTCCAAGCATATTTGGGAATATATTTCCTGTACAAAGTACAGACAAATTGTAGAAAATGTCGGTGGTGGACTCGGTACTTTCTCTGTCACTGTACACTCTTGTCTGAATGGGTCCCGGGATGTACCCCCACAATGCCTATGAACCCAACCATACAATCGATCCCGCACTCAGTTGCCACCTCGTGTTTTTACTCCTTTGCGTGCCCTTTTGCCTTTTGCCTCTGACAGCACAATTCTACTTGAAGATATAACTTTCTACATATAACATTTTGGCTGTAATCAAGGATTACCTTCATGCATTTCGATACAATATCAGGTTGCTAAACAATACAATTTAAAACAGACTGACCAAAAAGTAGTCTACTCAATTAGGAACATATTTAACTCTAACTCCAGCTCGTCATCCGCCATCATTTTGCTTTGAATATCTAAGTGATGGAAATAGAACTTGGCTTTAAACGATACTGACACTGACACACGATCAATACTCACTTTAGTTTACTTATTAAAGGGTTCCTGCAAATCGACAGCGTCATGTAGCGACTCCTTGGCTGTCTCCAAATGATCGGAATTATCAGACACCTCCGAACGAGATGACTCCTTGGCTGTCTCGAAATTATCGGAATTATCGGATACCTCGGAACGAGGCTTGGGCATTTTTAGAACCTTAGTTAACTCATTTTTTTTTATAAATAACTGCGGAACACGAGAAATTCCAGTACTAGTGGTACGAGTACGAGTAGGAGCATGTATTCGATTCGACAGGAGCTCACCTTGATTGTCGTTATGCCGTCAAAGGTCTCCACTACCCCATCCACGTCAATATTCTCCTCATCCATGACTATCAGGCTGGGGATCTTCTATTTGCTGGTGTCAAAAAATGGTACTACGAGTACACACAAGCTTTCGTTTAACTTACGATCAAAATCTAGTTATTTTCCGCTGTTCAATAGATTCGCTTAAAAATGCAACCTCAATTCATTAAAAGTCTCACAATCTGGACGAAAAAACTACACTCACGGCGGACCAAAAAGGTTTAAAGTATTTCGTGCGTCTTTCGGATCTGTTCGAGCAATATTTACTGACAATGAAAAATAAAGACGCTCGGCAGCGTTCACCTGAATGGTTAGAATATCTTCGATAACTATGAGTTTTGACAACCATTTCATAGAGCACTATTAGAGCATGATTCCAGCTGGAGATTTCATATAAGTGTTTCCGATAATTTTATTGGAATAAATCAATTGTCCTCTTACAGTGCAGCTCAACTTTGTATTATCTTAAAAAACAAAAACTTCACTCAAACTCCCCTTGACCTTTGAATAAAGTGCATTTAAAATTAACTTTTACAACTCGACCTTCGATTTTATTTATATTTTTATGGTAAAATTATTCAATTTAATACAGAAATTATCGCAAAAAAACGGATTCTTCATAATGTAAGACACGCATTAATAAGTACAGTTAATAAATTAAACAGTAGCGTATAATTTGGCTAAACTAACTGTGAGCAGCAGGTGAAACCAGGTTAATTATTTTATGTTGGTAGTATTCTAAATATAGACACAGAATCAGGGCGAACAGAGGTCGTTTATTTCGAGAATACACTGAAAGAAGTCGGTGAAGCGCTTCTCCAAATGTAGTTTGGAAATAAATGCAATCTAAAATTTAAATTTAAAAACCTAACCATTCTGGTTTCAGTTTTACTTTTGTTTATTTTTAGTATTTACACAAAAGGTTTTACAAATATTAGTTAATTCTTTTGTTTTAGCTTTTTTAACACATTTTGGCGTTGCAGCTGGCAAACTTTGAGTTTGGCAAACACAATCTTCCACACTTATAAATGTATTTCAAAAAACATCTTTCGTAATTTAGTGAAAAGCGTCAACAATCTTCAAGAAAAGAAAAAAAAAAAGAGAACTCTAGAGTAGCACCTATAAATTTTTTATTTTTTTTTGGTTGCTGTTATTGTTGTTATATAGCTGCTGGCTAGAGGGCGTGGCAGTATATATGTATATATGTATAGGACAGCTTCTCTGTGGGCAGCATTTCAATTAATTTAGTTTCATTTCATTTCTATTCCCGGCACTTATCTATAATCGTTTCTTTTTCGTTTTCACATTTTAGCTACATATCACTCCCACTCATTCACACCCATTGCATCAATCATTCGCACTCATACGCTTTCCAGACATTCATTCACTTAGCATTAGGTTCTGTTACTCCGCTTCTTTAGTACAGATTAATATAGCACTTGTTTAACTTTTCGGGAGAATCCATTTTTGCAAAAGACAAAACTATGTAAAAAAAATAAAATAATTTCAAAAAAATAAAAATAATAATAAACATCTGGATATCATAAGGTTTAAATATTACAAATTAAAAACCTTTACGCATTAGAAAGTTCTTTATATCGTGACTAGGCAAGTTCTGTTTTTGTTGTTGTTGTCTCTGTTGAACCGGTTATACTCGTAGAGTACAGTGTTCTCTGCAATGCGCCGACAGTGGCAGTTATCGAAAACTGTTTGCAGCCATCCTTTCGGCGGTATTCCTTCGGAGAAGCCGGTTCTTTCTTGTGTGTTTAGTACATCGTAGAACAGTTTCCTTGTTTTTAGTACATTGATTTTGTTGTGTGTGTTTGTCTCTGTTTTAGTACGATGTTAAGAGTTCGTAATTTGTTGGTACTGTTATTGCTGTTGTTGTTGTTGTTGTTGTTATTTCATGTTGCATGAAGAACTGGGAGGAGAGCTCTACAGATGCTCGTCGCCATGGTAGCCATTGCGAAGGGGCTGTCGCTCCTGGGCGTGATCCGTGGGTCGGTTGCGATTGAAGAAGCCGCACTGTAATGGATAACGTTAGTTAGTTAGTTGGAGAATTACGTTAGTTAGGCCACGGATCAAGTCGATATGGGTTAAGCTTATATGTATATCTTCTATATTCCATACATCCCATCAAGGATCATGGATCACTCACCTTGTAAAGCAGCCAGACGAGCAGCAGGAATATGAGCGCACCCGCACACGCGGCCAACACCACCACCCAGAGGGGCACCACATCCGGCACCTGTTGCGGCTCCGGTTCCGCCTTGTAGAAGATCTCGTGCGACTTGATGATCTTGTCCTTTGGCTGGCCAATGAATGGCAGCTGGGTTACGTTGGCCACGGCCAGCGTGGACACATTGAGAGGTACGTTCGAGGCCAGCTTCTCCATGGTCTTGGCCACCATGCGGGCGCGAATGGCCACAAATGCGGCATCACCGTCCTCGGTGCCCAGGTTGGTCACCACACAGCGGATGGTGCGACAGCGGGCCGACTGGCAAGGCGAGTTCAGGTCGATCTGCTGGGGCTGCTCCTGGTCCTGGTCGCTGTTGCGACGGAAGCGACGTTGCGAAGAGCTAGAGCTGGACGAGGACCAGTGTCCTTGCCCGCCCTGGCCCTGGCCCTGACTCTGACCAGGACCCTGCTGGAGTATATCCTCGTCGTAGTAGTCCCCATTCTCGCGCCCATAGTAGGGCTTGCTCCCAGAGCTGTACGTCACATGATAGCCACCTGGCGCAGCTCCGAACTGGCCCTGCCCTTGCCCCTGTCCGTACGACTGGGTGTGAAACTGTCCCTGTCCCTGTCCCTGACCCTGGAGCTGGCTGGACCTGTATAGATCGTTGTCCACATTACTGCGTGGTATGCTGCCCAGATCCAGGGTTCCTGCATGGAAATTGCCACTGCGTCCCCCATACATGGATTTGTCAGCAAAGTTGGCACCACCGCCACCAGCCTGTGGTCCCGCCGACGTATACCCAGAGCTGCTGCTCACGATAGTGGATTGCCGGGGCAGGCCGGCCATCTGAATGTGTCCCTGAGTGCTGTGGCCTCGGAGCTGGGCACTGGGATGACCGGAGCCATAGCCCGAGCCCGAGCCCGAGCCCGAGCCCGACCTGGAGGAGGAGATGGTCGTGAAGGTGCTCTGATTGATGCGAGGCTCCTGTTGGTCGATGGTCACCGCTTGACTAGCACGATCCTGATGGACATACGATGCATCGCCGGGCACATCGAGGGCATCCTCACGCTCCAGTAACGCCACCTGCTTGGGGGTCAGACGATTCTTGGCCTCCGTCTGGCTGACGGTCACGGCCTGCCCGCCCTGGGAACCCTGAGAGATCTCCAGGTGACCCTCAGCTCTCTCAGCGCCGCCAGCAGCGGCACCAGTCGCCGCCTGGCTGCTGAACTGCACCGAATTGCTGATGGCGCCCTGGGCGTGCAGATATGACTTGTTCTTCAGCTTATCGTCCAGCTTCAGGTTGTGCTCGTTGACTTCGTACACCTTCTCGCATTGGATCTTGCCGCCCGTCTCCGGCTGGCTGAGCAGATACATCAGCGGATCCCCCACAATGGTCTCGTAGGGATAGTGGATGTAGACCTCGGCCTCCTCGATGATCGACGGGCGATTGTTGCGTATCTCGTAGATGTGCACTACCTGCGGTCCGATATCCTCTTCGACGGTGGCATTCTGCAGCGACTTGTAGTCGTCGGCCTTGTACAGCTGATAGTCCGGCAGGGATGTGCCCTTGATATCCAAATCCGTGTCCACCCAAATGCCAACGCTCTTGCGGTAGATATTGTCGAAGTGGGAGCCCTCTTTCTCCACGTTTGTGGAGTTGGCCTCCCAGTAGAATTCGTAGCTGGACGAGCTGCCGTACTTGTCCGCCGGCACTAGGCTGATCATGAAGTGGGCCTGGGCAGGGAGATCGAAACAGATCAGAATCGGTGCTAGTTACGGATCCAGAGGCCAGGGATCGTTTACTTACAATTTGTCCGGACTCCAGGGGATTGCCAATGTCGCACTTGAGCGTATGATTGTTCGCCGGCGTGGGGGCCGAGCAGGTAATGGGCGTGTCCTTCTTCTCTCCCAGCTGCTGTAGCTTACGGAACTCCAGGTCCCGGGGTGTGATCATATAGAAGGCTGCCTCGAAGGCATCCTCGTTGTTATTCGAGATCAGGACTTCGACAGTGAGTGGTTCGGGCGAACCAAACAGATATTTATCCACGGTTCTGTAAGAGATTCGGTTAGGTCTGGGCTGTGGCACGTCGGCTACTGTTTGACTTACTTGATTTCCAACTTGAGATCGGGCTCGCAGATGTTGTCGGGTCCACAGTTCTTCTGGATGTTGATGGCATCGCGCACGACGATCTCACGGTTCTGATCGATTACCGGCTCGAGGATGCCGCGCCTGCGTCGAACCACGGGCTCGAGGGGACGATTGCTGCGCAGATTGTAGCGGGCCTCGACCTCCAAGGGCGTGAGCTTGTCCTGGACCTTGTCCATTATGTAGACCGTTTCGTTGAGGCAGTAATTTTGGCCATAATTCAAACGGATCGTCTGGTTCCTGATATTCTTGCCCTCATCCCGAAGGAAGAACATGCGGGGATTGCGCACCTTCTTGGCGTCCAGCAGCCAGGACACATCAAAGTCCAGCTGATCGGGCAAGTAGCGGCCGGTGAAGCTCCAGCAGGTGGTCAGCAGCATGCAGGGCACCCTCTTATGATCCCTCTGGAGCTGACAACTGCGATCATCGAGGCTGATCAGCTTCGAGGGACTGGCAAAGGTCGTCTCCGCATTGACAGCAGCCACGGGCCGGGACTTAAACAGGTACACCCGATCGGAACTGTAGGCGCCCACAGCCAGATCCGGATAGGTGTTACCATCCATGTCCACGCCACCCGAGAGAGCAAAGCCGAAGGTCCGCGGATAGGGGGCACCTTCCACCAGCTGCTCAGCGCGTATGATCTGCGAGGGTTTCGCCAGCGGACCCATCGACGATCCATGGTAGATATACACAACGCCCCTGCCCTCGGGTCCGTCATAGGGAGCGCCCACAGCAAAATCGCCATAGCCATCGCCATTCACATCACCGAGGGTGGTGAGGGCGAGACCGAAGCGACCCTTCGTCTGGAATCCGTCGCGTATATGCTCCGTGGTAAAGAACTGGGCAGCAGTGTGCCCGCCCTGGATCAGCACATAGACGCGGCCTACATCGTACTTGCCCTCCACGTTGTCCAACTCCGTGAACATGGGTGCACCAATGATGAGATCGTCCAGGCCATCGCCATCCACGTCGCTGGAGGCTAGGGCGTAGCCAAAGTATTCGCCAATCTGTCGACCAGTAATATTCAAGATATTGGCCATGTTCCAGCGGTTGACCACGACCTGGCCAGTAAGATTGGCGCCACGGGGCTTGCCAATGGCCACATCCTCACTGCGATCGCCATCAAAGTCGCCGGTGACCATGGAGTACCCCAGATACGAGTCATCGTTGACCGAGGTGCTCTCGACCGTGGAGAAGACTTGGTTCTCCGGCTTGGTCACATCGTGGGAGGAGGCCTGACCTGTGGAAGCATTGGAAACACTTGAGTTAGTGAACCGTTTCGATCCAAGTTCAGATCATCTTCAGATCATTATCGGTTTTCTGTTGGTGATTTGTGGTGAGTACGCTACATGGCTATGGACATGCTGAACAACAACGACATTAGGGATTGATTTGCATGTGGAACTAATCCAGCTAAAGCAGCAACAACAACGATTACACTACAAAGAGTCTACTATATTATGGGTATATGGATATATAGATGTGGTTGGCAGCAGGGGTATTTCCACCCCTGGACATGCTTCAGAGATCGTGCAGATTATGATTAGGTTGCATTCCGGTTAGTAGTACAGCCAAACACCCAAATAAACTACCAGCGCAGACATGAGAGCAGACATGCACAGCTAAAGATCTTAAATGCTAGGTAATGGTAATGGTGGGTAGACGAAAGAGGTGGCCACGGCAGAGGGGAAGGGAAGATGATGAAAAGGAAAGGTTCTCCTTCCCACAGAAGAAGCTAAAATAGTTTCAAAGTTCTTCCTTCTAACTGTTTCGTTCAGTTTCTCTTTCATTTAACCTACGACTATAAAATGAAAAGATATTGCATCAGGAAGAAATTGTACGGCTGCGCGGTGTACTTCACTACTGGAATCTCAATTCTTTTTTAAGAGATCTTTCGCCTCTGATCGCTGCCAACTCAACTTCGCCTGTCGGTCCCAAGAAAGCAAAAACAATATACGTAGCTTGGGCATGACACAATAAATTGACACTGCATTACGTAAAACCCCGAAAGAAAAACGGATTTTTGTATAGTCATGTAACCCAACGAGGGAACACTATATTACATATTGAAATAAGCCACATAGAAAAATGTTGAATAAGTTAGTCTATATCTGTAGTACAATCAATCGAAACCTTATCCTATCCTTCCACTAACACTACTAAGTCCACAAAGCATTGAATCAAAATTAATGCTACCCTGTTTTCCAGTCCCACTTTTATCCTACCTTATCTCAAAGGACCCGAAAGATTCCGTTTAAAGCTTGACCTTCAAACAAATTTGAATTTATGATTTTTTTTTTTCAAATCAAAGAATACAAAAACAAAATACTGAAAGAGTAAAACTGAAACAATATTGAAACAAAGATATAAAAAATAAACAAGTTCCTCCTCTGCCGATTCAAACATATGTAGCTCCTTCGATTATCCCCAAAACCTTATAAGTATGTATATGCATAGGTAGAAGCCAGGAGCATACGAAATAGAAATTCCCAGCTCGAATAGGGGTTTCGCTTTCATCCATCATCTGTCTATAGAAGCAATAGCGACAATCACCAGAGATGCGGACATGGACAAAGCGAGATGGGGAAAAGGCAGAGATAGTGAGATAAAGCGGGGAGATCGTTTTGGGTTGGTTTGGTTTACTCTCCCAGATTAGTCAGCGTAGCTTTCGAGGCGATGCGGCGAGTTCTCTGGCGATATCTGTTGGATGCCATGGAACAAATGAATATTCATTGTTTTTCTTCCAGGATACAGCAGTGTTCGCACGATGATGATTGATGTTTTTATACCCATTTTCAAGGTTTAATGTGATTCGATATTTTGATATTTGAATATTTTGCATTATCAGACACCATTTATGGAGATCGTTTGAGTGTGTTTTGTGTGTGTGTAGATGTTTAGGTACTTTTGGCAGCTATAGGTTAATGTTCGTAGGTACAGTTTCGGGTTGTGGTTGAGTTTTGAGGCAGTGTGTGAGAAGCGTATTTGGTTTTTGCATTTAATTTTTTTTATTTTTATTTTTTTATTATTATTACCTCCAGTGCCGAAGGGCTGATAATAAGGCGGCTTAAATGGAAACTCGGCATCGGGCGGTATTGAGTAGGTTTGTCCTTTTTATTTTGTATTCAGTGTGTTTCGGGTTTTAATAGCAACAGAAGTTTTGGAAATATGTTGATTGGTTTGGTTGTTGGTTTGGTTGGTTTTGTGGTGATCGAGTTGTGTGATATTTGTTTGGTTTTGTTGGGGTTGAGCAACAGACACAGTTCATGGCGATCGGTACAGAATGCATACGTCATTTTTTATTTTATTTTTTTTTTTTTGTGTTTTTTGTGTTTGTGAATACGGTACGGTACAAATTTGCATGCATTTTGCACCGACACACACACACATAGAGAGAGAAAGAGAGAGAGAGAGGGAGAGTAGGTATGGTGAGACAGTGGGTAAAGGATCAAAAAAGAAAGAGAAAGAGAGAATACATAATTTAGATTAATCAAATAAGACAACAAAAAATACAAAAAAAAAATAGTAGGTGAGACATGACGCGCTTTACGGTTCAGGTACAGATACAGATACAGGTACAGGTACAGGTACAGGTACAATTACAGTTAAAGATACAGTTAAAGATACAGTTAAAGTTACAGTAGACAGTAGTGTATCGGATACGGTACAGCTAAGATGCAGCTAAGGATGTTTTCGGTTACGTTTACAATAATCAAAGTACAGTCACTACCGACTTTTGCCGTCGAGTGTTGAATGATTTTCGTTAGCATAATGATTCTAGAAATTTTTGGTTCGCTCATGTGGGTACAATAAAAAGTACGGTACAATTGTTAGCTTCGGGCAGCGACAATAGAGCGACGTTAGGCCAATTGGGGTTAAACAATTTTGATGACAACAACTCGACAACACAATACGACTATATACGACCTTTCTTATGCGACTCTATTCTACCAATACTGTACTGTAGCTGTAGCTGTGCATCTAATAAGTGTATGAAATCCTTGGGTACAGAATGTCTTACAAGCCCATCAGAGCAAATACAAGTGAGATCTTGTTAAATGCACAGCTACCATTTCTGAATAGATTTATATTATGTCTGTTACAATCTGCACCTAAGCTTAGACTATTCACTAAATACAAGTACAATGCGACATGCACTAGGAATCATCACATTAGGGGTCATAGGCTACGTCCCGACATAGTATGGCATTCAACAAATCTTCTACAGATGCTGATTCACTTCGACTGGATGGATAGTCCGCTTAGATCTATGGATCAGGTGTTAGAGACATGGGTAAATGTTGGGATGTTCCTATCTTATAGGAAGCTGGATTACAATACAAACATAGAACTAGGCCCAGAATAGAGATACATAGATACATATCTTTAAGGTTTAAGGTTTAATTGGTTTTCTTTGTGGATATTACTTAGGTTAGGGACTGCCTTAAGACTCTTAGGACGACCAACAATATTAGGCACAAAAAATAGGTAAAATAAACTAAACTAGGGAAAGTACATACATACGAGTATATGTAAGAAGAAAAAAACAACTCATTGTGCTTTTTGTACACTGGAGAGCAAACAGAAACAAAATTTAATAGATTTAACTGGGATACTGGAGATCTTTTAGCTTTTTGGGGGGGGATACGAGGACAAATGCTATGAATACGGGAAAACAACTTCAAATTCAAACCAAACTACGGGACTTTGTGTGTGCTTTGGTGTGTATTTGGTTGGGTGAGTGTGTTTGTGTCTGTGTGTGTTTCTTGTTGTAGGAGTTCTTGAGTTTGGAGATCATCTAGGATAGGATACTTAGAGCTCTAGCTATGACTAAATACATTGGATAATTGTTTGGATTTTTCATTGAGATACGAGATACGAGATACGAGTACTAGAAAGAACAGCAAATTCAAAATACATACAGTAAAAGTAAATCGTCTCAATAGACAAAAAGGTACAAGGTACAAAAGTAACATATTGTAGGTTTTGATAGACAGATAGAAAAATAAGTAGAACAACGGTACACGGTACATGTGGGAAAAACGTGCACTTACCTTGCCAGTACCAACTGCCAGGTGCGCCAATGAACAAACGCGAGCCATTCTAGAGAAAAAAGAAACGAAACGGGGGAAAAAAACGAATAATATATAGTCAGATCGAATGCTGTGGATGCAATTGTGAATGCAAATGTTATGCCACGATCCCCAACGAGGTGCCAACTAAACGTGCCCACGCCGAAGACATGCCCATGCCGCCATCCTACTCTGTGCCCCCTCTCCAGCCTTTCCATGCATATAATAACTCAATGAACCCAAAAAAAAAAATAAATACAAAAAACCTTTGTAGAAAGAGGCAAGTAAAGATTGGGTAGGTAGGTCTCTTTTTATACGGATTGCTTGACATGGACGAACTCGTAATGCTCTTTGATTTGCGGAATACCATATTCTGATATATTTATGTGTACGTTATATAGCCTCTGCTCACATATCTGTTTATCGCATCCTATAATAAAGATACCTTTTTAGTTTTCTACATATTTGCGAACAACTTCTTAGAAACCATTAAAAAACTGAAAATATCGAAGAATTCTTTTAGAAACTATAGATTTATCAGCTTTGGATCCTACTAACAGTTCTCATAATAAAAAATACTAATACCATATTATATAGTCCTTGATTCATAGAAGGGTAGATTAGGGTATACTAGGGTATACAGTGAATACTTACTTTGTTGACGGCTGCACTGAAGCCGGCCTGACACGAGCCCTGGCGATGATAACCCCAGTTGTCTGCAAGTAGGAGAAAGAGAGATATCAGGTGAGTGAGTGACCGAGGAGGAAAGAGTGAGAATGTCAGTCACAGTTGACCATTTAGGCACGGCATTGTGATTTCCTCATAAATGTTCGGGCACAGCTCAATGAGCCTGCCCCTGCCGAGGGCAGCAAATGGTTCGAGAGGGCATCGAGAGGGATCGGATCGGATAAGTATGTGGGACAATAAATTGCAAATAATTACCGATGCAATGCAATAAATTGCGCTGCTATTTGTCAGTCCGGTACGGTAGAGTTGGTAGAGTTGGTCGAGTTGGTGGAGTTGGTGGAGAGCAACATAAAAGGATTAGAGCGCGCCTTTGGGGTAAGCTGCCAGACATCCGATGGACATTGAAATGAAAATACAACAATACGTACAGAGAACAGCCGAGGCAACAGCAACAACAGTGACAGCAACAGCAACAGCGACAGCGACAGCAGAGCGGCAAACAAAAAGATCAAGACGAAGGTAAGGCTAAGGCCTAAAGTGGACAGCCACAGCCACAGCCACAGCTACAGCAACAGCAACAGCAACAGATCAGATCCACACATCCTTTTGTTGGGCTCCGCCTTTTGTTTGTTTCTGTGCCAGACTGACCGGCAAAGTGTCTTGCGAATGTTGCTTTGCTACCAAATACAAAATCACGCAGAGGGAACAGCACAAAAACGAGTCAGCAAACAGACCCATTGGAAGTGGGTCCCGACCATGTAATACCCAACAGTAGCGCTTGGCACAGCCAGGGTCCGAGTTAAAGCAATGAGCAGCAAAATTCCACATTTTTTACCGAACTAATTCCAGATTCCAGATTTAGAGAGAAACGTAACTTTCCAAAAATTTGGTTTTAGTCGGTTTTTTTTTTGTATTGGCTTAAATAATCTGCCAAAAATAAAAATAAATTCCAGTTGCGTGGGCATTTTGGAAATTGAGTTTGTGTTTCTTCAAAGCTTCGAAAATGGATCGAGTTTCGGCTGTCTATGCTAATCATTAATACTTTCACTTTATGCTAAGAACGGATACAGTATTTCTGCCTGTTGCACAGATCTACACGAATGCAGCATACCCTCGCACTCTACGAGTTCCAGTATGTCGCCTGCCTTCGCATGAGAGCAACGATAAGGCTGGAGACACCGAGAGAGAGAGAGAGAGGAAGAGCGAGCAAAAACAAGAGAGAAATCAACAGGCAGATCGTGCGTTTGATCAAATTAAACGATAACAATTTGTCTCCGAAGTGTTTCAATTTGAGCGCACCGAGCCGGAGCCCGACGGAGCCGGGGGGCCGAAGGCAGGCAGCGACATGTCGCTGACGTCGCGGCAGCAGCAATCGCATAAGTCAACTTTTTGTAAGGCACTCACTCTCACACACGTGTGCTCGTATATGTACATATGTATGTAGTACCTATGTGTACCTGGACATACCCAAGGCATTGTCTGTGCCGTGTGTGTGTGTGTGCGAGTGCGTGCAGTTGTAGTAATTCCCATAATAAAATCGCCCCGTCTTGAATTACAATTAGTTTTTAGCAAGGGCACGAAGAGCGACTCCACTCAGCTCCAGCACCAACTCGGACTTGGACATTCAACGATTTGTGTGTATGTTTGTATGTGTCTTTTGGTATACTATACCCTTTAAGGAGGTATTATAGTTTAGGCCAGATTTTGGTACCGATACCCGTAGTCTGTGGATGTGAAAACTCTTTTGAGCCTCATCGATAAGGAGTATACCTACAAAAAATACATATGGCCAAGCTAGGAAGGAAGCTTCGATAGTTACAAACCTATGGCCTTATAAGCAATTCCAGCCAATCCAAATAGGATTATAATTAGATATGTTTAAGCCGATTACTGAACGTAAGTCCTTCAAAGGTAGAATGGTAATAATAAGTGTTCAGAAAATTTTTAGCAGATCTTGAGGGTATATTGACTTCGGCGCAACGATTTTTAGTGTTCATGGATTCATGGTTTTATTCCGCTTTTGTTGTTTGATTTACCCTTTTTGTTGTGGTTGCTGTTGTTGCTGGTCTTTTTTTGTTTTGTGTTTCGTTTAACTATTTAGTTTGGCATTTTGTGCGTTAAGTTGGTATTTATTGCTTTCAGTGATGTCGGAATGTGCTGAAGCGAACTGTCAAGATGGGTCTGCTGCTAATCATTTCACAACTGCAACATCCAGCGGCAGCATTAATAACCCCACAGCAGCCTCAATGCGGATGATGATGACGATGTTGATGATGATGACGGTGAACAAGACCAATGGGAATATGGTCGGCCTGGTCCCAATGTGCTTAGAATCGTTAAATTGCCCTTGGTCTGACCATATTGGCTGCGGGGATTGAGAAATCTCAACATTGTGGAGGGAGGGAGGAGTATTCGACTGGGAGCTCCATCAGAACGATCAGAGGATGGCACACTGAATCCTAAAAAACCCTCACATACAAATGCATAGGTCATTTGATCGATAGGGCAAACAAAATACATAGGCAGATCCTGTTCCCAGTTTCTGTTCATTGACAAAAGCCAAAACAAATCTTCCCCGTAATGAACTAGTTCCAGCAGCCGCAACACCCCAATGTTTGCCATATGCCAGCAGAGCCATATAATAATACTCGTACATATGTACATACATATGTGCATCTGTATGTATCTTTAGATCCATCCACCTCCATACACAGATCCATAATATACTATAGTATATACTTGTGTGTATATAGCATCTATGCTTTGCATCTGGTAAGCGATGCTAAAAATACTCACACCTAGGCAGAACTTTTGCGGAGGAGGAGGCGAATGCCACATGTGTTATATAGGTATAGAGGTATAGGTATATACATATGTATCATATATAGCCCGTATAATGCGATGACTAAGCAAACAAATTTGGCAGGCTGTCCCAAAAGCAAAAACAAACAACAAAAAATACAACAACAAAATTGGGAGGTAAAAGAAAGCGAAAGAAAACGACTTCCCTGTGATGCATTCTTCGATAGGAGGGGAAAACAAATACTTTGAACATCAAATTAAATATTTTTAGATGTACAAAAACATCCAAAAATTACTCCGAATAGATATGTTTTCAGTTTCTTCTTTTGATACCGGGGAGCACCCATATATTTGTTGGCTGTCACGACCCATAAATCTTTCATTGGATCTGTCGGCATCGGCGGGTGGGTGTTGTGTCCAGGTGGGTGTAGATTTTGAGTTTTGGAGGTTTATGGCTTCATTTGCTCTTGAAATGAACAAAATTAGTCCGTGAAGAGATGTACTTTCTTTGGAATATTGGTTCTATCATGTGATTGGGAAATATTTCCGTACGGATGGACCATACTTCATAGATATATACATATGTACATACATATTCACATGAATGTCTGCAAATCCTTTAGATAGACTACTATATCGACGCTTTTTTTACAACTTTTTTAGGAACACATTGTATTTTAAGACACATCTCTGTGAAATCCGAGGTTACAGAGAACTAAAAGCTCATTTAGGATTTCATCATTTCGATTCCTTTGATAATGAAAGATCCCGTAAACAGATGTCTGGAATACCTGATGGTTAAATATTGATAATGAATATTTCGAAATGTCTCTATTTGATTCCCCCGCTGGGATCCTTCGTACACGCATAAGTACCATATGACCTTCGGAGAATTCTTTAGTCTTTAGTCTAATTCTCTTTTAAAAAAACTCTGTTATGACTGATAAAATATCATTTTTATTCGGCCATTGATACTGTTGATCTAGACTACTGATTAGATCTCGATCATCGCAGTAGTGGCATTTTTCTCCTAATAACATTTTTACTTAAGCTTTAAGTTAAAGCAACAAATATTTCCACAAAAGATTCACAAGCTTTAATGATGATACTCGTACGATTTCTTTTCACTTTCGCTGAACCGCTGAACACTAAGTTACCGTTATTCGATACTCTGGGACTACCAAAAAAGATACAACAAAAAATAAGTAAGGCAAGAAAAAGAACTGACAGTTTGAATTTCGCTCTTCAGGGGATTCCCTTCCACTCAAATTACAGTCACACTCAATTGAACGTATAGGAGGGACATGCATGGCATGAGAGGACATTACACGGCGAGGAAGAGCAGAAATCACGCTTACACCGAAGCGCAGGTTCAAGTTATGTCTGGGTTAATCTGTACAGCTTTTACTCACTTGTCCGACAGGGGGATAGCTCGTGGAACTGCTCGAAGTTATGGGAGGTGAAGCAGGTGCCCACTGGGTCATAGCGCATCGCCCTCGATGGCGTCATCGTGTGGAACACATATCGCGGTGCACAGGCCTGCAAAGACAGAGACACAAAGAGAGATCAAGATACATAGAGTGAGTGAGCGATTGAGCGAGTGGGGGGGGGGGGGGGGAGGAGGAGATATGTATGCTAAAAGAAAGAGAGGCATGATAGAGGCATTTTGGAGGCATGGAAATTATTTTGTGAAGATGTGAAACAATGGCAGGCCAACTGTATGGAGCGGCCGGCCTTCCTAAAATGGCCAAAGCGAATTAACAGACAGATCCCCGCCCCCCTTAAGAACAGTGTCCCCAAAGTGTTTGAAAAAGTTCTTGAAAGGCAGACTAGATAGACAGGCAGGTTTGAAACCATACATGTATTCCAGGGTTTTTTCCAGTACTTTTCCATATTCACAGATCTATTCTAGAAAATATTGTACTAACTCGATGAAGGATCAAGATTTTTTATTAGTAACCATTTGTTATTGAGAAATGTCTTCATTCAGGAACTGATTCTCCAATTTAGTGGACAGCTGATAATATATAAACCTAGGCCCATACCTGATATCTATACTGATTTTCGATAATGCAGTAGTGCCACAAAATATAATATTCAATATTCAATTTAGTTCAATTTCAATCGTTTTAAAATTAGGTAACAATAAAATTTCCAGGATTACAATATGAAACAATTTTCTTTGTTATATTCAGTTTCTTGAATCCCATTTTTTTGTTATATTTCGATACACTTTCAATCAAAATTATGAACCTTAAAAGAACGAAATATTCACTGAAGAAATTTTTGAGAACAAAAAGATACTTCTATTATTTTTTTGCATGGTATGTATTTATGTGGTTTCGGTTAGTTTCCTTCTTCAGAAAGTATAATATTTAACCTGCGAGTGTTATTTTTCAATCCATTTTCTCATGCACCTCATGACACTGTGCCTGGGGCAGGGGCAGGGGCAGGGGCATGAGCAGGGAGTAACATCATCGCATTGAATCGCATTGCATCGCTTCGCATCTCTGCAGTTCTGTGTGTTTATATAGTTTTATAATGTATAAATGGCTGGCAGTTGGACATAAAACACGCACGGGGCTCTCTGCCGCCGCCCCTTCTCACCAGCTTTCAGTCCCGGCCTCGATGCCAGCCATCTCTGGTCCCAGTACCAGGCCAAATATGGTCAGCAGTTGGGAGTTTGGCATGAGGCTGCCGTGGCAGAGGCAGAGACAGAGGCAGAGGGAAAAGCCTGCCTGCAGAAGGCACCAAGCACCAGGCATCAGACATCAACATCAGCGTCAAGATCTTAGGCCAGGCCATTGTCTCCGCACTGCAATTACTTTTACAAATTTATACATATTGTGCCATTTATGGCAACCAGTGGCTCTCTGTCTCCATCTCGAGCCCCATCCCCATCCACCAGCCCCCAGCCCCCAGCCCCATCTGCGGCTTCGATTCCGACTCCCTCCGACTGCGACTGCGACCGCGACTGCGACTCTGACATAAACTCAAAATGACGCGCTATCGCCAAAAATGAATGCTGATCGGATCGGTGGAAAGGCATGGGGCAGGGGGCTCGACTCGACTCGACTCGGCTCGGCTCGGCCCGGCTATGCCGATCCATTCAAATGCCCCCATTGAATCACAAATCTATGGGCCCCGGCCCCATATTATGCAAGTGGACAGCACACCGGACAGCATACAAAAAATCACAGTCCACCATCCTGCTTGGCTCTGCCTATAAAAATGAAAAATAATAAAAACACAAGCCAGCAGCGAACAAAAATCACTGGACAAAAATCAGACAATCGACTTGCCGCTGGGCCATATTCTGGGGCTGTAGCAACATGGAACAATTCAATTGAAATTGAAATTCTCAACAATTGCCCCGAGGCGGGCCGCAGCAGTGGACCATTGTCCATGCCATGATCAATAAGTTAATAGCAATTTCCTATTAAAAACTTTATTATCAGTCAGCAAAGAGGAGAGCTCTGGTCAGGCCTGCTCCCTGGAGAGCCTGGACCCAGTTCTAGTTGCAGTTTCAGTTGGAGTTCCCGGTAAGATAGTTAGATATGCAAATTAGGCACAGAAAGGCACAGGAACGTGAACAGCTCTGACCGAGGCCCCAACAAGTGGTTGCTTTCTGCAATGAAATCAAAAATTATGCTACTCTATATGAGTTTTGACCACGAATGGGCAGAAAAGTTTCCATTTTGATGCCAGCATTACTATTCAATCAACGAGTATGGGTATGTGTATATACACACATATTGGTCTTGTGTGTACTAGAGCATAACTAGTGCTCGTGGTTCCTCTCTTTCTGTTTACGTTTTTCCCATCTCCCACGACAAGTGCGAACAAGATTGAGAGAGGATTGGGATACCAAATCTAGTCTCAAGTCCTATGCATTCGCTCCCCATATTTCCATGTGCCTTAAATACTTAGAAGATCTTTAAAAGATCAATTTTTTCCCATTTGAATGGTGACCTCTCTTACCGTGCTCTTGTCCACCGATTGCATTCCTTATAGCCAAATTGTTTTGTCGTGTTCTCGGTTTATTTCCTTTTAGCCTAAACATATTTTGAATGATTTCTTGTTGCTGTTTAGTTTGGTTTGGTTTTGGCTTTCTTTTTGCAGTTTTTATTAGTATGTAGTTTTGAAAGGTCTCTGGGTCTGTATTTGGGCTTTTGTTTGCTTTGTTTTGCTTTGTTTTTGTTTTTGTGTGGTTTATTGCCCATGTTTGGAGCAGAGTGCATGCCGAAACGCCAACGATAAATTTTTGAGACATTAAACTGCACTTTTGCAGACGCCGTCGATTTCTGTGTTGTACGAGTCTGAGGGTGGTGGGGGGTGGGGGGGAGTCAGAGTCAAAAGTCAACACGTTTGACATGGTCGACATGCAGACGTTACCAATGCGAATGCCACAAGAATATCGGTGCATCCATCGCCTCCTTCCCTCCCCCCCAGAGCCACTCGGATGCCGGATGCCAGATGCAGATGCAGATGCCAGACCCGATGCTAGGCCCATGGCCCATGGCCCCTGCTCCTGCCCCAGTCCCAGTCCCAGCCCCAGCTCCATCTCCATTCTGAGCTCCTGCGCTCTCTCTCTCTCTCTCTCTCTCTTTCTGTGTGTGCCCCGGCCATATTTGAGTTGAATAGCGCTGGCAATTTCACAGATCGTGTCGATGATCATGTCGCAATCGCAACGGGCAGAGCAGAGCAGACCAAACAACAACAGCATCGGAAAAGAAAATAAAAACGTTGCGAAACGAGACCGCACGACATGCGGCACAAGCCCCCCAGGCCCAGGCCCAGGCCCAGGCGCAGGCGCAGGCCAAGGCCCAGTCCCCAGCAGAAGCGGACCCAGGCATATCCATTGGTCAGCATTGGGTAGTATTTTCTGTGAGTTCAAAATGATGTCACCTTGGGTCTGCGTTGATTGCCGATCATGGCCAAATTGTAGGCGGTCATCGCCAACGCCCACGCCTCACATCCACATCGATGCCACTGTTGACGCGAGGTTAATGGTGCTACCATACATACCATACCATACATATGTACATACGTATGTCTCATAACCTCACCTAACCAAACTCTGGGTGATCTCATGGCATCTTATACGCGGTATAATGATCCTTAAACTTGCTTTACTGCCACTTAGCCAATACTGATACATTTCTGACAATGCATTTGTATATGCACTTGAAGGACTTCTCCGCGTAACGTTTGCTTTGACCCAAATGTCCAGCGGTTGGATCTCGATGGGCCAGTACAGCTGTGGCATGTAGCCTGCCACCAGGACGACCAAAATTACAGCTGATCAAAGCGTTCTTTCCACACACAAAATGGATGGCAAAAACTTCCAAGGCCAAGGATATGAAAAGCAGTACTCGTATTTGTGATTGAAACGAGCTAAAGTACATCCATATATTTTAACATATCTGTAGACACAGCATCATAGAAGTCTGATATATTGTCCCATCTAGCTTTCGTAAGCCCTGCCTCAAAAGAACTTCACCAAACTTGCCACATTTGAAGCTAACCAACTCCGAAACAAAATATTTGAGTATTTGTACCCTCTGCTATGGCCAGTCATAATCCTGCAGAATTTCGCGCGGCTGCCTGAGGTAATGCGAGAGGATGATGTAGTCCTGTTGCCCCCTCCCCCCCATTTAGGGCGCACTTGGAACCAACTAAATCAATCGATGACCTGCTCTGGTTAATGGGAATTTGAAGGCCAGTCGAAGACCAGGCCGAAGCGCGTGGCGGAAGTGACCTGGACGTAGTCCAATAGTGGTTCGGAGCCACAAAAGTACACACGCTCGCACTCTGGGCCATCAATGTTAACGGTTCTTGGTGCGCCATGGCCAAAATCAAATGGGCCAAATCAAAGTTAATTGAGAACTAAAGTGAAAATCAAATGTTTATGGGGTTCTCGGTTTTGCGGCGCAGCTCTTTGTCCCACAGGTCCCCCAGGTGGGTGGGCAGACAACAAAGCCAAAGCCAAAGCCAAAGCCAACGCCAACGCCAACGCAATTAACCAAAGTTGCGAGACATGGCACACCTTAAAGAGCCCCCAAAGCACCCAGGGAGCCGGGGCCCCCTGGCAGGCAAGCACCTATGTATACTATCTGACTATTGGTATCTCTTCAGTGGCTTGGCCTTTGTTTGTGTGTGTGGTTTACTTGACGCAATCCAAGTGGGAACCACAGAGATGACAAGAAACACCGAATACACCGAAATCGAAACGCATTGAGAACCCCAGAGCCAAGACCAAGACACCCACTGACATCTAACGGCATGAATGCATAATAACACCCGAACACGTCGAACAAACCCATAAAAAATGTAATTTTATTCTTTGGATTTTCAGTGTGCTCGGGAGGTGTCTGTTACCCGATGATACCCGGTGGGCGGCGCCCCCCTCACCGACCCGACCCGGGTCTGATCCGACTGGTTCTCCGCTACCTTGCACTTTCGATGCGATTTGACATTTTAACGAGGTCTATCCCAGTCCCAGTCCCAGTCCCAGTCCCAGAGGCAGAGCGCGCGCGATGATGATGCCATCATTCAATGCACATTAAAATCGGTGGACGGACGACATTCGTGGGGAAGTCAGTCAGTAGGTCACTTGTGGTCTGTGGAAAATGAAAGTACGCGGGAATGTCCCGGTTTCGCATTTGAGTGGCACATTAAGCGCTGGCATTAGGTGCATGTAAGTAGGCAGTGCCAGAAAGAGTGGTGGTGCGGTCTCTGTTAGAGACCTCAAAGTATGACTTATAGAGCGCTTTTTGTTTCTTGGGATATAAAGACTTACCACAACCAAATCGTTGTCTCGTCCTGTGGCCACAGTGGCTCCCAGCCATTGGTAGGACTTCCTGTCTACGATTTCGCCCTCTGTATTCCGATTGTTACCTGTTTGGTTTGTTTTTTGTCGGGGGAGAGAAAGAAGAAATTAATATCATTTGCAGTCCATTTAAAATGGCATCTTGGTTTTGGCGGAAATCAAAAGTGGACGGAGAGCAGCAAAAAGAAGAACTTAACACTTTAAAGATAATAAAACATAGTTTAAAGGAAAGATTGAGAAGAAACAAGAGGCACACACACAGCAATAATTCCGACAAAATTTGGACGGAAATGGACAATTTACTGAAATTAATATGTATTCTTGGGGCGGTGCTCTAAGCCGAATAAAAAATAAAATGCTAAAAAAAAGCAAACTAATTAAGCTCCCTCTCTCTCGCTGAGACGGACACAACACAGAGAACAGAACACTTGAGAACGCTGATGGTCACTTCCTTTTGTCAGTGATTTATGACACAATTGCGGGTGGGACTGAGGTGAAGTGCCTAGCAGGGCGTTGGGTGGGGGAATACGTGTAGTTTTGGGTGTGCAGACTGTACATATTTGATGTCCTAATGAGGGATGAATGGCGAATCCATCATCCTTGAATGGATTCAAGGGTGAATCGCCGCCTCATTAGGGGAATGATGGATGGAAGATGGTAGATGGTAGATGGCAGAGTGCCCCAAGCAGTGAAGGAGTGAATGCGGGACTAGTAGGGAGTGTGTTGAATGCAATCACTGACCGATCCAGTGGGTGATACTCGTATACGCACACCAAATGACCGATCAATCAAGTAAAATAATCACAAATGAATCACAGAACGAAACAGTGGGTCTATACACATTTCTCTATTATTAAGTATCAACAAAAAATTCTAAAATTCTAAAATTTCATGCAATTGTGCCTTTTTGGCAAATTCGTCTTATTTTGGAATTTTTGTTTGTCTATAAATCAATTTTAATTTGCATTATACCCCCAAAAAAATTGTTTTAAGAAATGCCAAAGGCGATTTGGGTTACGAATTTTTACTTGGCATCTGCGTCGCAGATATCCACAAAAATTAATGGATTGTAGAGAGAAATGTACGATTTTTGATTTGTGTGGATAGTGACTGCATTTACCTGTGGATGTAGCGACCCAAAGTAGAAGTTTTCAAATGTTTGTTCAACTTTGTTTTGCAAACTAATCTTGTAGCTTCCAAATGAATCTCAAGTGAACGACTAACTTGTCTTGCAAAAGTGAAAGGCTGATCTTCGATTAGAGAAGAAATAAAGGGTTTGAATCGAGATTGATCGTGAATGAGCTCATTGGAGCGGACAACTATTTAACATCTACGGGATAATAATGAACGAATATGAATTCATTAAAAACGTGAATGTACGTGCATATTTTAAGCAAATGAAGCAATGAACTGTGAGTGACGCGAACAGCAAGCAAAATCAAGTAAAAGACGGAACGGAACAGAACGGAACGGAACGGAAATATGTTTCCTTTGCGTAAAGCTTCCGTTTCTTGTGTTGCTAACATTTGACTCGATATGATGTGGGTGAAATGTGGCAGGAATGACATAAGCAAAATAAATATTTAGAATGATACACGAATCCGAGAAGTGCCGAATGAATCACATCCACTTAAGTGTGCTGTGATTCAGAGTGCATCACACATAGAGTTACGGTACGGTACTACACAGCGATGGATGAGACAACGAACCTGCTAGCTGGATGAAGCACCTGTTTACTCCTGGCCCAGCGCACAATTCACGTTTCAAAGAGAGACACTTTCGTTTTAGCAAAAACATTGAGAAAAGGGGAGAGTATCGGCCAGTAATTTATGTCAACCCCATAAGCATAATGTACCCATCCCCAATCCATTAGCGCGTCTGCAGTCCTGCAGTCCCCCGATGAGGCACGTGTCAATAAATTTTCAGAGGTGTTTTTCTCTGTTTGTGTTGCAAAACCAAATTGCATATTTATGGCCGAGGCGAGGAGACATTGAGCTGGGGCGGGCCGGGCACCCAGGAACTGGGGAACTTAATGGAAAAAATATGCAAAAATATCCGAATGATGCGCTGCGAGGAAGCTCTGAGCGTTTATCATTTCCGTTTTATGCTGAGGATGTGCTGGCTGTGAGGCTTTCAAACCAATGGAAATTGTCTAAAAATATACGAGTATTATTGCAATTTCGTATTTTTGCATATCTGTTCGAGTATTTCCCCCTCCACGGACTGCATTCTTCGCATTTTGCATACTAAAAAGTTGCGCCTGCGTGTAGCCCATAAATAAACTAATTGCACTCTGGGCCCCTCGCACACCCCACACCTACCCCCCGCCATCACACTCTCTGATGTGTCTCTGGCGCCAATTTGATGGAGATTCAATGGGGGGGAGGCAGGCCTGGCTCTGGCTCTGGCCCTGGCCCTGGCGCCAATGGTTCGATAGAGAAACTCCCTTTCAAAAGTACCCAGATTTATACCCATTTTATAGCCCATTCCTTTTGTCGAGTGTCGTTGAAATTACCTTTGGAATCGAAGGGCACCAATTTGCAGTCATCGTCTTTCATGCTGCATTTGAAGACGCCACCGGCCTCCACAACGCCGGGCTGAAACCGGGACGTATCGTATTTGGGGGCACCCACAATCAGGCTGACACTGAAAGAAGCACAACACAAAATCGAGGGATTAGCAAATTGAAATTGAAAATTCGGCAGAAATGTGTTAAAAGTAAGGCCAAGTAATTCCACTATATTCGATTAATGGTATGCTTTAAATGGTATTTATATCGAATATATAATGTTTAAGTTTGTAAAGTATTTATTTGTAAATCAAAAGGAAAACATTTCTTCCTTATTATTAAATTAACTTGAATATTTTATGTATTTCTTATAGAAAATTGATTCATTTATCGGATAGAATTCTTTTTCGTCTAAAAATTGGGAAAAATGAAATTACACTGATATTTCTTTGCTGTGCAACGACATAACCCGTGTATAGATGTTGCCAAATTATATTTACCCTTATCTATCTATATTTTCCCCATACAAAACCAATCTGGTAACACTTTTCGAAATTGGATTAAACCCATAATCATTGATGGTTTGGCTGCTTTCTGCATTGCCTTTGGCAACCCTCCCCAACCCTCTCTAGACTCTAGAGCCACCATCAGCTCGGCTGAGCCCAGGTCTCGGCTTGAACTCCCTCTGAGGGAGTAGTCTCTGGCTACTGAATGGGCGAGCATCAGGGAAGCAGGGGCGGCAGGGACAAGCACCAGAGCCAGTAGTAGTTCATCATGGCACGCACATTGACAGCTGTCATTAGCATTCATTGAATGCGGAAGTGCGGCGAACAAAAAGGGTGCCTGCCCGGCTCTGGCTCCGAGCCCTGAGGGGTGCAGTAAATGGGCCTTCATTAAAATTGAAAATAATAAAACGGAAAGTAAAATATATATAGATGCAATGTACAAGGCGGGCCGCCGCAAACGGTCCAAATCAAACACTTGAGAGTTGATTAAAAACGGGGCTCTTGCCCCGTGCCCCTTGCCCCGCTCCTCTGTCTCTCTCTCTCTCTCTGTGCAGCCCGCCGACCTGCTCGGCCCACATGCAACAATTTGACGCTTGACTAAAGCAAAAATTGCACAGATGCGTGGCAAGCCCAAGTGAGGGAGGGACGATCCGACCCACAGACAGAGAGACAGACAGACAGACAGAAGATCGGCAGACGGCAAACGGAAAAGAGAAGTTCTTCTGAATGGGGCGAATGGGTAAGTAAATGAGTAAGTGAAACCATGAAGCGGGCCCTTGGATCCTGTCAGGCATTTGGGTGGCATTTGGTATTTATTAAAATTCGATTTAAATGCAACTTTTGCGGCGCCAAAAGGAGGCCTCTAAAGTAGACCTTAGACTCTAGCCCATAGATAGAAAGAGAAGATGAATACTTAACCGAAAGCTCTCTCAAACTGTATCTCTGTGCCCAAGTATCTGTGTATCTAGTATCTGTGTGTGCCCGCTGACATCATTGGCATTCATCGAAGAGCTTGACAGGGCCCGATTCGATCATACTCTCTCGTTGAATATAATTAATATTAATTTACGAACATACAGTCAATGCTGACATCAAGCTCCAACAGGTTCCTCCTCCTCTCCTCCCTCTTTGTAGACCAGCGACAGACCCGGCCGGGCCAGGCCAGGCCAGGCCACGGCGCCCCTCTAGAACGCATTTGCATTTCGTTGAATGAATGAATAACCAAAATAACAATCAAAAGAAATTACTCTTCACAGCAGATGAATAATCCAAATTTATTTGACTCATGGCGCTTAAAAATATATGTACATACATACATATATGCACAAAGATATGAACATACATATCTCTTCCAATTCTCAGTATTTCGAAAGAAAAAAATATCGATAAACAATGACAACAACCAGTGGATATTAATATAATTATTATGAATACCATTTAAAGATATATTGTAATATGTATTTTATATATCCTTTCACATATGTACATATGTACGTACTTTGTATGCAATTACACTGAAAGAATAATGACACACTCCCATAGATATTATGTATCATATTAAATATAAATAAAATAGAGATTTACATATGTATAAAAAATATTCCATTTAAATTTGAAAAATATAAATCGAAGCAAGACCCCGTTCTTCTTACAATTTCTACTCTATTTTGAATAAATTTATTTATAGAAGCTCCAAGTAAGCAGAAAAGATATTACAAACTATAACCATAAACCCATAGAAAACCACAATTCTTTGATCTTTCATTTTCTATGCGTGTTTTATCAACTCCACAACTCTTGTTGTTCTTGAGGTCTCCATGAACTGAAAACTGCATTGATTTTCGATTATTATAGCAATGGCTTGCGGATAAACCTTCAGACGATCTATCCCCGTATCCCGTATCCCGTATCCCGTACCCGTCAACAGTGCATTTCGAAGCGAATTTAGATCACTGAAGCGTTGGCTTGCGTAATTTTTGTTTTTTTTTTTTTAATTAAAGAGCACGCGTCAGCAGCCTCCCCAGAGGCAAATGTGTTCATTTGTTTGTTCTGTCATCATCTATTTGTTTGTTGTTTCTTGTGCAGCGAACCAGCGAGATAGAGAGCCCAGAGAGAGCGAGAACGAAAGAGACAATGAGAAGCCACACACAATGCCAGCTTTAAAATAATCAAAATCAATGCAATTCAATTGGAAGTGGGTGAATGGAACAAATATAACATCAAACCAGGCGCCTAGCCAACAAAAAGCCAAACAATTTCCCAATTGCTTGATTGTTGTTCGTTCAGATCAAAATATTTTTGCGCTGCGTTTCAGATCGACTCAGCCTCAAAATGTCTCAATTAGGAGACGGAGAAATAAATGGGAAACCAATTTTCCGCACACATGTCTCAACGAATCGACTGGAAGGCCAGGAAAGGAGAACCAAATTAAATGGAAAAGGAGCGGCGAGAAAGAGAAGAGAAGGGAAGGGAAGGGAAGAGAAAATAAAATAAAAGAAGAAGAACCTTTTGTTAGATCGCGCCTTGAATGCTAAATGGAACGAATGTTCGTTCTCCCCGACTTTGGTCGTCAGTGCCAGGGTCTGATCTGGTCTGGTCCGACGTCTTGGGTTACTTCTTCGATTGTCGTCGCGTGCAGCAGCCGCAATAAAAATAATTTTTTAAAAATAAATTTCGAAAATTGTTCTGTGCACCTCCTTCTCCTTCTCTCTCTCTTTCTCTCTCTCTGTCTCTCCCTGTCTGTCTGTCTCTGAAGTCCCTCAACCAATACCTAGCCCCCGACTTCCGACTTCGTCTCAATGACAACACATGCCCGACATTCGTTTCGTTGCTCGCAGGATATGGCAGGCACGAGTGGGACAGCAACAGCTGAACAGACAGACATCGAGCCAGACACCGGACTAGTCCCACATTCCCATTCCCATTCCCATTCCCAATCGCAATCCAAGTCCCAGTCTCAAGTCCCCCGACATCATGATGTGGGTGCTCTGCTCTGCTCTGCTCTGCTCTCGTGTGAAGCTGCGCATGCTTCCTGCCTCACTATGCGCGGCCCTCCCCTCCCGTTCTCCAGAATGAATGACACGAACACAGTGAGCGAGGAGTGTATGTGCACCACACGAGTAACGAAACGACGACACACAGACAGCTGGTCCCCGCTCCTGGGACAGGCAATTTGTTAGGCATTTCCTTCGGGCCTCAGGATTCAGGCTTCAGGCTTGTGACCTTCTGATCCCAGCAATCTATCAAACAATTTTAACGAGCTCTTGTTTCATTGTGGGTGTCCCGTTCAGAATTTATGAAACTTCAAAGTTACTAAAGATTTCTGCATTTACAATCAATCGGAAGTAACTTTCATGCTCTCTTCCCATAGTTATGAAATCTTTTTCAATGGACCTGCTACCTCTTGAGTTCATCTATTTGGGAGTCATGCAAGTATCTTCAGTGCAGATAATTCTTTAAAAATAATTCTGATACGAGTATCTTCGGCCTTCTATCGATTTGAATATGAAATTTATTATTGAAATTGTTGAGTTTTCGGCTTTCTGCAGAGATATTTTTCAATCCCCTTCAGATCTCTATTGCTCAAGAGAGCTTGAGTCATTTTAGTCATTCTATCGATTATATTTTTCTCATCTGAAATCTTTCAAGTTTCCTGATAGACTTCCCGAAGATATACGAGTAGGTTCGATTGCAATCATTGAAATTTCATTCCCAATTTTCAATGTAATTTCTGGTCAAACCTATTTGCATTTGACAGTCCCAAAAGCTGATCAGAAACCGTATCCCTAGTGATCTTTCGGCCTCCCCCCCCCCCTTAGAACAGTCACAGACATAAACTATGATCCCAACATCCGCTGCCACCCCGAACCTCTGTATCTGACAGACTTTTAGTCAGCACTGTCGATCTGCCTCTCTGTGTCTCTGGCTGTGTCTGTGTCTGTGTCTGTTTCTGTCATTCTCATACTCATTCTGGGTAACCTTTTAAGTAATGCACAACGTAAATATAAAGGGGTACATTTCATTCCGTAAATCGCCAAGTCACTTTCAGAGTCAGTCCGCGTTAAAGGAACCGAAACCATTCGCCGCGACGCGACCCTGGGTGATTTCGAGGGGTGAGGACTAGGGCTGGAAAGAGCGAGGGCGTGTCGGCGCTAAACATGTGTGCGCCTCATTTCGTTTTCCTGGAGGTCTCTCTGGGAAAAACTAACCGTTCACACACGTGACAGCCTAGGCAAAGGCACATACCCGAGGTTCCCGGGGCCGGCGCTCATTTTCGATCGTACCCTCCTCCGTTTGTTTGTTCATTGAGCCATTTACCCAAATGTTGTGCCCCCGGTAACAGCCTGACTCTGAGCCAGGGCCAGGGCCTGAGCCTGAGCCTGAGCCCAAGACCGAGCCCAAGCCCGAGCCCCTCTCTCATTGTCTTTTCCCTCTGTTTGTGTTTGTGTTTGTGTGTGTGCTTGTGGATTTGTGTGTGGTTTTCCAACACCTTTTTTACACATTGACACTTCCGTTTTTCGTGGAGAAGCCTTAATTCTATCTATCCAGCTGATCTCCGATCTCAGATCTCCGCTGATGTCTATCTACGAGTACCCCACAGTACAGCCAGCACTCGAGTCTGCAATCAAGCGGCAATTAAGGCGGCCAGCAATAGGTTCCCAAACCGAACCGAAATGCCAGAGAGTACGGGCAAATGGAGGAAAATAAATATTTGAAATCAATTACATTTCTCATTGTCTGCTGCTGCCGTTTTGCAATTTCATAACCACAACAAACGTAAGCGGCGCTGCTGCCGACAACACACAGGCAATCCAGCAGCGATCGACACGATCATTTTCATGGCAGCTGCAGCTGACAGTAGTTTATGCAATAGATAGATTACCCAGGCCCATGCCCATGAGCAGGCACTGTAACCCACTTAATGGAGAACAGAAGGAGCGACGGCCGGGAGCGGGGCGAACCTAAATGAACTCCTCAAGTGATCGGCTAATGCTTCAGCCGCCAGCAAAGTCGGTGGTCTGTAGAAAAAAACCTAGCTACAAATAATTGAAAGGAAATTTTCGAGATACTCGTAGTATCTCAGGGAAGAAGACGTTAAGATATCTAAAATGTTTCGAATAATATTTGAAAATTCAATCATGTCTCTGAAAGAGCTACTGTACTCCAAAATTCAATCCATTGATGAATGAGTTTCTAAAACAAATAAATATTTGTTGAATGAAAAATGTTTAGCTAAAAATTAACGAAGTTTGGAAGATCTTCAACAATCTGAATGCAGTGTTCTATCTTTTGAGTCAACATTTGAAAATATACATAATATCTATACGGATACACTTTCCCTCTTGCATTTCCTTAGCTGCAACTGATCATCAAAGCCTTGTATCGGCTTCCTTAGGCCCATCAATGTTTATTCGAACATTTTGGGATCTGATCTGCTTAAAAGAACACCCAAAGCCAGTAGCCAGTTGCCAGTAGCTCCATTCTAGTAGCCATGTAGCTGCCGAAGAGCTGCCATGGAAGAACGAGGTCAGGCTAATGAGGCACAGCATAAGCACCATGGACACCCCATACAGAGTCTATCTATAAGGAAACCTGCGCCTGCTGTCTAGCCACAACTGGACTGCGATCAACTCTCTCGTTCTGGATGGATGGTCTCAGCGCCTAACGGACAAACGACTCTATTTGGCCAATTGGGTGAAGCTGCGTTTAGTGGCTGGCTGGCTGGCTGGCTGGCTGGCTGGCTGGCTGGTAACCTTGTGCGCCGACGCAACACTTGACCGTAAATAGCACACACAATCACACACGCACAGATTGTTGTAAACTATGTCAAGCAGAGATACAGATACAGATACAGATACAGAGATACAAGAGCATTTGTCTGCAAGATACGGATACATTTATGTGCTGTATTAATTGCTGCTGCTGGGGGCACAGCAAACGCGCAACGCGCGCTTCAGGGCAAACCACATATTGGCCAACGGCTTTGGTCTTTTGCCTTATAAACAATAACCACAACTAGTTACTTAGCTACCCCTCTCAGTCCCCACTCCCCCGCTGCCACTTTCCTCAATTCGTTTTCGTCTCGCCTCGCCTTTTGTCTTGTGGGCATTTAACACACAATTATCTCATGAAGCTGCAGAATGGAGTCAGGTAATTTTTAAGCTTTTAAGCCGGCAAGGGAGAGTGGAGTGGCTGAAAGAGGGGGGTACCAGGCGTATAAGTGCTCGTTCTCGTATATTGCCCTTCGACAGGGGGTTTCACGCCACGAAACCAAAAGCATTATGTATTCATTTGCAGCTGGCTCGCCAAAAAGCCAAAAAGAGCTTCTTGGTAAGGGAATTACGTCCAATCTTTCGAATCGTTCATACAGATATCCCATAGATAACTTTCTAATTGGTATTTCTTGGAAATTCTCAAAAATGCTGCCAACATAGACTCTTTTCTCTCGGCTAAATCTTTGTATAAGTCAGCATTAAACTTGGATATTTCACTTTTACTTAAAATAATGCCAACATGAACAAGCTTAAGAGAATAAAGATCACTTCCAAATTACAGAAAATGGTTATTTTATAGAGATTATAGAGAATGATAGGCCAAACCTTTTGGAACTTGAACTTGAACACTTTCCAAAATAAAATTCCCAAAAAATACCTAGAACAGCCACAAACTTAAGGGAATATTACTGCATATTAATTGATTAGCTGAGGAGCGTAAGATACTTTCGCAGGACTGACAGCCCACCACATTGCAGGTGCACTTTATAAAAGAATATTTCTAGCAAAAGAGCATACAGAGTTCAACCAACTTGGTCTCCAATTCTCACTCTGTTAGCGCTTTTACTCTGCTGTTGTATGTAGTATCTCTGTATCTGTATCTGAACGTGTCGAGGGCCAGGTCTAACCAAAATGCTCTGCGATCTTCTTTTGTGTCTCTGTCTGTCTGTCTGTCGGTCTGTCGGTCTGTCTCTGTGGCTGTGTTTGCGTCTGTTTATTGAATTGTAAACATTTTTAACGCTGCATTTAAATAATTTTCGTTTCTTTTTAAGTGCACTTAGAGAGCGCAGAGCTACAGTATCTGTATCTGTTTGGCTGTGTGTATATGGATTATAGGGAATAACGAATAAAGAAGTGCAAATGGCCCAAAGGCCATTCACACACGTAGCCAGAGATGCTGTTGCGTTGATAGCCCCGACTCGGCCCGAGTTCCAGCACTCTCTCCCTATCGATGGTATGTATGGATGGATGTATGTATCTTCCAGCCAAGCTTCTTCCGCCTCTGTACTTACGTAGCCTCTCCATGAACGTGCGAATAGTCTGAGACCCACTATGGGACTATGAGAGACTATGGGAGACTGGAACAGAGACTACGCTGATTAACACGCTCCACCAAACTGAACTTTGTGGGGTTCAGCAAAGGCTATCGATTCGTTCGTTCGTTAGTTCGTTCGTATATTGAACGCCTCACATAAATAACTAACTCGACTGAAAGTCAAGAAAGTATCGGAGCCAGGACAGAGAGCGGCTGGAGCTGCATATTTTGCCATTTGTCATGGGGTCAAGCACTCGAGATTGCCCAATAAACTTTACGGTTCAACTCGAAAATGTCCCATATTTACCAATCATTCAAAAGAAGTTCGGTCCATTGGAGCAGATAGATAGATACATATAGTGCAATAGGACACTCGTAAATTTGTCAATGAGCCACCTTCTTCTTCTACAGCTTCATCGGCAACAGCTCCATATGCATATCTCTTTCGGATTGAAATTAATGGGCCCTTAGTGCTTGACGCTTGACGCTTGACGCCTGACGCCGCACGCTCTCACAGAGGGATGCTGTAGATAGGGGGACAGAGAGCATAGATAGAGCGAGTGGGCAGTGCTGTACTGTACTGATAGATTAACATGTCTCGGTATTATCTCTTGGATGGGGAAGGGAAAGGAATGTTCTATCTGCTGGAAAATTATCCAACAGAGTGGGGGGACCCTGGCTTGAGATTGAATTTAACAGAATTCAAAGACTAATCCCTTCATTCGAAATTATGAGTCGTTGCTTTAGTTCTGAAAAAATGCTCTTAAAACCCAATTACAAAACGCATTTAATTGCTCAACTGCCATTTAAGAACACTAAAATCTTATGAAAGTATATGTTGAAAGTGCCTCTCACTGCCAGCCTCTCAGTTTGATGAACTTATGCTGGGACTTTGGGTATACTAGGACGTCTCTCGAGACTGTGATAAAAAAGAATTTTGATTTTGTTGCCCGGCTTTCTTTGGGCCCTTATCTTGGGCTAGTTCTGGGGAGCCGCGCCAGCAGCCGATAAGCCGACTGTCCAAAAAAAGATGAGGAAAAACCCAGGAAAGTCACGCACAAGAGGAAGGCAATGCCTCATATAGATAAAGATAAAAGATACCACATATTTCCCAATCTTCTGGAAAGAATTTTGCAATCTTTAGAGGCAGTAAATCTTAAATTCTTCCACTATGATGATGGTATTCCTCACACTGAAAATAACAATCTTATCTTGGCAAACTTGATGCCCAGCTAAGTCCGGAATCAGTTAAAATAGTTTCCCAAAATATGAACTAAACTGCATTCGAAGTGTTGTATTGTATAACCTTGCTTAATGGTTGACCTATGGGCCTTTGTTTCGTTCAGTCCACTGAAAAACAATACAATATATTAAACAACCCTCAATTATCTTTTCAAATAAAAGATATAAAAGCGAATCTACAGCTTCGGCTTTAGATTTGTGGCTGCACAATTGAGAACGTACTATTTTGTCGTTTTCAAGATCATATATTCTTGATTTAATAGGTCTCGTTCCGGCAGTTTATGGAATAATGGTTCACGCTTCATTGGGGGTATGTGGGGATGTCAGAAGGTCAAACACTAGCACGCCCCCCCTTGTCATTGGAGAGGTAGAAGCCCCACCCAGTGGCCCCCTTATACATACATTCATATGTAATCGAAGGGTACTTACTTGTTTTGGTTGGCGAAGTAGTCATTGCGGGCCTTGTGCAAGGCAATGCTGAAGCCGAACATGGAATTGGTGGCCTGCTGGTACCGCACATAGCTGGGCAGATCGATGTTGTAGCCAATCGAGATGTGAACCTCGTTCACAAGGAGCATCAGGACCAGGGCCAGCCCCGGACTCAGGTGATGACGGCGGGCTGTCATCGTTTTGATTCCCTTTTCTTTTTTCACGCCGGCTTTTCGTTGGATACAATTTCTATGGGTGACTGAGTGTTTTTGGGCTTTTAGTTTCGTTTGTTTCGCTTTCGTGGGGTTTGCATTAAGATCTTTTGCTCTTTTACGATTGCATCTTCACAGCTGTTGTGGGTGTTGGCCTGAAGAGTTGTTCAATTGGAGAATTAAGCGTTGCAAATATCACATATGGCCAGAGACACCACACAGCCAAAGAGTGCGATCCCACACAGACAATCACGCACACACAGGCACACACACACGACAAGCTTTATTTATTATAAAAACTCAACCTTGGCCGAAATGAATTCCGAGATTCCGAAAAAAGCAAAATCAAAACCAAAAAAAATACAACCTAAACAGCGACGAAATGTTCTTCAACTCAGTAAAGACAGAGGTTTAGATCGTTCTCTCTATCTGCCGCTCTTTCTCTCTCTTTCGTTCCCGCTCTCCCACTCTCTGCATCTCTATCGCTCTCTCTATCTCGCGACAACTTCGAAATCGAGATATTCTGGCCTTGAGCGGAAGCTAGGGTGCCAAAAGGTGTCATCGACTGATCAACCCACTGCCTTCAAATAGATCCTAAAACTATTTTTTTCCGGCTACAAAAATCTTCTAAAAAGATGATTTTCTTATCCTTTTTTATCACTTAATTGGATTGTCAACTGTTTTTTGTTTGTTATTTTATTTGATAATTTTTTACAATTTTAATCTGGAATTCTATTCACGTAATTTTCAAATTAAAATTCCATTTTAATGATTTAATTTGTTGGAGTTCATTTTTTTTTTGTATATATTTAGAAAATGTATTTTTTCCACGTTATTTATATATATTTTTTATTAATAAAAACATTTAATTGTTTAATTTAAACACTTGATTTTAGTTGAAATTTAAGCATTTCGAAAAGTAGTTTTAGTTGGAAAAATCTTGAAGTCCCAGGGTATCAATGAAGTTGAATCCTCAATATTTATTCGTTTCGAAATCTGATTTGTTTGTCTCTAAACATTTTTGACTGGTTCTTGTTATTGTTCTTTGGCTTTTTGGCGCGTTCTACGCACAGCATCTCGCTGTCTCTCTATCGCACAGATGACGTAATGGAACGCGAAACAGGTTGCCCATCAAAAAAAAAAAGTAACGGCTCGACAGAGCCAGGTCCAGAGAACGAGACCCCGGGCCCTTTCAGCCAAGTGTTTGTTGTCTTTCTACAAATTGCATTGAAAATGCGAAAAAAAAAGCCGTAGGCGGCGTTGGCGTTGACGGTTGGCGTTGGCGTTCGACCCGTTTGCATTCAACATTAGTGCAGGTGACATTTGACACATTTTCCACAGATACAGATACAGATACAGATACAGATAGACGCATAAATGTGTATGTATGTATGTATGTATGTAGTAGTTGTAGTAGATGTGTGGGCGCCACAACTCATTGATAGGCTGCTGCCATTCATAGACACCACAACAGCCGTGGCTGTGTAGAGAAAACAAAAAACTTAAACTATAATTGAAATTTTTTGTAGAACGATCGTGCCATATGGCAGCGATTCATGCCCAGGCATTGATCATGTGAGCCGCATTCATAATAATACGACTGTACGGCTCGGCTCTTGACTCTGCCAATAAAAAGCCGTTAAATTTGTCAGGCACAAATTGCAGCCGGAATACTTATATGTATACGAGTACTGTACGAGTATGTGGTGCCTGTGTGCAAAGTGTTTCCAAGCTCGGGCGAAATACCATATAAAATAGATTGCCCACAAATGGATCATAGTTTACTCAAGAATTCCATTTGTATGTTGTTTTTGTGATTCCAAAAAACTCGTTGTCTGCAAAGACTTCAAAAATCTTGTTTGTAGGTAGATCAGAAGATGGTATTTTTCGTCGAAAACTTTTCAGTTTTTATGCGTAATCGAAACACTAGATATGTTGTTGTTTTGTTAAAGGTGAGAGTTTTTAATGGTTTTTCAAATACTAGCATGAACTAGGAACATTCATTGAAATCCTAGAAACTCTACGATGCCTTGTAGATGCCATTTTTATACAAGGAAACATTTTTTTATATTTTCTCGAATCGTTACAGGCTGAAACTGAGAATCCCGAAGTGCTGTTGCTGCAGCCAGGCAAAGTTTCGAGTAAGTCGGAGCCAATTAGTTAGGGTAACTCTGTTTTCCAGCGGCTGGAACTGCCGTAGATCCCAAAACGTTAACCATCTGGGTTAACGTTAAAATATCGGGGCAGGCGCAAAAAAAAACACAAAAAAAGCCAACAAATTAGAGGCAAAAAAAAAAATACACACACCAGATCATTTATCTAAAAATAAATTTGTTTCGTCGGAGTGCCTGCTGCTGCTGACTGACTGTGTGCTACGCCCAGCAGAGTCTTGTCTATAGCTAGATCTATATGTATATATACATATATATAGACATGCATATACGGGGATACTAAAATACGTACATATGTACGCTAGATATGTGCATATAAAGATCTGGCGTTGCTTTGAGGCCAGTGCAGAAAAGCGGTATAAAACCGCTGAGCCAGCACTGGGATCACATTTATGGCATAAGTAACATAGACCCACATCTATTTCTCTTTATGAAAGTGTATGCATGTGTGTGAGTGTGTGTGTGTGTGTGTGTGTGTGTGGGAAGGTTAAAGCTTTTCCAAGTCCATATGTTTGATTTGAGGAATACATATATTAAATGTTTGTATTTTCCACTTTTTTTTTTGCACTTGAAAAAAATATTCCATGTTGAAAATTATATGGTCGACATTTTATTCACGTCGCGTGTTACAGTTTTTTGTTGTTTTTTTTTATCGTTTTATTTGTTACTCTTATTTTCTGCCGTTGCAATGCTCAGCACGCAGCCAAATTTGAACCAAGACTAGGGCGAGAGAGCAAGTGGCGCAAAGTATCTATTAGATACATCTTAATGTAGATACAGAGATATGTACGTCTATCTGTGTGCGCTCCACCAGCCAGGTGAACCGCAACGAACCGCTCACGCTAGATCGCCTACTCAATGGGAGAGCGACACAGACAGAAGAGACAGGGTGAGACTCTCGAAGAGACACAATCTCAAAGCTCTCTAACAGCCAAAATGATAGCAAAGTTCGTTCGTTTTTTCATTAACTTGCTGGTTGGGAGATCCGTTGGGTCGTGAGGGGGAGGAGTGGTGGGGTAGAGCTTATGGAAGACCGATACGTGTGGGCATCCTACACAGATTTTGTTTAGGTGAGTAGGCAGACAACCGTCTTGAGCATCTAAGCATTTTTGAATGTAATTTCCGCTGGCAAATGTCTATACAATTTGATGTGTCATCCATTTGGTTAATATTAATTAGGCATATACACATACGAGTATAGCTAAATAAATAGATACAGATCACAGAGTGACATAAAGATCGCCACATGGCTATCAAAATCTAACAAAATCATCCAATCATTTTAAGACACATTTTTGAACTGATCTCTACAAAAAAAACAATACATATTGCATTTGCCAAATACGAAAACTCGCAATTTTGAATATCAACAGTTTGGCGGCAAACTGCGGCAGAGCATGCGAGCATTGCAATTGAAAACATTAATTACACAAACACAAAACATTTTGTTGACTCTTATAGTCACAGATATTCACAGAAAAGCACACAAATCATGCATATTAATACATGTGTTCAAATACCAACAATTAAATTTGCATATGTGCAAATGGATTTTCAAAAAAATAGATTTCAGCGCGCACTGGCTCCATGTACCGTTACGGTTGCTGTTGTTCGATTTGGATCGCGCGCGCACAACCGACCGTCAGGTCGCGAAAGGTAGAATTATTCATAAGGGTACGGTCATCCCGCTCTTTGGCTCGATTTTCTGTGTGGTTTACAACAGCGCTGCCACCTTAGCATATTTCCGGCTAGATCTAGCATTTTTAAAAGTTGAATTGCTTGTACAGTTTTCAATACAGATTTCCATATATGTGTAAAACCAGTTAAGCATTTTTTTTAAATACATTCAGCTTGTTTTAGCTTTAAATGTGTGTATAATGCACGTACTGCATAAAGAATATTAAGTCTGGTGTGACATCCGTGATGGGATCTTTGTTCATATGAACAACAACTTTGTTCCGAGGATTCGCGTCTGGTAAATGTGATATGCAGAAAATACTTTATAAACTAATTTTTGTGATGCCTGATTGGGAAGCGCGGAATAAGAGTGGCTTCGTAAGGTTCCAGCAGACACAACAAACATATATTGCTGCTATGTTGCAACAATTATGATTTGCCATTAAAATATTTGTATTTAATTCCAAGAAGCGAAAAATACAACAACCAAAAGTGGTATTAAATCGGATGATACTCTTAACTTTTATATAATAAAAGCACTAACACTAAATACATTTGTTATTTTTTGAGTTTAAATAGCCATTTTTGGCTATTTTTTTAAGCTACCAGTGTTGTTATGGCAGCACTGATGTGTGTATTTGAACGCATGGTATAACTATGTTAGGTGCAGAAAACTAGGCCAGCGGGTGGGACATAATGTCAGGATAGCGTATGTGGAATCAAGTCCCTCGAATTGCGGAATAGGTTTTCTTAATATAGTAATAGTACACATGCATGTACAATAGGTATTACTTTGAAAAAATTATATAAAATTTAAAAAAGAGATTAGCGAGGCACTGAAGTGACAGAGCTGATATCTCAAAATACCCTTCACAATTCGTATAGACATTGCGTGATAGCCTTGTGAAATAAAATATTTAAAAAGAGTTTAAAAGTAAAAGTATTACCAATGATGCAAATAAATATGTGAGAAACATAGACAACGAATTAACCAGATATAAAAATATAACATGCCTGTTACCGTATTTAAGCATGACATAAAAAAATGTTACTTAACATAGCTTGTTGCTGGAATCGCTATATAACATCCCTCTGCACTATGCTCATACCTTTCAAATGCAACCCTAAATAATCGAAACCATCTCTGGCAAG